GGACAAGCTCCATCCTTAATGATGACAGAAAAAGTGTCCCAGTTCCTACACACGTTTACATACGTTACGTATCATCAGAATATCTATTAATCTATTACCTCATGCGATGAAAAAGCCTACGCTACGTCTGTCTAGCCAGTACAGATATTTTGCTGGATTGCGAATACATACGTGAGCTATGCAAATATTGGACTAGTTGTGTTTGCAAACTTTATAAGGAAAAATGGCTATCAGAGTAGAACGCAGTTTCCATTTCGTCTGCAAGAATTTAGAATGAAATAATGTTACATTTTATGCTGCAATCCTCTCTCCATATTCATTTCATTTGTCCGTAGTGGGTTGCATAATGGGAAAACTTTGACTTTATATTTGGGATCATGAATGTTAGATTATTTCATCTCTTCAGTCCAGATTGCAACCTCTGCAGAGTTGAGACTTTAGGCTAATCACGAGATTGCAGTTCAACACAGGGGCTGCTGTGGGACATGTCTCGGCAACTTTGTGCCGTCATTTATGCAATATGAAGGACAAGCTTCAGTGTTTGCAATTATTATGAATTGCTATAAGGCAAGATAACTTTTGGGATGAAAAATTTACACAAAATTTTACCGAGGTGCAGACTCAATTAAGAGATGAGAAATTGCATATTGTAAAGTTTTAGAATTAAGATATTCCAAGAAAGGGCAAATTCATCATTAAATATTACAGGTTTTGATAGATCTGTAAATTAATTTCCATCACTTCTCGCACAACAAGTTCATCCCCTGTCAAAAACAGAGAATTTGTACAAATTAATATTAATTGTTCAAGTTGACAAGTTGGCTTCGGCAAGTATCAAAACAATTTGACTGCTTGTGACGAGCTTGCCATTCATTAAAGACAGGCAGACACGTTTCAGTTTTCTCCATAAAATTATCCCTTATCCGGTAAAACAGAACCAACACACACACGAGTCGCCCACACTCATTTAGTTTAGTAAGCTTTGTACTTTCAGCCTCTCATCTCATCATCATCGTGGCGTTACGTTAACACGGATGTCTGTAGTTGTGATGTCTGTCTCAAAAACGGAGTGAAATGACTTCACCATCCATGCACCATATACGTAAGAAACGTATTTTGTGGATGGGTTTGTTTACCACAACAGAAACAGGTGTCGGATGGCTAAAGTTACCTGAGGGAGGGAAAATTATTAAATGCTTTTTTGTAGTAAGTTTCCAGATTAGCATCAACAAAGTACTTATGCTTTCATGCAGATGATAGTAACGCAGAAATTGCTGTAACAACTAAACTACGCAATGGATGTACTAAACTATGTGTGGTCTAGAGTCTAGACCACTCCTTGTTCATCTCTATAATCTTAATTCAGCAAGTATTTACATACAAAATTCTACACTTTGCACGCACTTTGCTAGACAATTTATGTAAAAAGACTGCAGGATACGGAAAGATAAGGGTGATTGAGAACTTGGCATAGAAAGAATAATAACATGCTACGGGACAAATTAGCATTTTTTGCAAGTTTGCTTTCCAAATATTTCTTGAGCAACAGCGTGATGAATGAATGGTACGAGTATCACGTAGAAACTTGTGTGCTGTTTCTTTTTCTTTTCTATTTTTGTAATACGTCGAATCCAGGTAAATATTTGACACCTGACCTGGCCCAAATTGTCATTTATTTCTCTTTCCCTGGCACTGACTGGATGCAACATTTCGCTTCGATTTTACTACTGAATCGGACAACATAATTTGTTACTTGTCGAATGGTGGAAAGTCTTTAGGGATTTGTCAGCCAGACAAATTCTAATGCAGGCTCACATACCCAGCAAAGATTAGCTTTCTGAAAAGCTTTTACCTCTTGATTGACTCACATACTTGTATTGCTTTCGACAAATGCGTACATGTACATATAGTGACAATATACGTACGAATGTACGCCCACCATCCCGATAAATAATTCTTTCTGTGCAAAAACTGACTTTTCGTAAATTCAATCAGCAACTTTAATAACTTTTAGCTTTTAAGGAATCACGAACAATGCAAGACTGATTGCAATTGGCATAATAATACTACAAAGAAACGTACATATCATCATCTATCATGCAAATTTTTATTTCCAACAATAAAAAATATAAAAGGTTTGATTCCACAAAACCACGCAACATAATCCAGCTTGTCGTACATACGTATGTAACCACCTGCCTACTCCTTGTCGTCGCCCCTGTTGGTTTTTGGCCAAAGATCACCAAGAATTGAGAAGAATTGGAGAATATTATTGGAATATTTCTTTTTCCGGAGTAAAAAAAACCCCAAAGAAGCAATTTGCAACTTCTTTGTCCTCTTTGTCAACTTGGGTTCAAATATTCACCTCTCTTTTTTTTCAAATCACTTCCACTTTCTTATATACATTGTACATACCACGAGGCGAGTGTTCTGTTCTTTCATATTTATGTGTACGTATATGTATGTGGTCGATAAATTGTTGGTGATTTTGGGTGGAATATATGTACTGGAAGGCTACGTTGTTTGTCCAATCTTGTTCTTCTCCTCCTCTGATCGTCACAGGAGACAGAACAATTTGTCAATTTTGTCAGTTTTGTTTGTTTGTATTATTGAACCACTACTGGAAGACTTTCATTTTCAGAGTTTAGTCCTTATCCCGGAGTTTTTTCTCTATCAAATTGCATTCTACTACATCTATTTATTTCGACATTTGCATACATCTGGGAAGCCTTTTATCCAGTCAGCCAGCCGTGGTCGGTTCGGGTCTATACGAATTGATCCTTGTGAATGTATATATATATAGAATGCAAAATTCCTTGCTACCTGGTCCTGGCGAAGCTGGATTTACTTTGTCTTTGATATTATAAGTAAATCTTATGTAACTCATCTTAAAAGGATTGCATAACAGGAGTTATGAAATTGAAATTAATGAGAATGTCTATTAAAACAGGACCAAAGTACCGGATACGACACGACTGCGAGAGAAAAAAATCTGTCCGTTGAAATAATCTCCTGTGAGAAAAAATATGGGAAAAGCCTCCTTATTTTCGTATATACCATGCTGAGGGTAGTACTTGATTCGGGACAAAGTCGAAATATTGAGGCGAGCAAAAAAATTCATTTAGTTCCACTTGCATTGCTGCCACTATGTGTTGTGTAATACGTTGTCGACTACAGCCCTGCTAGTTGTTGATCCTGAGATGATTATGATAAAAAATAGTGAAAATAGAGCGAGGGGAGCTGTTAATTTGGCAGAGCCTTTTACTTTCACCATTCGCTTGCTTGCTGGATGGGCTCGAAAATATATTATTACGAAGAAGAACTTGGTGGAGAAGTAAAAGTGGAAATAAGTCTCGGAAAAAGCTCCTTATTCTCCCGTTGCGTTTGCTTGAATCCCGAATTGCGGAAAGGATTCATTTTTATTTCTCCTCCGCTTTTATTACGGGAACGACGAGTACACATTTATGGGAGAAGATGTTCCTCCTCTTCTTTTTTAACCGACGAAACGTACATACCACCAACAGCAGAAATAACCAACCAACCTGCTAAGCAAATAGGAAGCAGAGACCGATGACTCTTTTGAAACATGAGCCCCTGTTGTGCAAACGAATAGCAGCGATTCAAATTATATAGAAATGTTATATACAAAAAAAACGAATGAATAGCGTAGAAACTGTCCGGGCTAATTCATGTCGTCGTTTCGTGGCGTTTGTATGCGTGTATATTTAGAATGTCAACAGCAATTCGAATAATGAAGGGGACAAAACACACGTATGTACGGACTTGGATACATGTATGGATGAGAAGTTTCATTGAAGCAACATTTTCATCAGACATGAAAGACTACTGCACAAACCTCCCTACTGCGTATTGTGCATGTGTCTCTTTTCACATGCTTTCACCACCGAGCTAAATATATCTAACTTGTATTAAGAAAAGAGCCATGAATAAGGAATGAAATGAGATAATTGTAATTACCTAGATTGTTTCGGCACATGTTTGGCACAATAAATTTATATGTGCATGCGAAGTCAGGCATGACGCTATTTCAGCTATATAAGTACTCATAATATGGTTTATATACAAGTGACGTGCGCCACAAGGTAATTGTTCTACGAGGATTGTTTCCAGTTATTGCTCCCTGGAGGCAGAAAGCCACCATGCAGCAGTGGACCTAGTGCCCGCCCGCACACACACACTATAGCCGATCCATAAGGGAGGGAAAAGGTGATAAGAATGAAAAGGAGGAAGTTGTCGGTAGATTAGTTCCTTTAACAGCTCGTGTATTTGAAACTTTTAAACAGAGGAGAAAGGAAGATAAACAGATTGAAACCTAATTATCCACTAAGTTTGCGTTTGCTTTACGAATCTTTTGTGAAGTAAGTGCCGAGAGCATGAAGCATCACTTTCACTACGACTCTAGGCCTATTTATATTACTACGATCACCATTTAGCTTTGCTTAAACAAGGAGAAAACTAAGAAGTTTGTTAATTATCGTGTAGTAGACAGTTTCCAAAAGTTTTTCTTTTGTAGCAAAATCCTCACCATCACCGTTGGCAAACTGGCAAATTGTTAGTAGAGTGGGTGAGAAGAGAAGAGAATAGTTTCATACTTATGTACATACGTGGGATACGAAAGATGATCCTCCTCCTCAACTTACTAACTACCACTAAACTGGTTAGCCGCAACGCTAACTGGTAATTTTTCTTGAAGTAATTACTCTTCTTCTTTCATCTTCTCACACTTCTCAAGCTTTATATTATTAATGTCACTTTGTCTCAAAAGTCTGAAAACAAAGTTTTCGGATCTTCTTCTCCTAAAGGACACCGAGAACGGAGAAGAAAGAAAACACTGGCCAAAAAACTATGGGAGAAAGACTTGTTATTTTTTAAGGGGATGTTCCATCTATGATAATAATGGCATTAGAGCATGTGATGTGTCGCAAATGAATGTGGCAGAACCGATTCATTAAGCTGTATTAGCAATGCAAATTTCGCGATTTAAGTTGAGCCTAAAACAGTAAAAATTTATTCATGACTACACATAAAAACAGGGAGGAGGAGGAAAAGTGTTACAACAAAAGTTATGTAGATAATACGATTCAAAAGTATATGTAAGTTGTGGGGTGCTTTGGTATACATGGTGAAGACATGGAGAGACGAGAGACAAGTTGAGGACGACGACGACGACGAAAATGATGATGTGATTCTTGCATTATTAAGTTATTGTTATGTTAAATGAGAATTTCATGTTATCCACCACTTCTTCACGTCTTGTTCTTTCTTGTCATTTTATTATATGTGTATCTGTCTACGAGTATCATGGCAAGAAGGCTTTTAGACTTTATTAAACCAGCTCAGCACTCAGATCATCAAATCTACTCGGCGTCATTTTGTCACCCTTCGTCGTCCTCAGCTCTTCACAGGCTTGATTTCTTGGACTTGTACTTGACTCTGGGATTCGTCGCAGTCACAGGTGGGACAGCCATCTAATCCCGTTGCTTCTACGCAATTAGCCCCACAAGTCGGGGTGGGACATACTTTCTCCGTTGTGGTTGGAGGTGGTTGGGTCGGACAGGAAGTTTGGAAACACGTTACGGAAGGAGGTGTGATACACTGGCAAATTGGAATTCCACATGGAAGTTGTTCTTCTGGAGAGGCGTGAGGATTCCAACGCTTGTTTTGTCTAAATTTCCTCACCGTGCCACCAACAGGGATCGTTTCATTTCCGAAAGTGCATGAGAGAACGCCATCAGATGTTAATTGTTCAATTGTTGGTTCCTTTCTGCACACGGAAGCACAATCTGACTCACTCACAAAATTATTCCTATTGCCTCTACAGCCTGAGTACACAAAAGGGATGCAAAGCTGGGTGGTGTGGTCCCAGTGGAAGCGGAGGATGTGGGCTCGGCATGGGCCTTGGACGGGAGCAAGTTTACAAACTTCTGTGGGAGAGGAGATGATATGAAATTAAAAGAGAGAAAGTTTTTTACCTTGCCCTTCTGCTCAGGGTATTTTCTTTCATTATTAAAAAAATGTCACAACTTGCACAACCAATTACGTACCTTCAGCTTCTTCTGGAGTTGGCAATGGCATAGGTTTCGCAGGTCGGGCTCGTTGCGTGGGAGGATCCATTTCCGTTGGAGTTCCTAAAGTCCCTATTTCCTCACCACCACGACTGCTGCCTTCTCCACCATCTTCAGCAGCGACTCTATTTTGTCTCCAGGGAAGACCGGTCATAGACATTCGCCCCCCAATGCCTTCATTTTGTGCAGTTGTGTCCGGCTGCTTGCACTGGTCCTCACATTCACTCAGACTTCCAAACCGGTTGGCGTTACCAAAGCAGCCCGAAAAGAGAAAGTAGTTGCACGTATTTGTTTCCGTATCGTAGAAATATGATGGAATGATGGCCTGGCATGATCCAGCCTTCATTGGGAGACGACACCTCTCCAAGAAACGATTTGATGAAGAAGAACGCCACCCTGACACGCTATCGTCGTCGCCTCGTCCTCCTTGTCCGCCTGGAAGAAAAAATATACACTTATAAGTGGTTGGTGGTTGGTTACGTAGGACGTACAATAATGCTACATGATCAAATAATATTTCTCCTTGAATTCAATTGTCAGTGTCAGTAATTCTTGTAATCCAATTTTGGTTGGACTCGCAGAATCGAGTTTTCTTTGAACTCTACTTTCACTCTGCTTTCTTTCTTTACCTTGAATGACGGCGAAATTTTTATCGCCACTTGGTTGAACTTGAGCCACTTGTGCTGTTCTACTGTCCGAAATGCTTTCAGGGCACCTTCTTTCACATTCTTCCAGGGACTTGAAGTTGTTGGGATTCGGACGGCACCCTCCGTAGACGAATGTCATACACCGGCCCTCCGCACTGTCGTAGTAATACCGGGTGACATAGGCTTTGCAAAACCCAGTCTTTTTTTCTAAAGCGCAAATACTCGTGGCAGAAGTAGTGTCGCCAGTCGTGACAGATTTACTGGGTTGTGATGCTGGAGGAGTAGTGTCCTCTCCAAACTTTACCATGGATGCATCTCCCCTGGATTCCTTACCAGAAGGAATACTTGTTCGAAGGCCGTGCACATTCAGGGCTGGGGTGCATGCCGCTTGACAGGATTCTTTCGAGTAAAAATTATTGCTGTTGCCTTTGCAGCCTCCGAACACAAAAGTGTCACAAGAGTTGGATTCAGGAGAGTAAAAGTAGCGGAGAAAGTAGCCCTTGCATCGGCCTGTTTCCTTCCGCATAGTGCAGGGATCCACTTCTGTCACTGTAAATCATGAAACCAACACAATATAAGCTCTCTCTCTCTCAATGAACTTGTGGTGAAGGAACAAATTGAGGACTTGGACTCGATTATGTGACAGTAACGAAGATAAATTCAAAACTAATTATCAACTTGGCTAGTGGACCAATTGTTGCAAAAATCCTCGTCCTCTTTCATGAAGAGAGACTTTGAATATATATATGTCGTAAAAGCAAAGTATTTAAGTGGGTGGGAGTAAAGTGGGGGGCATTTAATGGGCGCAGAACCGTTTTCAACAATCCTCACCATAAATTGCTCTCTCTTCTCGTTGTGTTGGAGTCTGGTGTTGCTGTGCCGTATTTGCATCCAAACTTCGGCCCAGTACTTTGTTATCTGGGGTGGATTCTGGAGTATCAGCAGTAATGCACAATCTCTGACAGTCCCTCTGACTGACAAAGTTGTTATCATTCCCGCCACATCCTGTAAACTGAAACTCTTCGCAATTGTTGGCATCTTTGTTGTAAAAGTAGCGAGTTCTGTGACCCTTGCAGTTTCCGATTTCCTTTGGCAGACTGCAAGCACTCTGGGTGAGGAGTAAATGTTTGTTTCTCATCTGAGGGGGAGGGATGTACACCTCGACGGTGGAAGATGTCGGGACCACTAATGGAGGTTCGATAGCTGGGGTTACGGGAACTGGTCCAACTTCACTTGTCTCAGGTGTTGTCCTCGTCGTGGTAGCGACACTCCTTGGTGGTGATGAATCGGTCGTGGCACCCTCGTTGTTGTCCGCTGTGAGGAAATAAGTAAAAGTGCATTAAGTATTGATTGCCTTTCACCACCTCCCACGCATACACACCAATGGATTGGAAAAATACTCACGGCATTCCCAAGAAATTGGGCAGCAGCTGGTTGATCCATCAGCAGATTGATAATAAACAGGTGAGCATCCTTTCGTAATGTAATCAGAGTAATATATCTCTATTCCGCAGTCAATAGACTCACAAAATTCGTCCGAGAGAGTGGTACCTTTTTTGGGGGGAGAAAGAAATTGGGTGGTTATTGGTTCGTGAGAGAATTTATTCTTTTCTTTCCCTCAATCTCTCCAACAAAAAAATGCTCCTCTTACCAAACCCTTTTCCACAAATGCATCTCAAGCACTTGGATTCCTTCGGATAAAAACGCTGCCCTTCATAAAAACTTTTCCCGTCCATGTTGCACTTGAAGACGGGTTGCTCCTCTTCTCCAGATAGGGCTGCCTGCTGCTGGTCAGGTTCTTGGATGATTAGAGTGTCTTAAAAAAGAAGAAAAAAAACTCAACTTCCCACATCAATTACTTTGTGTAAGGGAACTATAACTAGTTCCACTACGGGTGAAACTGTTGTTTGTTTTTATGGAGAGTCTGTTAATGTACCATTTGGGCAGTAAAAGTCGTAAGCACAGCAGCTCCCTTTTTTGTAGAGTGGAACGCAGTTTCGTTTCTCAGGTGAAATCGAGCCAAGATGTTCTGGACATTCGATACTTGCACACATTATTTTGGCTTTTCCGGGTTGAGTTTCAGAACAAAAACATGCTACACGGCAACTCCCAGAGTCGGAGGCTTCAGAAACATCTTCCCCAACGTTGTATGACTTTCCCTTGTAGTGGCATTGAGGTGGTGAATCTTCACTTGTTGGCTCACCAGGTAGGCTTCTTCCTTCGCCGAGGGTATTGTTCAATTGTTGTTGGGTCTTGTCAGCTATATTATGAGATTACATAATAACATAACTTGACAGGAATGAGATTTTGAAAAGTACAATTTTCACACTTACGACAATCAAATCGAGTCGGGCAACAAGATTGCCCATCGTAAATAGGTTTACAATCCTGAGTTTTGTAGTGTGTGTACAACTCCCAAGGACAATTCACGTCGGAACATTCCTCGTCTGTAAAAATAATAATAATGGGAACGGAAAGTTAGATCTCTCTGCAAACGAGTGATGATTTCAAGAAATTCTTCCATTTACTTTCTGAAGGTGTATCTCCTCCACAAAGTCGCGCACATTCTTCCCCGGTTTTGAAATTGTTGCCATTTCCTCCGCAACCCCCGTTGAAGACTTCGCAACGGTTATTCTTCTTGTTAAAAAAGTAACGCTTCTTGAGAGCGTAACAGAAACCGATTTCCTTTGGAAGGTCACACACCCTGCGATCCTTTGTACTTAATGAAGTTGCGATTGGTGGTGGTGGTGGGCTTAAGCCGTCATCTTTTCTGGGGTCAGGCTTTGCCGTGTAATTTCCACACGTGGCTTGGCACGATTGTCGATTCTTAAAATTGTTCTTAGTAGCTTGGCATCCTCCGTAAATGTATTCTACACAACTTCCTTGCGTGGCATTGTACGTCCAGCGTGGAATAAAAGCACCACATTGTACCCCAACGGGATGGATTGGAGGTAGGATGCATATTTCTATGTATAAACATGGACTATTAACTAATTTGCATACTTAAATAGGCACATGCAAAATGGGGAAAGATGACACGGCATAATAATAATCACTAAACAAACGAAATACTTATTTGCATATTTATGTACATAAGTACAAACCTTGTTCTTCCGCATCTCCTCTAGCGTTTGGAACACGCAAGATGGAAACAATAGGCAAATGTTTGGCACAAACAGATTCGCATGTTGCTAATGACTTGAAATTGTTTTTTCCGGCGCCGCACCCACCAAAGAGAAAGGTTTGACATTTTGCTGTAGCCTTGTTGAAGAAGATACTGCAAAGTTATAAATACTGAATTAAGACGCCGTCCAAGAGAGCAAAACAACAACAACATGCATTCGCAAAGAGAAGTAGTAGTAAAGTTGTTGGAAAGTTTCTTAATTTTTAAATGGCGTTTTATGTTCAAACATTAACAAAGATATTGCATAATGTAGCGTGAGTTGAATATAAATATGTATCATCATACGTACTGCCTTTCCCAGTCTTATATGCACATATTCTTATTACCGAGGAATAGCAGCTTTACACGGACCAACTCTTTTCTCCTCGAGACATGGATCGACTTCCACTGGAGCTGGAGTTGGTGGTGTCTGCAATTTCTCAACTTTCCCTTTTGTCTTCAGTTGGGTACTGAATTCTTCAAGAGATTCTGCATTTACAGTCTGTTGCTGCTGCTGCAAGGAATCATCTTCACTCGAATTCTCCTCTTCTTCTGCGCCTAAAGTTATAAAACAAAAGGCAAAAAAATGAGCTCCAGTGTTAACCATTATGCTCGGATTATTGCTCAATGCCATTTTTTGCTCGGATTCAATACACTCTTCACTCTTTTTCTGACGAGTTTGATTGAAATTTTATTTTTAGATTGTTACATAATTAATCCGACTTACTTGGGAAGGAGTACGATTTTTGTATCACGAAACAAATCAGCAACACTGCTAGGAACGAATTATTTATCTTACGCATCTTAAAAAAACTATGTATCACTTGCACTAAATATTATTAAATTGTTTCACTCCTTAGGTAAAAGTTTGTAAAGAAAGATAAGCTAAAAACTTGCACTACTCGTAAATACGTGAGGAGAACTGTAAAGTAAAGTTTCTCAGTCTTTCCAAGTGAATAATCTGAGATGAGCCGACACACACGGAGGATTAATATTCTAGCAGAGTTTTACAATCGTATTTATACATGTTGCAATTATTTACTGTTGAGACCTTGACGTTAAGACGGCACAGAGCATGAGGGGCTTATGCATTTGATTATGTATGTATGACTCCCATGTTTGGATGGGGATATTTATTTATGCATGCAAAAATGAGCCAAACACTAATACGTGTGATTCCCCATGGACATGACGAGAAGTTTTATGATCAGTACTGGTAATAAGAAGTTGGACATTCTTTTTCTTGGACCGGCTTGCGAAGCGTATATGTAACTCTTCGTGGCATCTTCGATAATATGATGTCATTCATTCTGTTCGTGGAAGTGTGTTGGTAAATAAAAGTTGCAAGAAGAAGAGCTGTTATACAACGCGACTTGAGATTCTTGTCAGATAAGTGTATGTACACTCGCATGTAAGTAATAGGATGAGTTCAAAGGAAATCTTGTTACGTAAATTTCTCTTATAGGAAAAGAATAAGGCCGGCTTTTGCCTTAAATTTTGGTTCAATAAGTATTATAAGAGTTCTGTTTTTGTATTTAGTAGTTAGTTGCATAATATTTGGCCTGTGTCAAATTGATTACACATCAGATCGCGTAAATGAGTTATATACATGACGCCCTTGACCGTGATACTGAGAAGTGAGAGCTGTCGGGTTACAAATCACGCATTTATTTAATACCAGTAGTACTTTGCTTGTACAAGCAATGAATCACAAAATTCTGTAAATCTTTGTTACCAATAAATAAGTACATTTGCGTATGCGGATGTCTGGATAACTCAACAACTTAATAGTATTGACTCATGGGGTTTAAGTTGACACAAAGTTAAGCTCGAGTTTAATAACATACATAAAAACTCAATGCTGCATTATAGACTAAAATTTATACAAATAAGTAAATATTTTTGTTATCCATAAATCTTAACCGTACATAAATGTGGGGAAATACGTACCCCACACAGTTAAAGGAAATTAGAAGTATCATCAAGTTTTCTATTTTAGATTTACATAGTCAAACTAAATGCATATTTGGTTACACGTGTGCATGAATACATAAATAAGAATAGCAGGAAGTGAGAGAATGTCGCAAAACTAATTTAGTTTTCTCCGAAATAGAATTCATGCATAATAAAAGTCACCATATTTTATGAAACTATTTATCTACGTGTGGGGGAACTGAGTCATCAAAATATTGCAAAACTAGTGATGCCTCTGGTACACACAATAATATGCAAGGAATGCCATTATTATGAAACACATTTTCCTCCACTTATGTCTTAAGTCGTTATTAATGTTGAAAACAATTTGCTATCTGGAATATCTTGTGGACATTATTCAAGCGAAGTAATCTCGTTGGCACACCAAGATCATAATCCAAAAGCTTATTGTTCTCACACCACAACATTCCCCTCCGCACTTGGCTCGTCTTCTCGGAATTTGCCGGCTCTATTGTTTCTGGACAATTTGCTCCCACTCCTGTTAAAGCAACACCTTGACAGGATTATATGTAGGTGGGTTTTATGTAGTTAGTTGCTACCTCAAATAACCAGGAAAGTCCTAGTAACTACTTAAATTCGTTATTATGTTCTCAAGCTAATAACTCAGCATATGGTCCCCAACTTGGCCTCAACATTCGCACCCACACACGTGCACTTACACAGGAGAGAAAATACTTGTGTGTACTTTTAAGCAAAGTGTTGAATTATTTCCCTTTCGCTTTCTGCCTACTCTCACTTTCATTACTTTAGTAAAAGCCGGGAACATGGGAAATCCAAGTTGGATGGAAATCCTGACACTCTTGGAATGCAAACCAGACAAGCTGCGTCCCGCTCAGGGCTGCATTTCTGCATAAAGCATGCACAATTATTCAAGGTGAAGTAGAATTTCTACGTAAGCCTTTGTCTCAAGGTGGGTAATTGGATAGCGTATAATACTGGCTAACTTATATGTAGGCTACGTGGAGCAGAGGGGAGCCATGTTTTGTTAAAATGTCATGGATGCTGCCCTCAACTGCAACTAATTAAACTTTCCTCTGGTCTGTCTAACCTCCAGTCCTTTGTGATTTAATGGTGCTTTCAGCTTTTTCCACTTTTCAGATGCAGTTTATAACTTCAGGCTCAAGGTTACGTAGACTCGTAATATTCTGATGAGATTAGGTATGCAGGTTGAGAGGGCGCAGGAGAAAATAATTAGATTTGCTTGGATAACCTGGGAATACAGCAAAACTGCATATTCATTATGCACGGGGCGGACGTAAATATGTAATTTTTGCAGTTTTTACGACCACACGGTTCGAAAATTTGGGTATAAATCTAAAAATCATGAGTGCAGTGGGTGGAACCACCGAACTGCGGTTGCATTATTGCATCGTTACGTAACTCCGCCATAAAATGTATGGCTGTTTCACTTATAAATACATAATCATTGTATATCGTTGCATCATCTATCAAATCGTAATCCCCTTCATTTTTGTCACTAGCACGACCTCAGCTCTACATAAATATGATAAAATCCTCCACTCCGTCCGTCTGTCCAAAATAATTAACAGAATAAACCAATATGGTCGGAAAAAGGATGCATTGTATGTTTTTAGAATAATGGAGACTTGGTTCATTCAAGCATGAAATTAAATGACCATTAATTTGCATAGCGTGCTTAATTTATTACTTTGCATTTTTTTACAGCTTCTGGCCATCCAAGAATTCTGCTCGGCAACAAAAGAGTACTGTCCCAAGGGGGATTCTGGCCCTCCAGGTCTGATCGGTAAACCAGGGCCGAAAGGCGATCGGGGAGAGAGTGGATTTCCTGGAGAATCTGGATCACGGTAAAACACGAATATTTTAAAAGAATGTTTTCCTACTGAACTTTCTCTTTGGGCACATTTACTAAATTATTTCTTATAATTTGTTCCACAGGGGACCCCAAGGACCGGTATTTTATTATTAAATATCTCCTCCATACCCCCAACTCCTAAGGATGTAATTATTGAATTTGTTTCTTTCAGCCTGGTTTTCCCGGGATCAGGGGTCCTAAAGGCGAACCTGGTAAGAAAGAAATATGACTGTGATGACTCGCTAAAAATAATTTGTAGACTGTCCAACGAATGAGTTTCTTCTGAAATATGATGAAGTGCTGTGCGTAAAAAAAACTTTGTCGTTCTTTACAAATGAATTTTTGGTAAAAAAATGAAACGAAACGAATGGTCTTTTGCACATCATCATCTCATTTTTGTGAGACCGCATCATCTTCTGTTCCCACGCTCCTTGTCACTTCCGAGCAAGGTTTCATTTGTCAAGTGGTGATGCTCTGGTGAAATGAAACGTCTTCTACTTTTCACATATTTAAGATGTAATAATTTTTGGCTAACATTTTCTCCTCATGTAGGCTTACCAGGAGGTGATGGACGAGATGGTTTGCCAGGAGAACCTGGTTAGTGAAAGTTTTTTTTTACTATTTTTTTCTAAAAAAACGACGTGACACTGATAAATTCATGACATCAAATTATATTATAGGTTTGGATGGTATCCCTGGCAGGAGTGGATTGGACGGTAATTTTATTAGTGTGAAAATTATGGGAAACTTTTACTTAATTAAATGAATTTCTGAAGGGATTCCTGGTATTGATGGAATGTCAGGGATAAATGGTGAGTATTTATAACCTTATAAGTATTATCGTCAAAATTATCATCAAACCATACATATAATATCGTTTACTGTGTAGGGAGACCTGGTGTTAATGGAACGAATGGTTCCGATGGTAAAATTCTTCTATTCTACAACTATTTGTAAAATATATGGAATAGTTTCTCTCAATGTTGGATGAAATTGTAGGATCAGTGGGTCCACCCGTAAGTTCTCTCCAGTTTCATTTAATATCATGGATACAAATTGGTATACCAATACCAATTACCAAAAAAATTAAGTAACTTTTAACATATTATCTAGTAATTAATTATCAGTCTACGATTCTATTTTCAGCACTACTTAGTCTTGGTAGACCCCATAACATGAATTATCTAACCGTTTGTGTTATAAATTGGTAAAGTGTTGCAACAGGGGGTGTGGCATCAGGACTCTTCAAATAAACGCCAACCCTGGAGTTAAAACCCCGATTCAAAGAACAGTGATATTTACTCAATTTTGAGTTTTATCAAAAATTAGTAAAACACATTTACAACGATATGAAGGAGATCATGAATATAGCTGGTTGAAACAACATATTAGGATGTTCGATACAAAAATATAGCCGTTTGAACATGTCATCCGGATTGCCTCTATACGCTATTATAGGGTATCGCCATTTAATAGAAGAAACTTTATGAACACACTCTAACTATAAATTAAATAAATAAATACAAATAAATAAATAAAACCTACAGTGCAGACTTCATATAGCCCGAGTCAGGGGGTGTACAGTACTTCATCGGTGAAACGATTATTTTGCATTAAATTTATCTTATATAATACAAATTTCTAGCATGAACAACAACCATACCAAGTTTTAACTGGATTATCAATTGATAATATCCGGTATAAATTTGCGAATTTCAGTTAACATTCTTTCATTAGATTCCATTATCCACCACCATGCCAAATTTCAGCTAATTTTTACGATTTCGAAAAATCAGTATGGGTTACCCCATTTAGGTCCCTTCATACTAAAATTCTTCCAATTTTATTCCATACTCTTTCATTAAGAGCCATTAACAACCTCTATGCCAAATTTCAGCTTAATTGGACAATTTTGAAAAATCGGTATGGGTCACCCGGTAGGGTCCCCCCAGAGGAATATTTTTCCAAATTTACTTCATATTCATCCATTAAGAGCGATTAACTGCTTCCACACCAAATTTTATCTCTATTAGATGATTTTTCAAAATCGGTATGGGTGACCCTATCCTGGTGAGTTTTTTCACAATTTGACATCATGTTCTTTCATTTGAGGCCATTACCGACCTCTGTACCAAATTTCAGCTCTCTACGACTATTCTAAAATTTTGGTGTATAAGACCCCCACCACCCATATGGTCCCCACCGGCCAACCAGTGGACCGATCTGGCTCATCTTCGAACTTGATTCCTAACTTTGTCCAATATGCATATGGTGAAAATTTCAAGTCGATCGGTTCAGGCGTTTTGGCTCTATCGAACTCACTGACAGACAGACAGACAGACGGACATGACGGTTCCATAAGCCCTGACTCGGGCTAAAAATTCAGAGAGCCATCAAAGCACACGCTAAAATTTTATAATAGACTAGATAAGATAGTTCATCTTATTTACAAAAAGTAACCCAAACCAAACCCAATCTGTATTCAAGCATCATTGTAAAAAACAATGTCATATAGTGCAGTCTGCTTACCTTTCATCAAAGTTTGGAATGACCGATGATAAAGATCGGCTAGTCCAGGGTGCAGTGGATTGACCGAAAACTACAATCGACTTGTCATGACTTGAGAAATCATGATGATGGTTTCAAAAGCACTAAATAAATAATCAAGGGACAAGCCGATATGAGTCATCGGTCATTCCAAAGTAACACTGATACTAAAAAAATATTTTTAACTCTACTTTAATCTTAAACTTTATAACACTCTATAAAAGACCCAATAGATTTAAGGTTGCAGGTTTGAACATAAACGTTTAAATTTTTATTTATTTAATATACACTAACAGGACCATGCAATTATACAAGAAAATCTTACAAATTATTTGTAAATAGGTAATTGTCAAAACATGTTAATCATTTTATGTTCGATTGTTCAAGACATCAGATAATGGAACAGCTGATATCATTTGGATATGACCTCCATTAAAGACCTCGGGCAATATCCCACTTCTGACCATGTCTGCAGTCTTCTTATCAAATAGGTCCACATTAAGTTGTATTTGTTCCTCCAACTGGGGAAAGAATTCTGTAAAGAGTGGAATGCTCTCTAATTCTGCTGAGAGTCCCATAGCTCCAAGACGATACCGGTGCCAAGTTTTGGCTCTTTTTGCAAGTCGGTGACCTTTGAAAAGGTGTGGAAAAGCGACGGCCTTTTCAACTGCCCACTCTAGTCCTAGTTTTATTCCATGTCTGTAAAAAATACAAAAATTATTATTATTTACACGTATATATAATTGTCAGTCAGATAATATTTTTTATTATTACCGGACGGTGCAACCCCTATTTGCATCTATTTCTTCAGAGTTGAGATTTTTTGTAACTTTTCGTTTCATTCTTCTAGCCCTGACCTTGACGTTTACTAAATTCGTATAATTGATCGTTTTTTCTACTTGTTCTTCGTCTTTTTCAACTGGAATGAAATATATCCGTCGAAGGTCATCATCTAAACAAAAGTAGTACATTTTTAGGTTAATTAATATTTAAAAATGAATAAACGTGTAATATAAAAACAAACCTTGCTTATCTTTTTCCGTCATAGGCCTCCAGACCACTTTTTTATTATCGTCGCATGCGAAAATCATTGTTCCGATCTCAGTTTGATATGCGATAGATTGATTGTCAATATATCGTTCCCCTGATTCGTGAACTTTCTCATGTCTGAATTGTGCATTATAGTGTTTGAACCTGGTCCCACATCCTTCATATCTACAAATGTACGGCCGCTCGTCTGAATGAACGGCCATGTGACGTCGGAGTTCAGAAGGCTTCGGAAAACATTTATAGCAGATACTGCATACATGCCCATTTTTCTTTGCATGATTACCTCTACAAAACGATTAGAATATCCAAAATTAGTACGATATGTACACGTATATAAAATCCGAACCTAACCTTTTCTTGTTATCCTGACAATTCGAGCATTCACATTTCACATAGACAGGAGTTTTTTTTGCTTCTTCTTCTTCTCTTAGTTTTGCAACCTTTTGGATTTGTTCTTTTGCTGCTAGTTGAATCTTACGATTTTCTTTCTTACCATCCAATTCGTTACAATTAGTCTTGTGAATATCTTGTTCCTTTGACGAACATGACGGTAAGCTGATTGAAGCATAGTTTGATGGCTTTGGTGACTCATGTTCGTATTTGGACAATTTGGTTGAAACATCTTTAAGTTTAGAGATAGTCTTGTAAATCTTCGATAAGAGGAATTGAAGTTTCAAATCAATTTTTTGGTGATTTTCCTCGTCAATGTTTGAAATATTTGCTTCTGAAAAAATACCCATAATTACTATTGATGAAATTGTTACCTATTTTCCATATATTTTTGTTAGCATATGTAAATTTATATAAAATTAATAAATAGAAGTGGAAAATAATGAAATCATTATGGAGTAGCCGATATATCTCTTCGGTCAGTCCAACGACGACAAGATTAATGATCAACAAATGAAATGTATTTTTATGGAATCAACTGTTAAGTAAATATCACACCTTGGGCTGGGGATTCTGGTTCATCTAAACGTGTAAGCCTGTCATAGCAAGTGGTCATATCTTGCTTATTAAGAGAATCCATGCTGATGTTATTTGAGGCAGAGGACGACTGTCTGGGGGTAAGATTTTTCTCACCTATTGAAAATACAGTACAACATTATTATTGAAAAATATATTATAAGCTATAAAAATTAGTTGAACAAACTAACGTTTCTTATTAAATGCTTCATTAAATTTAAAAAGTGATGGGGAAGGCCCCTGATCTCGACATTCCCGTTTGGGAAGAAGTCTTGGCTTCATGCTGCCCCTTGATATTTCTATAATAGTAATTTATAACGTTTATGAATCACGTGAAATTAACTTACGATTATTGGCTACTCGTCTATTACCTTTCTTTTGACTTTGCAAAGTATCAAGATTTCGACGTTTGCGTTTAGACAGAACACTCTTTCTTTCACGGCTTCTGGGAATTTCTGCAAATATATATCAAGCTATATATAAAGTCTAAACGTGTATCGAATGATGTTACAAATAATGTGCACTACGTTGACTAAAGCTTGCAGTACTATTTGGAGAATTGTAATTGGAATTAAAGATGAGAACGATTCACTTACCGGCATCAGATGATTCGTACGATTCCTCGTCTCTCTCATTGGTTGGATAAAGCCTCTGCTTATCTAGGAAAAAAATGACATATTGTCGTTTAGCCATAAATATAAAAATATATAAACGTATATCAATGTGTATCATGAACTAACCTCTATCTGTCGAAATATTAATAAGTTCCAGTCGCCTTCTTGAAGGTGCGTAGTCTCTGCGCATCCGTTTAGACATTGCTCTCTTCTTTGTCCGACTTCTTCGAGTTTCTGTAAAAAAAAACAGTCAATACTTCTATAAACGTTTACGGATCAATGTTTATCGCAGCTATATAAATATTATAGAGTAAGTCATAAATGTAATGAAGAATTACTTACCGTTTGCAGTATCTTCTTCCAAAGATGAAGAATTTTCGCCATCACGATCATTCGCACTTGGAAAATAGTCTGATTCCTCCTCAGACGAGCTCTCCGTCCTCCTTCTTTTCGACATTTAAACGTTTAACTTATCTAACTACTGTATTATTATGAATAATCAGTGCGAGCACGCAAAAAGTGAACTGGGATATTATTCGAAGTTCGATTCTTTTTAAAGTTACACGTCTATATTAAAAAATAATCGGAGCACAATAAGAGATGTCTGTCTTGCTCAAGATGCCAATGCCAAGTGAGGAGTTAGTGTGCTGACTCTGATGTGACGCTCGCTTGCTTACTTGTTGTTGTTTTTACACGCTTACAGTATGATTAGGAAATATTATAACAGCGGAAGAAAAAAGTACCAACAGCAGCAAGGAGAGTGGGAGTGGTTTCTTGTTTGAACTCGATTGTGTATGCGACAACAACAGGTTTGAACCTGTCTGACTTTTTTCTGGAGCAACCGAGATATCAAGTGAAGAGGCATCCCAGCACAGTCGGCTCCCTCACTCATCATTTCATTTTTGCGAGCAGGGATTGAAACATTGGTTTTTCATTCGTTCCGAATTATTTTTGACTTACACGTGCAAACACCTAAAATTTCCGAGTTTCGAAGATTACAATTACGTGTATTAATTATAGTTAAGTAGAATATTTAGTTTAATTCCCTCGAATGATGTCAAAGCTGATGAAATCGAAGGACTCGCCGAATTCTGAAGGGTCAGAATATTATCAAAGTGACACGGATGAAGATATCTGATGAAGAATATGTACCTGGTAAGAAATTTTTCTCACTTTAATAAGCATAATCAAATTATTATAATCAGTTTGTATGTATTTATAAATTTATATTCCTATAATTATGCATTTTAATACACGTTTAAATAATTTATGATATACATATTATATTGTAGAGACTCGCAGGAAGATAATATTCTTCAAGCGTCAACGTCGAAAACGCCGGGAACCATCACGAGGGTCTTCAAAAACGCCTGGTGATGAATCAGAGTATACATCAAATGGCAGTGATTACGATGTCAAAACGTCATCACTATCCGACGAAGATATTCTCATCGGTTAGAAATTTTGAATTACTTTCATTCTCATGCTGTTGATATACGTTTAATTGTTATTTACCACTTGAAAATATTTGTAGAAATTATAAGAAGCAAGACAATGAAGAGAATGACCGTCAAACGACCACGCCGGGATCACGAACCTTCACGGGTGAGAATGGAAGCTGAAATCGTCTCACTGAATGACCAAGAAAATGCTACAGTTGACAAGAGTAATTCTTCATCAGAGATTCATACAAGTGTAGATGATCAAGAGAATAATTCACAGGAGCAAGGTAAGAAATTATTTTATAAAATATATTAATGTTTTAAAGATAAATGTACAAATTACCTTAATAATATTATAAAAATTCCCAAAGCTCACCACGATAATGATCAAGAATCAGTTGATGAAAACGTCGACATTTTGTCTTACTGTTTGTCACATTTTGCTCCAGGTGATAATTTATGAATATTTTATAATGTAGTCGTCAATTTGGAATGACCGATGACCTTCATCGGTTTGTCCAAACTGTTCCTTGTCATTTTTTAATTATTTTACAAAATTTTTAGGACATCAACCACTACTAGAGCGCAAGAGACTAGTGGCTAAACATCTTCTCTACATATCAAAATTTCTGGAAAGCCAATTAGAAGAAAAGACCAAGAGACTAAACGAGTATATGCAGACCCCGTCGACTCTCCGGAATCGTATGACCGGTCATCTACATCTTTCCAATATCCAACCACTTCAAATGTGCTAGGTTCATCTGAACCTGAGGGTCAGAGCAAGAAAAGAATATTTTTAGCATCGGACTCACAAATCCAAAAGGCTGTAAAACTAAGAGAAGAAGAAGACACAAAAAAAACTCCTGTTTATGTGAAATGTGAATGCTCGAATTGTCAGTATAACAAGACAAGGTTAGGTTCGGATTTTATATACGTGTACATATCGTACTAATTTTGGATATGTTAATCGTTTTGTAGAGGTAATCGTACAAAGAAAAATGGACATGTTTGCAATATCTGCTCTAAATCGTTCCAAAAACCCGCGAAACTCAGATATCACATGGCCGTTCATTCAGACGAGCGGCCGTACATTTGTAGATATGAAGGATGTGGGACCAGGTTCAAACACTATAATGCACAATTCAGACATGAGAAAGTTCACGAATCAGGGGAACGATATATTGACAATCAATCTATCGCATATCAAACTGAGATCGGAACAATGATTTTCGCATGCGACGATAATAAAAAAGTGGTCTGGAGGCCTATGACGGAAAAAGATAAGCAAGGTTTGTTTTTATATTACACGTTTATTCATTTTTAAATATTAATTAACCTAAAAATGTACTACTTTTGTTTAGATGATGACCTTCGACGGATATATTTCATTCCAGTTGAAAAAGACGAAGAACAAGTAGAAAAAACGATCAATTATACGAATTTAGTAAACGTCAAGGTCAGGGCTAGAAGAATGAAACGAAAAGTTACAAAAAATCTCAACTCTGAAGAAATAGATGCAAATAGGGGTTGCACCGTCCGGTAATAATAAAAAATATTATCTGACTGACAATTATATATACGTGTAAATAATAATAATTTTTGTATTTTTTACAGACATGGAATAAAACTAGGACTAGAGTGGGCAGTTGAAAAGGCCGTCGCTTTTCCACACCTTTTCAAAGGTCACCGACTTGCAAAAAGAGCCAAAACTTGGCACCGGTATCGTCTTGGAGCTATGGGACTCTCAGCAGAATTAGAGAGCATTCCACTCTTTACAGAATTCTTTCCCCAGTTGGAGGAACAAATACAACTTAATGTGGACCTATTTGATAAGAAGACTGCAGACATGGTCAGAAGTGGGATATTGCCCGAGGTCTTTAATGGAGGTCATATCCAAATGATATCAGCTGTTCCATTATCTGATGTCTTGAACAATCGAACATAAAATGATTAACATGTTTTGACAATTACCTATTTACAAATAATTTGTAAGATTTTCTTGTATAATTGCATGGTCCTGTTAGTGTATATTAAATAAATAAAAATTTAAACGTTTATGTTCAAACCTGCAACCTTAAATCTATTGGGTCTTTTATAGAGTGTTATAAAGTTTAAGATTAAAGTAGAGTTAAAAATATTTTTTTAGTATCAGTGTTACTTTGGAATGACCGATGACTCATATCGGCTTGTCCCTTGATTATTTATTTAGTGCTTTTGAAACTCTTTAATAAATTTTTTTAGGGACCAGCTGGACCAGCTGGCCAAAGAGGTAAATCACACATTTTCTCCCTATCTACCGAATAGTTGACAAAGAATGATGAATTTTTCAACTCTTTTTTGAGTTTGACCACTTTTTTGCGACTTTCTCCTCCACCTTAAACTTTCTTTAGTTTCTGAATTGTTTTCTGAAAATCGATGCTCATGACGATCACGATGATAATGTATTATTTAGGCTTGCCAGGCCCGCAAGGAAGGATGGGCGCTGTAGGAAATTCTGGCCGAGACGGGATCCCAGGAATAAACGCGTGGCTGTACAACGGCACGAGTCGTCAACAGCTTTTGATACCTCCTTCCATAATTGGTAAGCCTATTGTTCTTCGTAGTTACCAAGTTCATCCACGTTTTCACTATTTATTATTGGATTAATTTAAGCAAACAGTTATTGCATTATTTAAATCTACGATTAAAATAGACAGAGAGAGAGATAAGTAACACGCATCGAGATAAGTTAGTTAGGCCTTTCTTTGTACAAGGAAGGAGAAGAAGGAATTTGCACAATATCTCGAATATTAGCCAGTAACGGAAGTTAGTGAACCAAACTAAAGGAAGGAAGCTATATCACCACCTCTTGACGAATTTGTGGTTGATTTGATGCTTGGGTCTCCGAGAGGAGAAAGTGAAAACGAATTATGATCCCACAACGACTACTGCGAGCATTACTGCTGACGACGACGGTACCTGCATTGCAACCTACTTGAAATTCTTCCCAAACCTCCTCCTCCAACTCTCCGTGGAGAAAGTCCCGGAAGATCATATAGGAATACAGGAGCCCAGAATTGAGATAATTTCTCTCCTCGAGATCAAAAGCCATCTGGGAATTAGATTGATTTGGCATTTCAATTTTATTATTACCCCGTCGAGACGTTGCTCAATAAAGTTTACAGTCATGCCAATCTTATTGCGATGATGTGCACTCATGATTGCAATCCGTTCTGTTGGCAGGAGATCTATGCGCCACGGTTCGTTTCCTTATTTCCTCCTCTTCTCGTACATATTTCCGTTGTTTCATTAAATTAACTACTAACCACTTCCCATTTTATCCTGTGGGAAACACAGGAAGAAAGTGCATGCATTCTTGTCCGGAGTGGATACAGATTTAATCAATTATTTAACTTCCTGTTTTAAAAACTCTGGAGAAAAATAGATAATAAAATATTTTTTATGTGTTTCAGGTGCTCACACGAAATCCAGACCGCTCGTAGTCAATGAAGGTGAACACGTCCGTCTGCGCTGTTCTGCTTCTGGAGTGCCGAAACCAACGATCAAATGGAAAAGAGATGACGGTGCCCTGATCCGTTTAGGAGCTTGGAAATGTAAGTAAAAAAAGTGACCAATTATGTAATTTGTAAATTTATTTGGCATTTTTTTCCACCATTTATCACGCCCACTCGTCCATCATAGAGTGAGGGCGAGTCAAGGGCTTCCTCTCTGACGGCGAGAACGGACCTGACTGTAATTTCGTGTCGAGTTTAATCTCTAAATTTTGGGGAAATAACGCAGAGAAAATGTCCGGAAGACTGTATAAAATGTCATCTTCACTCGAGTCAGTCAGTTCAGAAGAGTGCAACATGCTGGCATACTTTCTCTTATTTTCTCTTCTCCTCTCTCCCAGTTTATTTGGGAGGGTTGGGCATTTCCAATCTATCCATTCTGCTCTTGTCTGCCTGCCCTGGTCAAACTGGAATTGGAAAGTGTCACTGTGTCCACTGCTCGAAATGTCGGCTCGATCTGACGCCGGAGCTGCTGTCGAGGTGGTGGTATTGGTTATGAGATGAATGTTGTATAAAGTCTTCTTCGTTGCTTGCATCTCTCTATCCATCTCTTCTTTTGCCTTTTCTGATTTCTCCAAAGATGAAAAGGGAAATCTCTCTCCTCCAATTTTCTCCTTTTTCCATACCTTGTCTTGCTCTCGCTCTGGGTAAGATATGGACAGGCAAGGAACGTGGCGGCGGTGCGATTGACCAGAGGACAGAGAGTATCATATTTATGGCTCCAGAGAGCTCAAATTGGAATTTCTTCTCTTCGTCCTCTTGGTTTTGGTTGGTGTTGTGGCCAATCGCCAGTAGGAAATGTCTGAGGGGGAGGTGGGTTTCTGATTTCCTCTCCATCAGCCGCTTTTTTTCTTCCTTTCATGCGGTCAGTTAAGGTTGGTTGGCTCGTTCGTTACGCAAAATAAAAAAAATGTCCACGGCGAAATTGGAAGTGGATAAAATCCTCCACCACCACCACCACCACGGGTAATGGAGGTTATACTATTTCCGAGAAAATCTCACCTATCTGATGATCACCGCGTGTGTATCATGTTATCATCACACCATTCCTTTCTTCCCGAGGAGAAGATGAGCAAACCTGAGCCGATGTCTTCCAACTTTTACTTGATATCTTTTGTACGTACGAACCAACTTTATTTTTCTGCGTAGTTGATTTTCACTAGAGGCTGGCAAGTCGTTGGGGATATTGACACTGCATTTTAAATGGAGATTGAATTTGTAACCGATATCTCTCGAGATGAAGGTGGACGACACTTTTGAAATATACAATGGAGCAATCTAATCTCAATTCGAGTGATTTGACCCGGATCATCTATCTATGAACTGGAACTTTGGTCTCTTGCTCGCACTGGTCGGGTAAACTTTGTACCTTTGGAGTTTATTATATCCTCTCAGTTAAAGAGAATCCTGATCCCAGTGGTTCCGTTGTTGGAAACTTGTAACGCTCTATCTGACCCATAAACTTACCCGGGTTATCTATGCAGCATCGAGAGAAGTGAAAAGTTGATTTCAAGCATGGTCAACTCTTCTTTTCTGAATAAAAATAGGAAATTCAAGTCTATTAATCTTCTCGGGTTTCGAGTTTAGTTTCCTCCTTTTTTAACTCGTGCAAAACCAACCAACCAGTCCATCGCTTTGTGTGGGCTTCATCTGCTTGGGGACAGTCTCGCTCTAAACTTATCCGCAATTTCAATTCTTAGACAGCCAGCAAAGTTTTATTGGTCGAGTTCTGATCATTCTGGACGGACAACTACGACGACATGACGAATTTTGATTCATGTTTGTCGAACAAAGCAGTGTAGAGTTCAACGAGAGGATATCCGTCGTCGTTTTAAATTGGACATATGTACATGGTAAACTGAAATATATTCCTTTGGACCAATGAATTGCAGTAGTTCTTTTCAAAAAAGTTTTTTTCCTGCCATCAAGAAACGTAGGAATTTAATAATACAATAGAGAAAGTAGAGAAAAGGAAACGGGAAAATTGAGGTGTGCGGTTTTGCGGAGCCAATTCCTGCTGCAAAAATCAGTTGATCAGCAGTTTTTATAAAAGGACCAACTCTAACTCTGCGTCGAAGGAGGACGAATATGACAAAACAATTCTAACGTGAAAATTGTATATACATTGTTGGTTGGCTGGCTTATTTGCTACTTTCTCCCTTCCTGTACATATCTCCTATCGGAGTGTCACGGACTGTGAAAATTGCTGAGGTAAGCAATTTATGAAAACCAAGCCACGGTGTAACAAGATCCAAACCAAATCCTTCCTGGAATAGAACTTGTCATCGAATGACCAGGTTGAGGATAAATAAACCAAGTCGATCATATTGTTTCTCCGCACGATTTATAAACAAACAAACTCTTGCTATATTACACTTTAAGCTTAATCAGAATCCCAAGTACTATCCTCACAACGAAACGGAATGTTATTCTCTTAAACTATTCAACTTGTCCAAATATTGAAATTGGGTGTAATTAATTTCAATTCTAGCGTCCGGAATTGAAGCAGCGGTCCTCAACCTGACGAAAATCAACAGAGAGCACATGGGCGAGTACATTTGCATCGCGGACAATGGAGTAACGCCTTGGCAGCAGCGCTCCTTCAATGTAGAAGTTCACTGTAAGTTTGCCCGTGTTTTATTAAGGGGTGAAAGCCCTTTATAAGATCGTTATGTCCGTCTGTCTGTCCGTCCGTCCGTCCGTCCGTCCGTCCATCCGTCCGTCCGTCCGTCTGTCTGTCCGTAGCTCCGATAACTTTTGAACGAAAAGACATAGACACTTGAAATTTTGAACGTAAACTCCTAACGTCAATAGAGAGGACGAGTTCGAAGATGGGCACTGTAGGTCACACCCATCAAGGTCAAAAGGTCATGAAATTTCATTTAAAGGTCAAATTGCATACATGCATCAATTTGAATTGAAATACGGATAACACACTTCTTTCACCCCTTGGTTACATTCGTTGTGACGGTTTATTTATCGTCACTTAAGGTCGTCGTATCAACGTCGTCGTGCGTGTAGGATATCGATGTATGCAGTGCCCGATAAGCAATATAATGGCTACACACACACATTGACAGTTTCCGCCGTATTGACTCATATATACGCCGAATATCCACTTGGGCTTTGGCCTGAGCAGCACAACAGCCATTGATTTCCCTCTTGTTTTGAAAGGGAAAGAAAGCAATTTTGAAGAAACCATTACACTGGTGGAATTGCAGATTTAAAAGAAATTGGTATTTTCTTTGGGGGAAATGATGTCTTGCGAACTTTTGAACTGCTGCTGCTGGATGAAACCGTTTTAATTAAAAGTTTTTTTTAAGAAGGAGCCCGTTTTACAAGTAAACGATCGCAAAGCCTTTTATGCTATAGCGAGAAGTTATGATCTGAAATAAACTTTTTTTGAATCATTCAGCATTAAAGCTCATCTATTTGCTTTTGTGTCAAAAACATGAACCCCTATCTTCCCCTTTTTACGGTTACTACTTACAACCGGCTCAAGTCGACTGGTCTCCCTCCTCGCTGGCTTGTAAAAATCCTTAATTTTATGGTTTCATGTAATGTGATTGTATATAACATGGATTTAAAAGGACGGACATTTTATTTCTCGAAAAACTGAAATGCAATGGTTCCAAATGGAAAAAAAAGCCAGGCAGCAAAAAAGCTCTAAAAAAACTAAACCTAGTATAAACCATCGAAGCAGGAGGAAAAGAGGTTCAAGTTTTCTCTCACACTTTCACCGACCGACCAACGCACCACCACCACCGTCCAAGTGAAAGTCAGCCTTGGTGGTGTGGGTTTGTATGCCGTGTGGGTAAAACTGAAGTAAAATAGCATTTCATTTCTCAGCCTGCCTCTATTTTGACGGTCTTACCGACTTCATATAAATTTTATGGGTCATAACCAATCCAGCGTGGAATGAATGTGATGTAGCTCGCTGATGATGCTGCTGCTTTGCCGGATGGATGCAGGAGCAATGACGGGATTTATTAGGGTAGTTTATGTTCTCTATTATGTCCACTAATATAGCAAAAGGGGCAAATTGAACTGCTATTACGATATTAAACAATTTCAAATGAGGTTTTCCCATTCAGCGCACTTGATTCCGATTTCTCTCTCCGTACTCATCACACAACAGATCCGAGAGGAGTTTTGTTTTGTGGTGGCTTCACTTATTATTTCACTGGTTTAGCAATCATTATGCATTCCTATCGAAAAATTTAATTCCTAGTCGTCCGTCCTTTTCCAATCTGAAATCAAGCGCCAGAAATTTCAGAAACTTTCGCCACACGAGAGGAACATACACGAGAGGAATATGCTGCATATTTTATCCTCGTCGTTGTCGCGAGGCTTTCAATTTGTGGTCACACCATGAACATAATTATGCATGGATGGAGATCCTCCGATCCTCGGGTAGTGTGCTGGTCAAAATTCGAGTCACGTGGGGTTACGATTATATTTTCCAGGCTTTCTTCCGAGGTGGGTTTGTTAGTCAAAAGCTTTGCAAGCAAGCAAGCACAGTAAGTAAGTGACATTTGGTTCAATATTGGTTTTGTATTCATGGGGGAATGTTTACGATTGGGGAATGTTTATTTCTGGACCATATTTCCTTCACTAGTGAAGTGGCAGAAGAGCCGCTCTCTCGACTTGTGTCGTTATTCTCCTCTCCATTATGAATGGAAATTCTTGCATGTGGATGGCGGACGGAGGTGAAAGTTTGGTTGTATCGTTCCCATTGTTGTGTGTAACTCTGCATCATCATAATTCACCGTTAACTCTGACTCTCTTCCCGACTGTGTGAGATAAGCGGGTGAAACTGGAAATGGTCTTGGAAAGAGTCAGACATGGCGAAACGAAGCAATGTTGTCAGCAGAGAACAGTTCATTCTAAACTTATTAGTTATGGCGTAGGTGGAAGTGGTGGTGGTAGTGCTGATAATGAAGTATACAACTGGAAGACAAAGGGGGACCACGACACAAAATGCATTCATGATTTTTGACTCATTTATCAAACCTTGGGATTCGCGTATATGTAAATGCACAAAATATGTCAGGTATACAAAGTTCAACGTCCCACCGTCCGTCATGTTTAATACATTTATGTTATCGGAATGAAAGAAGATTCTACGTTGGAAAGTTTCTGAACTCGGAATAAAAATTTGCATGCTCAATTTACTAGTTGTATACGTAAAACAAAACTTGCCGCAATTTAAGAAAACAAACATTTTTTGTATTATACATATTTTCAGTCGCTCCGATGATAAGAATTCTTAAGAATCAAATGGTTGGTGTAAGTATTGGTTCGGTGGCAATGTTCGACTGCTATGTGGAGGCCTTCCCTTTTGCTGTCACTTATTGGGAGCGACCTGACGGACGTGTTTTAGAAAATGGAGAAAAATACAAGATTTCCACGAAAGAAAGTGGAATGTACAAGGTATGACATTTCATTGTACTATTTCACCTCATCACTCAGAATACAAGAACGAGAAAATATTTCACTTTCAGGTCCACATGACGCTAAATGTGACAAGAGTGACCCCCAATGACTTCGGGCGCTACCACTGCGTCGCCAAGAATGAGCTTGGCATCACCAAAGGAGACTTTACCACTTACGGTACTTATTTACTTTCCTAATAGTTATTGTTTTATTGCGAGCTTCTTCTTCAATAGCCACAGTTGTGGGGCGCTTGGGAGTAATAGCGAGCATAAATAAAATACATTCGAATAATTGATTCATTCAGAGGTTGACCCGAATCTGGTGACTCCGCCGCCTAAAACGGGAGGAGGAAAGGGAGTCGCAATCTACGGCCAGGTAATAACAAGAGAGAGGAGAAAGTAGCCTCTTCTTACGAGTCGCGGTAGTTGAGGATGACGAGAAGGATGGTGGACAAGTGCCCCTAGAGCTCAATTTCGTCCAACTTTAATTATAAGATTTTCTCCGTCCTCCAGTCGTCGTAAGAGGTATAATTTGTCCTGATGAAATTCTGAAAATTTCCACAGGCACAACCTGACCACAAAGACTTGGAGGAGTTATGCCCTCCAGTATCCACTCCGGAACCGGTAACTTTTCTACACATTCGGTTTCTAGTAAGAGGAGCTAGTAATATAAGTATTTGGCCAATTTATTTCCAGTGTCCACAATGCATTCCGAAGGTAATAAACAAACTATAAAAATGCTCGGTTAAAATAACTAAATAGAACAAATTAATAATAAACAATTCATTTCGTGGACTTGTAATTAATGTGTACATTGTATAAAATTAATATCGGAGGTGGTCTCGAGAACTATCAACGGTCACGAAATACTCTTCAGGAGGATATCCAAATTCTTCGACCAATCGATCAAAATTTTTGAACGATTTGTAGTGACGCTTGTCATCAGGGAAGTTCAGATCATATCGGATTATCAGATCTTTCTTACAGATCGTGTAAGGGAGCGTAGTCACTTGGTCCAGGGTAGCCCAGAGGGGTGGGCTGGACCGGTCCAGATCTTCATCTTCAACGAATTCAAACATCGGGACTCCATCGACGGCATATTTATGCGCTTTCTTGATGAGGTCGGCAGGTGGGGTTGAAGCTTCCGTTATGATGTAGCGCTCGACTCCATGGATTTGGTTGAATTTCAATCCGTATGCCTGGATTTAAAGAATTAATATTTATTTAGACCGGTCTAACAGAATTGAGAGCAGTGTAATTAATAAATGATATTTACCATCAGAAATCCTTCTCCAATTTCCTTCGTATAGGTGGAGTTGCATAATATAACCTTCTTTTCTACGCAATAGTCTGGGTCATCGCAGCCAACGGTTCTGTTGTAAATTTCCTGGTTTCTTACTGTTATTGTTAAATTGGAAGGTCTCATTGCGAAACGGCCCTTATTTCCATTATATATTCCGACATAGTCTTCAAGCTTATTTTCAACTTGAACCGGTTCAATGGATTTAACAGTTTCCCATAAATCAACACCCATGTTATCCGGATGAATTAGACATGCTACATATATTATGTCCATGGGCGGTCTAGCTTCGTCTGATATTTTCTTGCTGTCTTCGATCACGTCATGAAGATGGTGTTCAGGATTCCTATAGTTGGCATTGTTGTCTGATCTAGCTTTTGAAACGCCAGTTCTCATCGTCGACGCATAGTTGGACGATTAGACATTCCGTTTCCCACTTGCTTTGAGGATCCAGAAACCCTTGACTGGCGAACCTAATAAAATATATCAAAATTAATCTCCAGATGCTCCCGGTCTTGTTGTCCCCAATTTGCTGCCAACTCAAGCTCCTCGCGTCGCTCCTCAAAGGCTTCACGACCTGCTGATGGATTCTTTTCCACCTCCTTTAGCCAATCGATCAACTCCTCACGACGTTGCAATTCCCGGAGATTCCATGAAAGCTAAAATGTAAACAAATTATTGAACCGGTTCAAATGATTGTTATTTACATTTATTCATATTGGACAAAGTACAGAATGAAATAATAACTAATTTACCCTTCCATATCGTCGGAGGTGAAAATTTTCTGGAAGGTCCAAGTCCGCGGTCATATCGCTGGATGAGCCAGATTGAGTATCCGGGCTGGACCGGTCCAAGTCGTCATCGTCTTCGTCTTCCTCATCCTCCGAATCCGAGTAAATTACTCCCGATCTCCGTCCTCTTCTATCGACCCTCATTACATATTCGTCACTCGATTCCACATCTTCGGACACGAGCCCACTATCATCAGGATCACTATTAATAACAAAAATAATTAAATCCTTAAGTTACGAACGTACAAAGAAACTTGGGACCGGTCAAGATTGCATGTTTTAATTAATTATGTTTAGGGAGAGGAGAAGGGGGCTAGGTTTACTTACATGTCGATAGGCACCGATGAACTATCGTCCGTCTGCATCGTAATCCGTAAACCGTCACTGCTTCAAGAAGGAAAACTTGATTTTTTTTAAATTTTTGTGGGAGCACTTTTCAAATCGACTAATCCCTTCAGTTGCCAAACTCCGAATGGCTGAACGATTTTCGTTTGCCGATGTTCAACAAATGCCCTCATTTCGTATCAAGTTTCAACTTGTTTGCTTGGCATCAGGCTTCATGGCTTGGTCGATTCTCCCCGACCAATCCAAGAAGCCTGCTTGGTATCACTCAGCCAAGCAGCGAGCGAGCACGTGCAACTTTTCATACGGGACGAAATATCATTGAGTTTGGGACCGCACATTTCAAATGCATTCAGCTTCTCTATCTCCTTACTGATTTTCCAGAATTAAAATAATTTATTTCTGTCTCCAATTAACTTTCAAAATAAAAGTAAACGTAAACGTAAAAGTAAAAGTAATTCAATATTGCACCGGTGGTGCAATATTCCACCGGTGCAATATTTTAATATTAATTAATATTAATTTTATTATTATAATATTCGAAGGTGGAACCAGGAATAATATGCCGCTCGGGTGGTTTTGCTCTTCTCGACATGGTACGTTCTTCTAAAGTGTATCGCCTAAACTTCAGTCATTTAACACAAGATTTAATTTATAGGTGGGCTGGGAAATTTATCCTTTGGGGAATCTTACAACTCCTTCACAAACCAATCGGACACAAGGTTCCTTTACTGCCAATTTAACTTTATTGCTCGCACTTCATTCATCTAATCGTCCTCCACCTTTCCATTTCCTTAATTCACGTACATACACGGCTATAAAGGCCAAAGAAAATAGCACTGCAATAGATACTACATAGTTCTCTCTCATCCACTTAATCCCAGAATGGCAAGAGTACATTTCTTAATTGAAATTCAGTTTATAATTAAACACTAAATGCTTCTTAATGCAGTCGTTTGTAAATAGCTGAGAGTTTTATACGAAAAAGATAGTCAATTTGTACCCTTATCTCAAAGCAGTTAATTTAAATTCACATTTTGAGATTTTAGTTGCTTGGCCAATGTGCCAAATATGTATACATTAACTATTTTCCCCTAATCAAGTATGTACAAATATCCACATAGATAATTCTGACCATTAGAAAAGAAGACCACTTTAGTTAGAACTGCTCAAATCAGTCTACCCCCGCCGATTTCTTTGTCGTGGTCGTCCGCATTTGCAGAGAATGTCCAAATCCTAGTAATTCATCAACATTAATGTCCCGAATTAGCCCCACTTTCTCCCAAGCTCATACTAATACTGCAGCGAAATAATAATGGAAAGAGCAGGTGTATTGAAGTGGCAAGGATTGGACTGCTCTTATTCAGATATTTTGTGGTGACTGCTCTTCTATTGTCATCCCACGACCGCACCATGGCCTAATGGCATCCTATGCAAAACAGGGCATGGCAAAGTAAACGAATGATTTAACCACTCAAGCATAATACCAGAGGGGAAAGTGTGCACATACAGAAGAAGAGTATGCATGCATCCATGCATGCATTTATATTAGGAGAAAGCAGCAGCGAAAGTAGGTTTGTTTCCGAGACCAGAAAACTAAACAGTCCACAATTTTGCGGTTGTCCTTCCTCCTCTTCCCCAGCCCCACATTATTCCGGGCTTTGTGTGATGAAGAGGCTAATTATGTAGGGATTGAGCGTTTGTGTGTCCTTAATAACACTGGTCTCGTTTTAAGTAAATAAATGCATACATATTTATATTATTCTTGGTCTAGCTTTTTCTCTCATTTTACAGCAGCCGTAGTGTCAGCCTGTTCTGCGGTATTGTCCGCCGTGGGAAAACCTGGTGAGTAAATTTGCATTAAAAGATTTATGTATGCACACTGAATCCTATGAAGCTTATAATTATTGATTTATTAATTCATTGCAAAAACAGAACAAAAGACAAATTATGATAAAATCTATGGCTTTCAGTGTTCAACCGGTTTTCCTCGCACCCCGCAGGATGCTGGATGCGTGACCCGATCACCACTGGGGAAAGATACTGGGTCACAAGGGTAGACGACACAAATCATTTGTATGAATACTACAACAAAGTAATGATTCTACATAAAATTCAAATTGTTTAACTTTGAATTATGCATTTTGACAACTTTGCATGTTATATAACTCATTTTTTTTCTTGCCCTACAGACTTCGTTCACTCAAGACCGACCCACAAGAAATTACACGCTACAACTCCCTTTCCGGGTGAGTGAGTTAGTTCACTACTATTACATGCATACAACAGCAATGTCACTTTCTTTCGTCGTCGTCGTCCCCGTCGTTCTGGGTCGTTTCCACTTTCTCTCCATTTTCTCATCTCATTGTTCTAGCTGTCAAGCCAAATGATGAAATGACGTTATTACGTATTCTCTCTCTCCTCTCAAAAAATTGCCCCTTCTCACTCTCCGAGTTGACACTTTTGACATTATACGCACCGAGTAAACTGCTGTTTTCCTCTGCAGGTAGAAACTGTTGAATCTCAATCAATCTGGTAATTTGATATAAAATGTCATTCTCTCCCTCGCCGTCACTCTCGTGTCCATTTTTTGAGCAGTCTCACTCACGATACAAGATCACAACAACCTCATCCCCCACACAAATTGAATTTGGGCAACAAAGCTGGCTCAGCTCAGCTTGCAATATTTGTATGATGCTCGAGACTCTCCTCATTCTCTGGCTGGAAGTGAAAACTCCAAAAATATGGGATGTTCATGTCTTGCAGGCAAAGTTTTTCGTGAAAAACTTGATATCACATTGCTATACACAATAGAATGCAAACACACACAAAGAGAAAACTCCCAGTAGACAAGGGAAGAAGAAGAAGAAGACCGAATGAAAAAAAACTACACAACACCAACTCTCTCCTACTTTCTCCCCTTCGTTCATCGCAGTAATCTTCGTCTTGGTGTGAGATGTGCCTCGTTCGTTCGTTGTCCTCCTCCACTTTCTTTTGTAAAGTGCGAGTGAGTGTGAGCACACTTTAGTCATTATGTCTCGCATTCAACCTCAAGTGAGTAGCAGGGGAGAGAGAAAGCTGGTTCGGTCCAGCCTTATTTATAAGAAGCATCCGTATGCAAATTTTTTATCACTTTCCCTCAGCACTACTGTGGATATGCTCTTGTGTATGTATGCTCTACTGGAAGAATAGAATGTAATGCATCCACAGACAGACGGTAATGGCAATGAAAGCTTTTTATTGCCTTGGGATTGCGTTTCATAGTTTAAAATTCGAAGCAGTCGTGGAAGAAAAAGCCAAGATGCATAATTCTCAAGTTATAAGTCTGACGAATAGTTGAAGAGGGGGGTCGTCTTACTTATGAAAAAAATATCCTCCGCTATAGTTCATTACGTAACCTGAATGAGAATGACAAGATAGCAAATATCATCCCATCATTTTATATTATTGATGACACAAACTTGTCGCGTAAAAAAATGTGTTATTTGTGTGTCGTTATACTTGTACTGACAGCTACGTACGTACGTATGGACACTACACTGTACAATAATTTACCCTTTCTGCTTCATAAACTTTCCAAGAGTTTTGTTGCGAAGGGAAAGTTTGGCAAGCCTCAAAATACAGATTGCATCACGTCGCTGCATGCACATCAAGGATCAGAGTTCCCCTGACTCTTCTTTGGCTGTTGTGTAACTTGTAATAATAGAAATGCACCAGCAAGTTGTGTTGCATGAGATCAGTAAACGGCACAGGCTACACGACCCGTATGGGTTTCATCATCATCATCGTTATTGCATTTACTAGGTTCGTCAGTATTTCAAAGTTTCTCTGTGCTTGTCTACACGTCAGAAGTGTTGTTTGGTGATAGTGATGGTGGTCTGGTGTGGGGAAAGTTTGATTCGCTAGTGTGAGTTAGATAACAATTCGAGACGCTTTAATATATGTATGAGTGAGTGAATCTCTTGATTTCTAACAACAATAGGGAGGCACTAATGCAAATGTGGTATTCACTCGTATGCATTTTCCAGGCTCCTCAAAAGTACATCCACAGCTCATTCTGATGACTCGATCTTTCTCACAATAAACTTTGTACTTGTACTGAATTGATGCGTGTAACATGACGCTCACGGGGAAAATGCTACACGGATCAGCACTACAAATTCGAATGCAATTGCATCCTCGTGTGTCAAGAACATTTTCAAAAATCAAACTGACATTTGAATGAAGTTGAACAGAACACAGTACATATTTCATAAGCCTCGAGGGGATTGCAGCAAGCAATGTAGAGTTGGTAGATAGTTGCCAGGGACCACAAACAGTGGAATTGTTGTCAGATGCAAATATGATAAACTTATGTGAAAGGCGTACATATTTAGTAGTTGAACTTCTCCAGTTTTGTAAGGGCAGTGTAACAAGTAACACGACAGGGAGGAAAGTATGGCGCTTAAAGAGTAGCTATCTTTTCCCTCAACCGGTCCAATGGTAGAGCTAGTTTCAGTATCATTGAAATTATAATAAGGCGAGAATAAATAATGAAACATAACTCGACTGCTTTCCGTTGGGTGAAAGTGTTTGCAGGAGGAGGAGGAGCAGGTAGTTTGTCGTTCCGTGACAGATACAAGATCAATTGTTTCCATCTTGTTGTGCAAACAAATAACTTTTCCCCTCCAACTTTGTATGACCTTTTCTCTTATAGATCTTTATATTTTCTTAGATCTGTATATGAGTTGCGTAATATTTTGGTGAGTCAAAGGCCCAAGAATCCGAAATCATGGAATTATGTTGAGATATACCGTCTGGGAAATATCTGTCACAACAAATAACCTTTCTCCGCTTTCTTCCCCTTTTCGAGAGATCACTTCATACCGTCTGAAATTTATTGATTCGATAATACGATTCCCCCGTTACGATTCACTTTGTTTTCTTGGGTGACTTTTTGGTAGGTGGCTATTTAGTATAATTTCCATACTCGCCTTGTCATCAGCCTTTTCAATTTTGTTTCACCCCCTTGTTGTAAAATGCATATGGTGGTGAAGTGAAAGTTGGAAGAATGTCAAGTCAACCACTCACTCAAGGTTGGCCAACCATCGTCACCGTCAAGCAAGAGGATTATGCATGTCGAATAAACAAGGTTGGTTGGGTAAATTGGTTACTAAGACCGGAGGAGAGACCTCAATCTATCTGCATTGTCTGGACTGGAATCGGTATGCATGCATCGATGGATGGGGAGGATGTTGTACGACTGTAGATACAGTCAAGTGAAAGTGGAAAGGAAACCCATTTGGGGTCCGGGGGAAAATGGTGATAGCAAATGGAAAATGGCTGTGCGATGCATATTTCATGCTTCATTAAGCTTAATTTAATCTATACAACCACCACCACAAACACAAGGTATCAAAATGTTACGGTCTCCACGTAGTGAAAAGAACAAGGAGAAATAGAGAGAGAGACAAAGGGATTGAAATAAACCTGCGGTGGCCTGGCCGCACCCATTTATTCGCTATTATGCAACGGCAAATCTCCACACATGATGGATACAGAAAGGGCAAAGTTTGATGTATTTCATCCATTCAGATTATGTACATACAAGCAAAGGTTCGATCCATTAGTCCTTTTGCCTTTTATTAATTAATAATTTTGGAGATGGATTTACTAAAAATAGATGAACCGGTAAAACCAGGTCAGTGAAAGTACGCTAAAAGCCTATGCACATATTTTCTTGTTATGTCCCAGAATTACCCAATAATGAACGTTAACTAAAAATGATTGCGCAATAATATGAGAAAGAAGTCTTTGTAGTCTGAAACATTATTATGACTTTGATAAAAAGAAACGAGATTTGATCTCAGAGTTCATTAAAGAGCAAAATGAGAACTCATATCACACAGATGTAAAGAAAGTAGCGACACGAAATGCAATTTCGTACATATTGTTCCGTATGATATGAAGTAATCTCGATCCTTACACTTACACACTCACGCTGTGAAATAAAGATATTATTTGTTTTCACTAGAAATGTCACAAAGGAGTCAGTATTTACGACAAGACGGGAAAATTACTCCTTGTTTCTGTCAGTAGGAGGTAGGAGAAGCTTGACAAAGTTAATTACGATGAAAATACTACCAGAATTCCCGTGTGTCTTGAGGAAAAGAAAGAAAACGCAAAGCGTTGAAAAACACGAATATGTCGCAAGTGCTCCTGTCACTCTGCATTTCCTTCCTTTTTTCTGGCTCTCTCTCTCTCCTCTCACGACGATGTGGACGAACACGAACAAGTAGAGAAAAAAAGAGAACGAGTGGATAGAACTACACAGAATACAATTTCAGACTGGAAACAACATAGGAATAGAATTTTGCAAAGTTTCTTTCAGGTCGCATAAAATATGGAATGTCAGAGAGCTGAGCACCACCACTACCACCAAACACATTCTTCCCAATAATAATCTCGACCTTTTATTTTCTCCAAGACGGGGAAGGTCACTCGTTCTCGCACTTACATGTTCTCGTACGGAGCATATAGTTTCGAAGCAGAAATGATATTTTCACTAGCATTGTGTGAAATCGCGTGGTGTGGTGGACAGCAGCCGACCCTGCGGACGGACGACGCGGACGAGATGTAAGAGGGGGAAGCTCGAGATCAATACGGAAGTTGAGTTGATGTTATCATCTAATGGCTACATGAGGGTCTCTTCAACAAATACTTTCTCCTCTGACAACTTTTCCACCACCACCACCATCGCCACGTTGTACGAAACGATGTTATGTTGTTATGTATGTAGTGCTCCTGCAAGAAGGAGAAGAAGTTGCCTTTAGTTCTCCAACTGTAAAACCAATCCCTGCTATTTCTTAACCACTGCCACTGCCACCACGAATACTACTTCAACTTCTACCACCCATCTTTTGTGCCTTTACTGGTACCTACCTATATCTACTTGAATGGAACACTGCCACTGGCCTGGCCCAAGTTCAATTGTTTGTCGAAACACTTTTCTCTTCTGCCTTTTGTGAGGAGTTCAAGTGGTCAGGTCCTTGTATACTTTTTGTTAAATTGCTTTCAGGTAGTTTCTTGGTTTGGTGGGTTTGCGAAATGAAAATGAAAGTGGTGAAGGTGGAGGAGTCGAGTGGATGAATTGTGCTCAAAAGTTGCATTAATGTATGGATTTAGACTTATATATGTACGTACGTGTTCCCATAATGTGAACAATGCAAGGATAAAAAAAGTGGCTTTAGCTTTACTTTCAGGAATTTAAGAGATATAATCAGAGAGAGACGGACTGGCTGCAATTTTTAACTTTGAATGACGATCAGAATAATTGGTGAATGCTTTCTTTCTCTTTTCCTCTCCTTACTTATACAACTCTTTGAAGCTCTGAAAAATTATTGTTTAAAACTACCTGGTCGTGAAATATACGGGAAAAGAGCGAGATAATTCTTTCCTTTCGTCTTTTGAGTCTTTTGGATTTATAAAAGACCTCATTAGGGATGAAAAAGTGGAAACGAACGAAAATGGAGGATATCCTTCTCTCGTTCTGTAACTTGTGACGATGTGATACTGGTTGGTGTAAAATTAAACCCAGGAAGTGTACCTTGTTTTATGTATGAAACTCTGTGTGCAAAGTCTGATGAAAAATTTGCTCATAATTTTCTGCAGGGTAATTTCCACACAGTGTACAATTCGTCCTTTTTCTACGTTGCCAATTCCAAGGAAAGCGGCGGCCACCCAAAAATAGTCCGATTCGATCTCTTCAGCGGAAAGGTTAATGGAGGTACGTACGTATGTACATATTCATTAGTTTCTCTCCTCCACAATGTGAAATCTACTTTTTTCTCATCTCATTTCATTACACTTTTGGCTTGAAATATCTCCCCATTATGTTGCCCTAACCCTTTCAGTCAGTTGCAGGCAGCCGGGCTTTCTCCTCGTATAATGATATGCTTGATTTACGGTATCACTCTCATTCAAATGATTCTTCATCAGCAAATCCGCTTCTTTTTTTACGTAGTAGTGATTTTTATTCTACGCTCCTCTAATAAGGAGAGAAACCTATTAGTGGTACTGCTTCAGTACACTCATTCTAAAAAAAATTCATTAGAGGAGAAAGTCGCGTCTGGCTGCTTTCACTAATAGATTATCTCCATTGTTTTTACAGATCTATTAAAATTCCTAATTACAAATTGGTATTAAATATGTACGATTATTACAGAATTGGATCTGCCTTATGCATCATTTTCCGCCGATAAACTCTACTCGTCCGAACATTCCTGGGTTGGTGAGTGGAATAAATTTTGTTTATGTTCGAAAGTCGTTATAATATTTCACACATTTATTACATCTTCTCCCCCGTATAGATTTAGCCACGGATGAAAACGGTTTGTGGGCCATCCATTCCCTGGCTGGGTCCAATAACACTGCAGTTGTGAAGGTGAGTAGTAAAGTCATTTAGTTAGTGCAAATACTTACACTTGGTCCACACACGGAGCTTCCTCGTCTGAGGTCAAAACCACACAAGTCATAATTATTATATGAACTTTGACTCGTATCAGCTTTCTGTGTAACATGTGTTACACCCGCCGCTCTCAAATGGCAATAAACACCTTGCGAGTAAGTAGGTATCCGAAACTTTCTCTCAATAATTTACAGCCATAACTGCCACAAAGCTCATAACTGAAATGCTTTCGGGTTCCTATTTCTCTTCACATTTGGAGTCGGTTAGCAGCATTATTATTACATCACCCGCAGTATATTTAATAGTGTATTTAGTATATAAGGATTCCTCCTTCATACGAAATCCCACATGAATGTGTGTGTTTTGCGAGGGAGGGAAACCACAAAAGTAAACATTATTGACCAAAGGGAGAGAAAGTGTCGTAGGGGTGGTGGTAATGGGATGACCATTACCAGCAGGTCGGGAAAAGAATGGTGGTCAGGAAATTATTAAACGCTTCGAAAGCCAAGCTTTTAATTTGGTACAATAACGATGAAAAAGATGGAGTTTTAGATTAAATGGTGTCATTTATTAGTACAGATTTAAACCTGCTGCGCCATACTCTGTTTATCTGAGCATAATGAAAATGAGGACATTGTTCACTTTTTTTGCAAGTATTTTTTGGTTGGAAGTAAAATGGCGAGATTTCCCCGAATTTTTTACCGCTTCACCGCCTCCTCACATTATGACTCTTATGCATGTATGGATAAGCTTCATTAAAACCTTATCACACTTTCGCCCTGATAGAAAATGGAGCTAGGCACGTAACCAGTCCGCACCTATTTTAACTTTTAACTGCGAAATGCCAACTTTCAACTCTGTTTCATGTCGAATTAGCCTACTCGCTTTTCATGACATTGATAATGTCACGTTGTCCTCTTGCATGTTAAAAGGTTGAGAATTTCTAGCCTCGTGAAATTCGTGTTGGCAGCAAATGTTTGTAATGCATGACAAAAGACGAGAGAAAGTTTTTTTTTACTGGGGGAAAAATTCCGCAGCCGTAACTAGTTTTTTTCCCTGTGTGTGAAGTTAACCTTTGCTGCTGCTGGCTTGGCGGGGTGCTAGAGCTGATAAACGTTTTTTAACATTTGCTTCATCTGGCACAGTCAAAGTTGTTAATGCCTTCAATGAGAAACTGAGAGAAAACAAATCGCATCCTTACTTTCACTTCTTCTTTCTCTGCAGATTGGTTTCTGCCAACCTCTCCGCTCGCTTTCCTTCTGTCTGTAAATATTCTGGAGACTTTCCAATCTCTGCTCTTGCCTTGCCTTCTCTCTCTTCTTGACAAAATCAAGATAGTAGTCAAAGTTAAATTGTAAGAGGAGCATACTAATGAAGTATGGGTAAACAATAGAGCCGTTGATTGCTTCCAAAAAGCGAGATACATATACCACCAAACAGCGTGCAATTAAAATGAACGCATACTTATTACTTTACATAGTACGCAGCAGAGTCCTGTTTAGCATTGTCTATCCATCCATCCATCTCCTTTTCCAAGTTTTGGTGGAAGAGATGGTCTTCAACTTTCTCTCTCACCAATATCGAATAATATTATGCCTCTCCAGCTAAAATGCGTTTGTCATCCAATATCCAAAGTGTTTGCAGCTTGCAGTCTGCTGCCGAGATTAATTAAAATTTGTGCAGTATAGTTGTTTCAAATTAATCTTATCGTCAGAACGCCAGCCAAAGAAGCCTAGATTCTTGATCCAACAACAACATCCACCCGTCGTCTTGAATATTATAGAAAATACGTACAGCTCAATCATTGATCGAACACTTCTAACACTATTTTGTGGTTTTCCCCAGAGCAGTATGTACCAGTACCGTACCAACCGTGGTATATGGTGGTACCAAATACCAGGCCCGGGGCCCGCAAGGGCCCGGGCCAGGTCACTAGCTTTTCACTAGATATAATGGACTTTTTTGGGTATTGACGATTTTACAAAAAAATATTCCACGCAAAAAAATTTTCTTACATCTAACATGAAACTGCTAGATTTATTTGTTTTTCATGTGTAATTATGCTTGTATGAATTTAGAGCAAACATACTGTGTCACCTTTAATTTTAATAGTTTGACTTTCGAATTTCAAATAATATGAAAAATCCTGATTTTAGCTGAAACGCAATTTAGAAATTCAGTTAAAAGGGAAATTAGCACACTTAAAGAAAACCTAAAAGTGTGGATCGACTTATTTCTGTGCTTGAGGAATTTTAAAATTTACAGGGTAAAAATCGGAGAGGATCACATCACGCCTACGAATGTTTCGTTACAATTTTGAAATATGTAAATTACCTGACACCAAAATTTGTCAAAAGTTGCCATATTGCTATTATATTTTGTGGGATTTTGGGAAATTGTAAAGTGTTGGTACATTCTTAATTTGTTGGAACCGAAAATGCGAACTTCAAAAATTCAATGTGAAAAAAGCAAAGATGCTTTTTGGAAACTCAAATGTGCCTCGCTAGGGGACAAATTTAACGAAACCCAGTGATAAAAGTGGATATGAACTTAGGACCATTAACTTACAATGCGATGACACCATCGGTCTCTCTCCGGTTTTGACGAAACCTCGATAGTTATGCAACCTTAGACATATAATAGAATACGTGTTTCAGGATTTTTCATAATGCTCAGCTTAAAGGAAATTATAACGGAATCCGTGAGCGAGAACTTCCATTTTGACCGTGACATTTTCTTGCGAGGGAGAAAAATAAAGATTCTCGCTTACGAATACCATCATACATAATTTCGTTTAAGCTTAAAATGCGTGGGCATAGATTGGTTTCCTCCAATTTTGACCCGACCAATTTAGATTGCATACACAAGGAAATAAGAGGACGTAGTTTTGTGCATACCCCGTTTCTGCCTGTGAGAAAATTTTTGAAGTCATTTTGAGCCAAATTTGGATTTTTCAAAGTTATGTAAATTTTTAAATTTGGGCCCTATTGCAAAAATGAAAGAACATTTTTTGCAAAGCATGACATTGAGTTTAAGGAAATTCTCAATTTCAAAAACTTTAAATTTTTTCGAATTTTCTGATCTGGAGCATATTTTCATACAAATTTCGAACGTTAAAAGTTCTTCGAAAAACAGTTCTTATAATTTTATGGAAGTAATTTTGAGCAAACACGTTCTTTGATTTTTGAAATAACGTTAAAAATTCAAAATTAACAGCTTTCTCAAAAATCCTGATTTGGCTGAAAATGTATTAAAAACTTGTCACAACCGAAAAACGAACATACCGGAAAACGAAAATTACGGGTTCAGTTATTTTAGTGTGTGAGCAACTTATTTAAAATTGGTTAGATCAAAATCCAAAGAAATCAATTCAGGTCCACGCATTTTAACTTTAAACGGAACTATGATAGAGTTCGTAAGCGGTAAAAATACTGGAAATTCTCGCTCATGGATTCCGTCATAATTGAGTTTAAGCTGAGCATTATAGAAATGCTGAAACACGTGTTTAATTATGTGTCTCAGGTTGTGTAATTATTGTGGTTTCGTCAAAATCGGAGAGACCGCTGGCGTCATCGCATTGTGAGTCAGACTATAAGCTAACTGCTTCAGGCCCAAATGTTTACGATTGTATATTTTTTTCTTACCGCTTGGTTCAATTTTAAAAGCTATTTTCAGCTAAAACGTTGACTTTTCAAAATACTGTATGTTTTTGAATGTGTACCTTTCAAGAAATCAAGAATACGTGTTCTAAGCATTAAATAGAATTGAGTTTTCGGACCGGCATTATCGCCAATTCCAAATGAGTCTGGGAATTTTTTAAACTTTTAAAACGGATAGAAAAGTAATCAATCGAAAAGGGTTTGGGAAACGTTGCGAAGTAAGCGAAAAGTATCATATTCGCATATTTATGCAACTTATACGTATATAATTTTCTCCGTCCCGGCGATATTTTAAAAAATATGGCTGAGTTAAAAGCGCAAGTAAGTAAATTGTCACTATCTATTTTCCCACGGAACTGGGAAAATAGTGTACTCTTAAGGGCCCGGGGGAAGATTTACTTGATTTTATGTTAGCAACAATAATTGCCAGGGCCCCAAGATTATTATCGCTCTGTTAGGTTACGACCACAATTAATTGACACCGTTTCTATGGGACACTCACGTTCAAAAGCTTTGGTTTTGTCACTGCTTTTGAAAAAGTTTCCCTCAAGTCCCTCAAGTTTTTGAAAAAAGTTGTTTCTTTTGTTCCATGGATACTCAAAATGCAATTCCTGCCATTAATTTGGCAATTCTAAGCCAATTTGTCCTCACTTTACGACCAAATATCTCCACTGCACAAGAGGGCAGATCGTCAAAAAAAACTCAAGTAAAATCTAAAGATATGATTAACGCATTAAACATAATTTAAAAAATCTGCCCTCTTGTGCATTGCTGAATTTTATCGTCAAAGTTGACGTGATTTCTAAGCAACTTCCCCCAGGCCCTTAATACTCGTAGAATATTATCTACTTCGTTCCAGAATATTCTGTATTCTGGAACCAAAACGATTACATAATATCGAATATATTGAAATTATGAAAGGGCCCGGCACCGAAGCTCATACCAGGCCTGACAATTTCACGGTACGGCTCTGGTATGTACATAGTCAATTTCTTTGTTTTGCTTGTATAGCATGTTGTGCAGCAGCAGCAGGTCGCTTCCTCCTATCCATCCACACCCTTAAGTGGTTTCTTGAAATTTGCATCCATCCCATTCAGCAGCATCATCCTACTCTCAAACTTTCTTCCACCACCCCCATCAGCACAACAACAAGCGAGCAAATGCGGAGGATAGAGAGAAAGTGGAGAAAGGAAGACTAAGAGTAAATTGAATTCACATTTTCATTAAGCAATAGAGCGTGATACTACAAGACAACGTAGGCTTTGATACGTACCAACAGCAGCAGCAGCAGCAACCCTGCTTTCCACCCAACTTTATAAGTAGACAAGGTTTTGCCGTTGGAAGTTAAGTTGGAAGTAAATAAAACAAAGTGAAAGTTTATTCCTCGCACTCAAAGAGAGAGGCTAAAGTAGAAGGATTATAATAAATAGTCAGCAGCCCGCACTAACCCAAATAATATTCATTGTACAGTGTTTGTTGTTCGTATTACAAACTCGTCCTCATCCTCCTCCGCTGTTGAGATATTATTAATTCTTTGTGCAATATGCACATATCTTTGTGAATGTGGCTTAACTGCTTAAAAGTTAAATTGGTTCCATCCACCGCACTTATGACGGAGGAGAAGAGCATGCGAGAAGAGAAGAGAGATGTTGAGTTTGAGGCTCATCTTTCTTTGTGTAAGTGTTTATTTTGCCTGTTGGGTTTCCCTCGGCAAACTTTCACTCTCCATCAACAATGTGGATATATTGATGACTAGGTTAAATAGTGGGTTGTGCATGTTTGTATGGTATAGAATCTGCCGTAATAATGACGAGGTTTATAACCAGGAATCTTCAAAGGTTTCATTTCCTGAGAGATGCGATGATTCTGTATTTGATTTCATATAATGTGTCCCTTACTTACTACAAGTACGTATTGAAAGATAACAAGAATGCTCCCAGTCGACTTTCATTACTTCGAGAGACTCTAGGACGATATTGATTTTCATTTCCTTTTTGGGTGAAATTCTTCTATCAAGAGATTGATGAAAAAGTGTATGAAAGGCAACTTTGACTATAAACATGGCTGTAAACATCGTGTCGAAAGTGCTACTTATTATTAGTCGTTACTCGACGGATAATAAAAAGGTACATAGTTGTAACATATGAAAAAGTGGGAAAAGTTCATCTACATTTGAAACCATTTTTATTTGATCAGATGTAGAACATGCTACACAGATCGAGAACTGGTCAAGTTTAGTCTGAGAAAAATATTTGCGAATATAATTTTGCGAAGACTAATATATGGTTTTCTACTCTTTTTTCTTGTACAGATCCACGTGGACCAAGACAGCATGATGGTATTGTATGGCTGGAACGTTACAATTAGTCACACTTATGCTGTAAGTGAAAGTGCTTAATCAGTGATTAACTATATTAAATTAGCAATGGGGGTTGAATGGGGAGGGACTAATATCCATAATTACACTTGAATATCATACATTTGTGTAGGGGGACATGTTCATCATCTGTGGAGTACTGTATGCCGTTGACAGCACAACAGATCGAGACACCAAGATCCGGTAAGAGCTAAATTTGTTTGTTTAAGGACACATTTGATGCGGATAAGATGACATGTTAACTTAAGTGGTGTCTGATGATATGGAGAAATAGAGACCAAAATGGGGAACATATGATACCAAAAACCCATTTGCAAATACCAAAAGTGTGCAATCAATCCCTGGTGAAAGTGTTTCTCTCAATTCTAAGACAAATCTTCCTTTCAAAGTGGTGGTTCGCCGTTATTCCTCCACCACACACGAGTCTTTAAGACGACGATATGTATGTCGGCTCTATCACTGGCCAAGATTCTAAATCTAACAAGACGTGCAAAATTGCCCTCCTGAGAACCAATTCTGATAATTTATTGCGGTCCAATTGCAATAGTTAGGTGCTTTGGGTAGATAGATCTTGGTCTGGCTGGGTAGCAGCAGCGTTGGGAGAGAAAGATTGCATTGGTCTCGCTATCTCTCATCCCGTTCACAAACCAACACAAGAATTGGGACATTTCAATTCTTCAATTTTACGAGCCAAGTGTTCAAATTAAGTGATATCGGATTGTGTCAGCATTCAGGATAGATAGATAGATTGTGTAATGGCGAAAAACAGATGCGGGACACAAACGGGTATTATATAAGTGGTTGTATAATAACACCTTTGTATTTCATTGGTGTTGCTGAATGTACATAATAACGACGAAATGTTCGACACAATATTGTCCGGAAAATAGTTTCAATGTTTACTCAAATATTTTCAGCTTGGCGTTGGACCTGTATCGCCGAAATTTGCTGAAGGTGGACCTTCCCTTCAGGTTAGTGTTTAATTTACCACCCACCCAGTGCCCACGCATTGAGTGTCCCAATTCTCACGATTTTCCACATATTTCGTACGTAGCAATCCTTTCCGAAGCACTTCGATGGTTTCGTACAACCCAAAAACGCGCGAGTTATTTACCTGGGATAAAGGAAACCAGCTAATTTACCCCGTGAAATATAATGAGATTGGGTACGACAAGGAAGAGAAGGAGACGCCTCCAATCGCCGAGGACTTTTACGGGCTTCCTGTCACCTATCCACCCAACAACCTTAATTAACCAACTATAGGCTTTACCCTACACATGTATACTTTAAAAAATCTTGTCAATCACAGTAAATATATATATAAATTCATATTTTGTCGACAACTTTCACGTTGAATATCATATATTGTCGTGTATATTGTTACATACATACGTACGTTCGTACCACTAAATATTTGGGTATTTGTATTCTTAAATGATATTTACGTAATGTCGACGTCTACCGCTTTCAATGAAATTATAAATTTGTACATGAATGGAAACTGAATTTTATGGAATCTGGAAGTCAGTCAATATTTCTTTGGTACGGAAAAAAAGTTGTTTAAAAAAAGTGACACGACTCACAAACATATTAAACATGTAAATGTAGTTTTGTATAAGTTTTAATGCACTGTAACATTTCAAACAAACGGTACTTTGTAATAACGATATATACTAGAAATTAAACATGTAATTGTGTAATACATTAACGTTAAATAAAGTGATGATCTATTAATACCCACATTGTGCCATTTGTGTCGTACAACTATACTTTGGCATGTCAATTATGACGCGGTACATGATTTATGGAGATTTGCAAGCGAAGCATAATATTCGCGTTTTTTTAAAGGAGTTTCCTACTTGCTGAGAGTTTCAGTAAGAGTTCTTGCACTCATTTCAATATTGACAACGTCTAAAAATAAAAATTAAGGATTTTTACATACAGTGTGACAAAATGTCGTCATTGATAACGTACGACAACTCTCTCTCGTGAAGCAGGTTGGTTGAAAAAAGAGGCTCAATTTGTGTAACTAGTTCAGTATCGGTAGGAGGTTGTGGCCAACTAGTTATGGAGGAAGTTAGTGAAGTAAGTGAAATCCCAGATGAAATCCCAGATATTATTAAAGATGACGAGAAAGTTCTTACTCCATACACATTTCCAGAAATGGTGAGCATTTTCAGATTTATCCAGTATTTTAAGGATTATATGTATACATAATTTCAGTATTAACCGAAAACTGACAGCCTTCATTACCGATTTAGAGCGAAATCCCACCAAAGTTGGCAAATTATGCGTATCTAGCATCGCTAATTAATTTACTTTCGAATACCTAGGTAATTGGGAACTTGATGTGCACTGCCATCGGGCAGAATCAGATTGGTCGCTTCTCCCTGGAGAAACTCGCTCCCATTTCCCCAAACCCGACTTCTTGGTGTACAAACATTCCAAAAGTGTTGGCCGCATGTCAAATAGAGCTACAGACAGAGCCTGAAATTGAATCAGTATTAATTACCAAAGATGCCTTATTATGGACAAATATTTGCCTTCTGGAAGAATCTTACATCGCATTCGCAAACTTTCCCCGCTTCGCGTCCCTTCTCGGACCTCAAATCCAAATCTTGAAACTTGACAAATTTTTCGGTCAAATTCCAGAGATCTCATTCATTTCTTGCTGCGTGTCGCTAAAGTCACTAACAATTATTCAAATGGATGTGACACGAGGGCCGAGAATGCTGCTGCCTTCCGAATTTCCCAACTTTAGCAAGACTTTCGCCAAAGTGAGATTCTTGTCGACGGAAAACATTTATTTTGAAAACCCAAGGCAGTTAGAATTCTTCAAGAATTTCCTCCATAGGTTTCCCAAATTAGAGCAGGTTTCCATCCCACATCCACACAGTGGTGGGTCAACATCAACAGGAGGAGTCAAGATGAGAAACCCTACGCAATGGGAGACTATGAAAACTTTGCAGTTCAAATATTTAATCAAGCCAGTCATTGACTATCTAAATGAACGCCACAACAACATGAACCTTCCCGTTAATCCGATCAGAAGAACGGTCAATGCTGCAGGCGTTTTTTCCACCGTGTTTCCAGAACTTGCCAATGCGTGCGCAAAGAATGGTGCGTTTTTAACCAACGTTAGGCAGAAACAGATTGAAAATCTTTTCCTCGCACAGGATTCCACCCTTGGGAAAATTTTATACTTGACGGACGCCCTGAACGATCGGAGACTCTTGGCGAGATGGGTTAATTTGGAGAAAATCTGCTTAAAAACTTCAGTCTGTGATATAAGATCGGAAACCAGGGAGGGAAATAAAATTCCGACATTTCCCATTCTGAAATCGATTCACTTAATATTCGACTCAGATTCTATGCTCGATCCAGGATTTCAAGCTTTGAAACGCCTGCTTCGTTTAATGATTTGCCAAACGCGAGCAAGTGTGAAAGAATTGGTCGTTCAGTGGTCTCCGTTTGGAAATGATACTCCGCCCGATATAATTAATCCGATGGAAATTGTGAAACATTTACCAAATCTTGTGAAATTTCACGCTAGCCATTGGGAAGGTTGGGATGATGACTTACTTCAACTGTTGGGTGGTCTGAGGAAATTACAGCATCTGGCGATTGAGGATTGTCCACAATTCACAGAACATGGAATTATGGGCCATGATGCAAATAAACCTGTAATTTTGCAACTTTCAGGTACTTTTGATGGAAATCTGTTGTAGTTTCAACATCGATCCTAATCTATTACAGCTTGCATAAAAGGATTGTTTTTAATGTATAGATTTGAGGCATATTGAGATAATAAATAAGACTGGATCAAGCTCAATAACGGATCACTGCTTCGAAAAAGCGTTTCAACACTTGAAACTGAAAACATTTGTATTTGACGTATTTCCGAATTTAGTAAATGAGAACGTAAACTTATTTCATGATAAATAATTATCCAAATAATTTTCTATAACTATTTACATTACAACAGGTGACAAAAACAGGATACAAATGCTTAACTGGAGGAGAATTTGCAAACTTTATTGAAGTATTTCCCCAACCAAGGCACCTTCCCGTGGACATGCACAAAGACGAGTTTGACCAGTTGAGAAAATCATTTCGAAACTGGACGTTTTAAAAATCAGTACCCATTTCCATCCAACTACTCGTCCGCCATCTTCAGTCGACTCGCCCAATTCCAGTTTGAAAGTTTCCTTTACCAGGGATCAGCTACGGCTTCGGTTTACAACTCTGCTCAACTTTTACGTTTCGAATTCTTACTTTGTCCCAACGTTTCATTTCATGCAGTTGGAGTCGAGTCGAAACTAATTGTTAGTTTGCTTGAAAGTAAGTAATTTAAAAATAGGGTTGACCTCGAAATGTTACTTTTTATCAACAACTAAATCAACATACATATTTTCCTATAAAATTATCTAACTGCTGCCCAGATTTTATTCATGTCTCATTAATTACAACTAATTAAGCAAGGATTAAACCTCCACCATGTCCAGGCACACATTCACTTTTATACGTGCATACATGCACTTTAATAGCTCTTCAAACAGTGGGAAAAAGAACCAAGTGTCAGAGCAAATGATAATTTATTCATCTCCGATATTTTATTGACTATCCTAATTAGACGTTGCATGAACTGCCAGTGATGTAAACAAAAAATGAGTTAACCATAATTTTGACCAGCTCATGGAGGAGCAAGATCATTTTTAACTCTGCCAGGTTCTCACTTTTACTAACAAGACAGCATCCTCAATCCTCTCCAGAGAGCTGACCAATTGCCTCAGGCTTAATTCAATCAAATCAACGTGAACAGAGAGTCTCAGATAATTAATACGGCCAACACCATGGCGAGAGGCTCCAGCAGAGTGGATTTTGATTCGTCAACCATTCAGCAACTATTTACTTACCAAACACAAATAAATTAACTGGTCAGCATCACTGAACTTTTGAGATTTTCAAATATTGCAAAACATCGCGTGTTAGCCCGATTTTTTAAGAAAGTAAAACGAAACCACACATCATGAATGATTTCTGACAGTTTATTTAGTAAAAAAAAATGCTCAGTTTTAATCTCACCACAACAAAAATAAGGGAATTGTGTGCAGGTGGACAAGTCTCAAGAATTTGGTTGGTTCAGTTGCCTGGTTTATTAGATGTACTGGTAAAATAAATATTGTTATACAACAAATGACGATAATCACAAGGTAGCAGAAACCAACTCCCGTCATCTCATCGCATGTTTCTTGTTAGTTTATGTAGTTGATGCTGATAGTAATAACTGACTGTTGTGATTTTCTTCTTTACTTTGCCTTTCTGTCCGCCTAGCTCATCATCTTTCTTCTCCTCGAAAAAAATTCGGCTAAGTAAACCAAATCATTATTCCAGTCAGTTTATTTAAAATGTGCATTCATGGGGCATATTTTGTATGCTGGGGTTTGCCAAATATTTCGTATTTATGCTATTACTTAGATATGTGTGCATACCTTACGGTGGAATGCTTGAGGTAACGTGAAATGAAATAATGTTTTGAAATGAGTTGAAGATCATCAAGATTTAAAACAACTTGGCCACATAATAATAATTATAATTTGTGACATTGCATGACCACAATAATTTGTTGCAGATATGCTAATAAACAACGTCAAAACATGCATACCAACGAGTTCTAAACACACATTGCATGGAAAGTATTCATAATTTTATCAAATATTAATTAACATTTATAAAATTCTTAAATGTTGAAGCTATCTGTTGTCGTTTCTTAAAAAAATTATCAGATCCGCATTCCGCATCACATAAAAATATATTCAAGTATGCACGTAAGAACATGGAGATAAGATGAAGGAGATAAAGTAATGGCGATGTGGTTTCCCATAAAATTCTTACTTGTTAATTTACGACCGTGCAAACCGCCCGCATTGTTTCTGTTCTGAGGATGATGATTTTCAAGACTTTGATTTGATGTACAGATGGAAGAATGACCTTTCATCAAGTGAGCTAATAACTCTGGTGATGCATTGTGTAGACAAAGTCTTGATGAGGATGAGGAGTAGTTTTAGACCACTGAATTAAAGAATGTTGTACATTTTGGGCAGGTGAGTTGGTTGGTGAGTAAGAAATTTGTTTGCACAAGGGTTTACGAGGGAGGAGAGAGACCAAGTCATAATTATAGGTTTATCTCTTCTTGGGAAATGTTAATACTCACTTAAATCATAAAATACATCATACCACATAAAAATTTAGTTAGTAGCGATAATGAAAATTAAATCAAAAACATACAAAAACTTGATTTTTGAATTCATAAATGTCGAAATATTTGATTTGATTTCTGGTAAAAATGCACCATTTATGAGTCATAAAAATGCACTTCCGTTCCTTGTTTGACATTCATTCTTACTTATGAATTATTTGTTTATCATTAAATTTGTAGCGTTATTACGAGTATCTTTCTCAGTTTTGTACGTACCCTTTTCGATACCTCCCATACATAATTTCGGTAAATATGTATGTACGCATCCACTGAATGGCGTCTGCTTCCGAGACTAGAACAAATATTGAGATTGGAGATTCTCGAAATACAACACGGGAGGAGGAGGAGATGAGCCTTTATTTTATGTATTTATTTAAGGGCTAACCAAAATCATGGCCAACTAACTATACCAATTTAAGCGAGGTATGAGAAAAGGGACCTTGTTTTCATCCCTCTCTACTTGACTACCACATATCTCTCATTCTGTTTATGGGCTACTATACTTATCTTTATTTCATATTTACTTTTCTGTCCCTCATAGTTGAGAACCCAAATCATCGTCCATCTGTGTTTGTGTGTAAAATGTATGATAAGTACAAGTCCCTCCAAATACGTAGCAGGCAGGCCCTCTGTGTCTGAACATGATGAGACTAGAATTCAAACATAGAGGAAAAGAATTAGAAAAGTCAATGCGTAAGAAGAAGATTCAATCTCCAAGTAATGTGAGAGCTTGGAAAGATTCCCTTTAGAGATATGTGTGTGAAGAATATCTGACTTTTTAAGCTTTTTTAAGATCAAGTTTAAGAGTTGGACCAAGATTTCAGAATGAACCATGAGAACGGTTGTCGAGACTGGAAAAGGGTGGAATTGAAATTGAAGAAGTTCTTTTGAATTTAGAAAACACTTTCTCATGATACGATACCATTTCTTAGCGGTTTGTTGGTGGGTAATAGATTCCATCCATCCCTTTTAAAATGCGTTAAATAAAAGTAGTAGTGGGTAAAAACCAAGTGGTTAATGCTCAGAGTAATTGTACTACTGGTAAATATAGCTCATTTCTGTATAGCTTATACAAAATGATTGGTCTTTCCTGATAGCATTCTGGGTATGTCGTGTCATGTTCCGTTTCTTTTTCGGCTCATTGTTGCACCAAACCAAGTGTTAAAGACTCATTCAGTCTAATTACAATTTTAAATTGAATTCAATTATTCAAACTGATTTGGACTATGCAGCAGAGAGACGACCAAGCTGTTGAAAGAGTGATTGGCTTGACGGCGACATAACAAGCAACGCGACAACAATTTAAATTCTTGTCCGCCCAAAGTCTCCCAATTAATTTACGGCATTTGCGGATATGTCTTCAAATCAACGAGGAATCTCCGCCTTTTCCAATGAAATTCATTCCAAAACGTTGTCATAAATAAGAAAAAAATGTATAGAAAACCATTTTTTGAAAGGTTCTCAGACGGCGACACAGTTCGCGACAACTTGTTAAACCGGGTGTCAGTCAGTTGATTGAAGTGCCATAACAGTCAACACAGTAGCCGTGTCAAGAAATACGGATGAAGATGAGATTCGATGCAAGGGTATCAAGATGCCTGCATGTCTTTCTCTCCTCCGACGAGATCTCCACTCGACCAAGACGACTTATTAAATCATAAATATATTACCAAACACAACATGCCATGCCACGACTATGAATTGAGCCTTCACTTTATTAACAAGGTCTCAACCAGCCAAACAATCTGGATCTGAGTGCTGCTACCTCTTCGTACTTAGATTGGACCCCACCACCAACCACCATAATACCACTCTACTGACTGACTTTACCACAAAAAAAGCTGACAGGACTGGATTTCTTTTCTACTTGAAATATTAAGTATTGAATCCTCGGAGAAGAATTGATAATAATAATAATAAGCTTGCTCTTGGTGAAGTGATACAATCTTCAAAAATCTTTTAAACCCACTAACAATGAGTTGAGCAAGTATACATTCGCTGTATTATTTCGTATTCGAAACTCACTCTGAAGGGATTCTGTAGCAAAAAAGTACTGCATGTTTCCTTCTTCTTCACTTCAATCAGTTTACAATTCATGGAGAATATCGTAACTAAAAGTCAATTCTTTTGGAGAACGAGTTTACTTTCGCTTTGCTTTATTAGCTTCCTTACACTTCTTGCAGACTCAAATGAAATGAAACCCATTTCAGTTTGGTTAACGAACTGAGCTTAAAAGTAAACTTAATCCTTGCGTTGTAAAATAATAATAATGCAATAATGATAAGTATTTGGACCTTGTTAGTTTAAGTAAGCTGAGGATAATGGTCACTTTAGTTGGGTGATCGGCATGCAGTGTGAAGTGATGATTGTGGTTTAGAAGAATGTTTCAAATCTTTACGCATAGAATCGATATTTATATTTTATTTTTGTTGTTTCGCAAGTGGATACGTAAATTTGCTACATTTTACGTGCATATAAATAATGATATGGTCGAGTTGTATCTATTTCGTGTTACGAATATTCCAATATAATTATGTTCTTATCCCTCAGCATCGCTTGTTGGTCGTGAAGTGTTTAGTTAATCAGGATAACTTTTTGTTGAAGTAATTTCCTAAAATGATTGCCTGTTTCCTGCGCACCATGCATGCTACCGACAAATAAGAAAAAGTAGTCACAGGTGAAAAAAAGTTGGCTAGTTAGCCTAACAAGGTTTGCAAACCCAAGGTGCAATTATAATCAAGGAGCTGTTTTGATTCTGGCACCTCCTCTGTCATTTTTAACGTGTGAATATGAAGTCTTCTTTATGCGGGCAGTGTGAAGAAACTGAAAGCCTGAAAATTAGTTGGTGTCAAAATTGTTACGTTACAAACGCAAACCTGAACAGACTTGAGCAATCACAAGTCATTTTATTGTCAGTGCAGAATAATAAACATCATTAGGTTCGAGTTGGAAATGATTTCTGATTTACGATACATTTCAATCTAATCAGTCCAATCTTACTGAACCTGTCTTAATTGTGATCACATGCAATGAATGCAAATTAAATGTATATGTAAGTACATTTCGCCAGGACACAGTTTTATATTTTATGGCAGGAGGACATTTCAGAGTTGAGCGTCTTATCAAGATTTCAGAGTCAATGCTCAGTCAATTGTTTAAACAAGTTGTGTGTAGCCTAAGACTGAAGGAAGAAAAAGAAAAACTCGAGATTTTTTGCTATACGAAACAACAACGCGATACCACAATGATTTAAACGAAACACAAAAATGGGATCGGGATCATGCTGATGTAAAAGATGTGCATGCATGCTCTGTAAAGTTCAGTCTTTCCTTGTGGTTCTGCTGGAACTGAAGACTTGAAGTTTATTAACGTAAGTCATGCATGCGGTTCTTTCTGGAAGATATTCTTTACGTGGCCACAAAGAGCACCAAAAAGAATTGCCTTACAAGCTCATGATGTTCTCGAAAAAAAGAAACGTGGACTTGGCTGGACGGAATGGAAGCCCTGAGGGAAGGACGGACGACTTACCTCGTTTGGGGGATGATTTATGATTAAAAAATCCCTTCCTTTCACATAAACACACCAACAATTGCAGGCTGAGAGCACAAAATTAAATTCGCATTTTTAATCGCAACATTTCTCCATTTTCACAACTGCACAAGAAATAAATCCTCGAAGTAAACAATTATGAGAATCTGTCATCTCTTTAAAATCGAATAAATTCGATCGACAATTTTCTACTCATCATCTTTTCACAATTACTTACACCGCTGCTTTTTATCACACTTGTGAAATCTTGATGTGCGAACTTGTGACTGTAATGGTGCCTGTGATCAAAGAAGATTTTGATTTTTGCAGCGTCATTAATTTTATCAGATCTCCTTTAAAACTTGCTTGAAATGGTTTAACTTCTTTCTTCATCTCCAAATATTCTGTGCACGCATGGTTCCAGTGCCAAATTAAAATCTGCTCTCCCCGTGCGGTATAAAATAGCCGTTGCCTTATACAGCACCTCACAGGAATTATTATGTAAGTGGGTCTTCTCGAACTTGATCCCGCGGTAAGAAATGCAGTAAAAATATGAATTAAAAATTCCTTCCCAACTCAGGATCAGCCACCCCACAAGTTATAGGGACTAGTTGGCTTAATATTTTTATGGTGCATGATTACCTGCATGTAGCTTGTCTCCAGCTTGTCCATCATATCAGGCTGGGCGTGGCAATAAGTTAACTGAAGCTCATGGAATCTTGAAGATGTGTAGGTTTGATTATTTGATTTGAAATATTTTAATGATGAGCATGCATGCAAAGTTGGTTAAAAAGAACACTTCACTCTGAGCCGGCATGTGTGTAAGAATCGAATTTATGACACAATAACGTTGTGTTGTGCATTGCTGTTTTTGGTTCTTATTTAAAATGAAGAATCCTCATCAGCATCTGCCAACTACGAAGTTCGTAGTACGAACATGGACAAAAATACATACGTGCAACACAAAAATGCAAGAAAATCCCAATTTCAATTGTAATCCTCATCCCACGAACCACGGCTTTTCCGTACTATTATTTAGAACTGTGCGTGCGTGAATGTTTCAAATGTAGAATTTTGCTGAATAAAAAGAATCCAGAGAAAAGATCATGATTTTCGCTTTCTTTCGGATTAATTGTTTTTTATTGACTTTGATAGAATTATATGTTCACTCACTCGCTCCCCCGTGTTTTAAGCAATTCTGTCTGTGCAACAAAGTCTAAAATCTCGTTTTATTTTGGAAATACCTGGTGTGTTCAGATTTGCAAGTCATTCCTGTACAGTTGAGATTGAAGAATTGTTAATTTAGTCGTGTGTAAATCATCCACTCTGATTTTGATCATCCAGCTTTCAACAGCACATAAAATTACAGCCATTATGAAAAAAGAAGAGCATCATTGCATGTTTTTGCCGGGCTTGTTAGCATCTCATCTTCACGAGGGAGACAGAAACTGCATCTTTATTTTTTTGCACTCGTTCGTGGACTAACTAACCATTCTCTATTATTATTAGCAGCAATCCAGCTCGTTTATTCGGTTTGGTTCGTTCTCGAACCCCCTTTGCTTTCCTAACAGATGGTTATGTTTAATTATGAGGTTGAGATAATCGGTGGGCGGATGGATCTCGTTACACATTTTGCTCCATAATTGAGTGACCAGTCAGTCAGGCTGCTTTCTTCCTTGGTTATTTGTCTATCCTTATTTGCTACTCCACATCATGCAGGTTGTATCAAATCTCTAATAAGCGCATAATATTTGTCCATCTGTCGCATATTTAACAACAATTAGAGGATGGGCTCAAGCCATTTGTATTTTTAACGGTTGTATCATATTTTATACGTTATTTGTATTTGCGTAGTAATGCAATCCAACGAGAGGATTTATATTTCCTGGAAGAAGGAAAGAGATTCAAGAACGATGACAATATTTGGTCGGTACGATGATGATGGGACGTTGGATAATAAATATAAATAAAATGGGTCACAATAAATAAAGTCAACAAAGTCAGAAACAACTGGTGTCCCTGTTTGCCCAATCCATTCAATCCGTATCCAGTGGTTAAAATGGATAAGGAATGTGTCAAGATAAATCTGGGGAGAGTGACAGATGCAGATTTATGAGACATTATCGAGGAATTCTAATAGTTTATCTCGTACATAATACACAAAGGCATATATAACGTGTGTACTTACCTACCGGTTACTTTTCCCTCTAAACAGAGATAGGTAATAATAACAACTTAAAATAAGTGACTACTTGGGTCGTGTCGTATCGTGGTGTGGAATTGGAATGAGAAAGACGTGGTCAAATTCCAACGAGTAAGCACGGACTTATTAGAATCAAAGGAAACCCTTACAAAAATTTTGGATGGGCAGCACATCATTTTGAAAAAGATAACCAGGAGGAATATCTAGATATGCATGCACCCCGTACATATCTATGCATAATTATTGTCCAAGAGGAAAAGACTGACGATCATGGTGGGATAGAATTACTTTGCTCCTGCTGATTTACAGTTTAAGAAATGAAAATGTCGCAATATATCATTCTCTGTGTATTTTTAATTTTAGGAAGGTTGCCTCACCTTCGAGGAGGATAATACATAGATGAAGGACCTCGTTGGTAGTTGTTGGTTAAAGAAAAAAAGGGTGTCTGAAGTCAGACTCATCTTTAATTTTAGTTGCACCAAGATATTTAGAACTTTGGTTCAAACAAGACAACCCTTTTACGCACCCAATGGTCCAGTTTAAATATTAGGAACAACTTTTCAACATTTTGACTAACCATGTCAAGTAGCTCTAGGTCCAACTCTAAACTACCAACAGTTCAGAACATTTACGTTGTCTGTATCCCACTTGCTTATGTACTTGGAGGGTCATTTTACTTATAATGCGTATGCCAGTCTGGTTGGGAAACTCTGCAGTCGCCATAAAAAAGGTTTTTAAAATATACAGCACTGGAATTGAATAAGATTCAATAATGCTCGACCGAATGACTTTGAATTTTGCATTCATCCTTCAAAAGGAATGAAGCACCCCTTCAATTACATACATGTCTTCCTCGATGTATGTACATCCAATCCTTGACTCCCACCTCTGGTAAAGTCCACATCAAAAATTGGTGCCTGCCACCTCATAAATAAATACGTTTCAAATCCAATAGGAGCCTGAGACTCCTTTAAGAAGAAGAGAGATTTCTAAAGGAAGATCACTTCAAGTTCATGAGCTGAACTATGTATTATAAAAGAGCGTCGTCAAATCAAAAGTGCTAGGGTGGATGATAAGAAGGGTGATCGTGGTGATGTTGTAGAATAAGAGCTACACATATTTGAAGTACGTGCATGACAACGCATGAGATTGAACGTCCAAGGCAGTCATTGTGTGATCCAGTCGATTTCAAACTCAAATCCAGAGATAAATACAAATAGAAATAGGGAGGAGGTGCCTTCACAAGTAATACGACTGCAGGGCTCTCTCCTTCCTCATTACGTCCTCCTCACCCACCAACATAGCCTTCTTAACAAGGGGCACAGTTAAAGGTGGTGGGTGAGTTGGAGAAATCAGGAAAAAAACACGTTCAGTATTCCACATTGGTTGCCAGTTTGCCATCCATATGCATATGATTCTAAGGTCTGATAATGGTGGATGGATGGATATGCATGAAAACTTACTGACTTTAAAAATGGGCCTTATATACAAGTCATACATGCATAAGTTCCTACTCCTTTGCACAACAATGTCTCATCTTTCTTCAAGAAAATCATGAGCGAGAACCCAAAGGGAATAACCTAAACGCATGTAAATGCTGAGGAGTGTCCCCTTCTCTTTACAAATTGAACTTATGTATGGTTTTGTAGCTGGCTGGTTTTACGTACACGACCGAATATTCATTTTCATTAGACTTCTGGCTTTTGTTTCACTCCATGCATAATATACATACTTTTTGGGTTGAAAATTGAAACTGAGACCATCATCTGCTCCACACAATGTTTTTGGAACTTTACCAACCAGCCCTAAAGAAAACAGGTTGGGCGCAAGAATGAATTGTGAACAATAATAATAATAAAGTAAAAAAGGAGCAGAATCCATTTAAGTTAAAATGTTGAGAGTGTTTCCCTTTCCTTGTTTCGTCCTCCATTAATTCCGAGGAGTATTTTCATATTTGTATTATTATTATTGGGCGAGAAGCAATGCAGGAGGAAAGTAAAATCCAAGTCAGACAGAAGCCGGATGGACGAGATGAACGAGACTTTTGTTTTTTATGGAATGGTTTATTTAAACGAGTCCAAGTTGGAAGTAACAGTGAATAAAAATTAGTAATGGGCACCTTAATCTTCATTTTTTCCTACATATTTCGAACTCCAGAGTTATCAACCGTCTCAATATTCCTTAAGTGGAAGAGCTTGTCTCGTCATGTGTGTGTGTTAAAGGGGCAAATTAAGGGTGTAAAGTAATGATCGTTCTTATCGGGGTAGCTTATTTCTGATGAAACTGGACTAAATTCCAAACCTAATGTGGAAAGTTTGTTTTAAAAAAGAGATATGCATACATAATAATGACTCCAGATTACGGATGGTTATTACCCCTTGAAATGGAAAGCTATTAAAAAATGCAAGCGTGTAATGTTGTCATTCTAAAATAAAAATCAATATTTAAAACAAAAGTTTTATTTGTTATGAAATTCCAGACGAGCAGAACAGAACTCACTGCACATTCACCCACAGGCTGTCCAAAAGGGCAAACCAATATATTTGACTGTACGAATCTATGTATGCAGTTAGTGAAATCTACTCAACAAGGTACATATAATTTATCTTATGTGTTTTCTTTAGTTAAACTTTTAATCTTTTTTTATTACTGGCCATCAACTAGGTTGTGTGTGCATGAGTGGTTTGGTTTGGTCCAAGTGTTGGGCCTGTCATGATGCTCTATTGGTTAAAGGATAATGAGCAAAATTAGAATTCACAAGATGATGCCTTCTCTTTTTTAAACTGTAAATGGAATTTTCTCCTCGTCTCGTTTACCAGCCTCCAAAAACAACTTCCAGCAGCAGCAGTTGATCCCATCAACGACTTTATGGCCTTTACATATGTATGTTTGTTAGTAACTGGACACTTCTCTGGAATTTATGCAGATTAAATTAAATATGAGCTTATTACTTACTCCTTATCAAATTATTGGGTTAAAGATCACATCTAAAATTACAAACATTGCTAAATGGAGGTCATTTATGCGACTTAAATTGCGCATTAAGTCATGTACTTGGCATCAATAAACGACTCCTCGGTGATATCTACGAATAACACTTTGACTTTGGTCTGGTCGTGGTAAGACAAATTGAGAAAATGCATGCAACCATTATGGTGACGAAGATGAAGAGCAAACCTGCCGATAAACAAGCCATGTTTGGAAATGATATGTCTTTTACTGTTCAAGCAAGCTTTCCATTTCAAGGCAATAAAATAAAGCGTGTATAATCCGAAACATTGTGTTGTGTAAGTTTTTAATGCAACACGTGCAACTTTGCTTGGTGGAGGTGTAAAATAAGATTTTATTCTCGAGATAAAACTGCATTGTGTCAAATTTCTTGTGCATAAAGTCCTACACAGGATTTCATTGTATCGCAAACGAGAAAGCAGTGGGGATCTGCCACCCTCCAACTCTCACACCGGAGAAACTAATGTTAAATTATAAACCTCTTAAAGTTTTTAAGACGAACAACACTCGTAATATAAAGTTGCAAGTGTTGCATTTTTAAGTTTTTTAAACCCTCATCTGTCCACCTGTCAAGCTTGTCTTATGCACACAACACAACACACAAACGGACATACATCTCGTCTCGGGGCAACTTGTTTGCTCTCTTGAGAATCTTGTCTAAATCTTATGATTGCTTTATGCCCAGCTTTTAAGTAACACCACCGAATAATGAATGCAAGACACATCGCCTTTCAAATAAGTTAGAACACGGGGAACCTCGGCGTACATCACACATTGTAAATTTATTGCATTTCATTTAATATTTCTTATTAAAATGATGGCCCAACCAACCGGACCGGTGTCATAAGTCATTTGCTTTTCATAAATAATATATTTACTGAAAAAGTCTCTTTGGTATCAACACGTTTAATCTAATCTAACACGGAGTAGGAGTGAGTAGTGAAAAAGATGAACTGAAATTTGATGAGTAGTCAATTATTATTATTATTTTAAAGATTCACTGCTAATTCTAAGCGATTGATTCTAAAAAATGTGGTTTAAATCTCTTGTCTAACTATCAAATGAACAAAAACAAATTGCGATTAAAAATAAATAACAACGGTAAAAAAAATCACGAACAATTACCTCGCACGATATTACCTTATCTACCTATTTATCTGTGAATAAACTAACCCGTTAATGTGAAAAACATTTTAATTAATTAAATAATATGAGGTTGTGACTGACTATTAAAAACAAAATGTATGTATTTATTTTAGACTATGGTTTCCCCCCTGCGCCAAGCATCCGTCCTTTGTTGTTGCTGCTGCTGCTGGGCTATCGCTATGTGGTCCGGATTTCGGGGAGGAATTGGGGGCAAGGGGTGGTTGTAATGATTTCGGGGAAAGTTGCTGCTACCCACACTGTTGTGCGGAGCGAGGGCGCCTCTCGTCGTAAACGTGTTGTTTGATCCCAAAATGGGCATTGTACTATTGTGGTTGTTATTCGAAGATGACGAGGATCCCGACGGGACGGGGATTGGAGGGAGATTGACGACATTGTTTGACGTCGTTGAGGAGGCGAGAAGTGGTGCTACGACGGAGGATGGGACGGGAACTTTTTGCTCGTGGTGATGGGGATGAGATGACATTGCCTTCGTCTTGGAGCGAGGGAATTGAAGACAGTTACACAACTTCCGAGTAAATGTCAACAATGACTTGGACAGCGAGTATGTCGAGAGCACCCACACACCTGTCAAATTAGAGGCAAGGAAAACAAAGGTCAGTCTTTTGTAAAGGGTAAATAATATGACTTTGCATTTATTTTATGTGTCTTTCCTCCATCTGCCACTTTTTCAGGTTTTACTAAAATTGTTTTTCTTAAGGTTTTGCTACTGGAATAATAATAATAAAATAGTGACTGCATCTCAAGATCTCTCTCTGCCTGCTCCATCGTTAAACAAATCTCTCTTGGGCCTTGAATGACACGAGAGAATAACCAACACTGACACGTCTTCTCCTTTTCTCTATTGTTCTCTTTTCTCGCTTCTGAACATGGAAATGAACACTTGAACTTGAACATGGAAGATTTTATTCTTGACATAGGCAATTATTTGCACAAGGCTCTCTCTCCCGATCTTATTTCAAGAAGACAATCTGACCATTGTCATCATTTCCAACTTTTAAGGGAGTTTTCTTCTACCATCGAGTCAACAATGTCTGTGGAAAATATACAAGCGGCGCTGGGGCGTTGTTGGAGTTTAGCCGTCTAGTTTTTGTACATAATCGTCTCCTCACTTCATAGAAGGTCATACAGACGTTTCCGAAAAAATAATTTCCTGACTCGTTTCTCTCACTAACTATGCATATGCACGGCCTGTTTATTATGGTGCAAGTCAAGCTGAAAAATAAACAAACAAAGTAGTTTCCTTCCTCCTTACCCGTGGTAAGACCAGCAATGAGATTCATGTTTAGTCGTAGTAAAAATAGCTGCAAATTGGGCCGCTCTCTCCCCGCTTCCCAGTCTTCTCGACCAGATAACTCGTACGCAATCGTTCCCACCTGAAATATTTGGTTTCAAACATCAGCATCAAGTATGTATGTATACATTACGTAATGTTAGTTAATGGCTTTGGGTAAAATAATATGGCGATAATGAATGGGATGATGACTACTTTATGTCAAAGCACATCTGCTTCAAACTTTTAACATAAATCAACTTTCACTTAGATACGACAACAAGATTAAAATCAATAACTCACCTGACAAGCAATCGGTAAACAATGAACGAGAGCAAAGATGCCTGTGTAGAAATAAAATAAATTGTTGAAAAATTGTGGTTATCATGTCAGACGGTAATCCATCACACTATTCTCACTCACCAATCCGCATCCAAATAGCTTTGGTGTTTTCCAAAGCTCTCAGTCTCTGAAATCCCCCAATCCCCACGACACTTGCTGGACTGTTGCCAGTAGAGTAGAGGAGACCACCACCATTGTTGTTATTGTGACCTCCTCCTCCAGAGATCGCCCCCACCATGCCCATCCCTCCACCCATACAAGGTCCGGAAGAAGCAGAACACATGCACGTCGTGGTGGTGGGGTTGTAAGGATTCATAGATCCATTATTGTGATGGTACTGCCGATCCATTTGACAATTAGAATATCCACCGTGCTGGTGGTATCCGTGATGCTGATGGTGATTATGCCCATTATTTGGCGGGTATGACTGTGGGGGTGGTGGTGGTGCGAGCAGGACGGGACTATAACCGTAGCCCTGATGTCCTGTCCTAAAGCCGTTTTGTAGGTGTGCCTGGGTCTGCCCGGTTTGATGACTTGCTGTCGTAGTGGCAGCCGAGTTATTCGAGAGTTCACATCCGGCCATGCGATTCTGCTCGGAGGTCAGACCTTTACGCTTAAAGCAGTCCAACTTGCACAGGGGTAGGTTCCAGGCAGGGAAAAAGATTCGGACAATGAGTCCAAAGGTGAGAAATATGAGTCCCAAGGAAAGAGCAATGACGAGTGGGATCAAGTAGTAGAGAGACAAAGCTTCCATATCCTGTTAAAAGAAAGTAAGAAAAAAATATGAACAAATTATTATTTTTATATTTCTATACAATATATTTCTTAGATCTTGTGGTGATGATTGTTGAGCCCTTTTTTAATATTTCCTCAAACATGAAACACAACCATTGATTTTATTTCCTTTGGCCTTTAACCTATCATCATCTGCACGATATCTTACGATTCGATGTGCTACTGCGAGTGAACCAGTTCAGAAGTTCTCACATTGCATTCCCTCACTCACTCCTCCGTAATAAACGACGGATTTTACTTTACATACATACATTTTAATTCATTTACCCGTTTCGTGTTCATGTCTATTTCTATTTTTGACCCTTTAAAAAACCCGAGTATACACTGGTCTCTAAGGGTTGGAGCAATAAAATAGTGTATAAAAAATCCCTTCTTCATTTCATGCCCTTCAATAATAGTTTAAACGAAATTGAGCCCTGCTAGATATTTGGTATCCGGTCTCTCTCACTCACATGCACACTTTCATCTGAAATCAAACCATGTATTCCGCCCTCCGAGAGAGCGAGGGGATCAATTCGTCAAGTCAGCTCGATAACAAAGTCAGGAAATATTAAGGAGGTAATTATACAGTGCTCCATATGTGGATACATGGCTCATGTCATGTTATTACTTGGGTATAATAATACTTAAAATATGAGACTTTGTCTGGCCAGCAAAAAAATAATCAGGTTCTCATTTCCCTCTATCATACGTATGATGATGTATGTACTGTTGACTGTTTTAAAGGTGAAATTACCCCTTTGATTTCCAAAGCACGTACATGCAATCAAGAATTACAATTAGAGAATTAGTCCAGCAGGAGCGGGGTAAATGCAACAAAGTTTTTCGTAAGGATTTTCACTGACTCAGGATCCGTCTCATTTTCCATCCATGACCAAATGGACACATAAAACTAAACTGTGAGACTTTTATGAAACATGATATATTTACTTGAAACAAAACTCAATTTCATTTTCCATACGGACCAATGCAAAGTCACGAAGGAGTAAAATGTAGCATCGTATTATTACGTTTTACATTGTGCATAATGTGTCTCCTGATGATGTCTACGATTCATTGGATTGTTTAATTTGTGGTTTGAATCCTATTTTTCAAACTGCTTGTGATTGCTCTCTTCGTCCACTGATTTAGATAAATAGAGAAATTTATGTGTAGCTTGCCTGGAATCCAACTCCACAAATGCCGGTCAGCTCATCAGCATCCACTGCTTTGTGGACCAAAGCCGAAGACGTAAGAATCGACGAAATGCCCCAAGTGACCAAGTGGAAAAGTGACGACTCCTTCTGCAACAGGGAAGCTGCCATATTTCTGTTTAAAGAGAGCAGCCAAGACAAACTGAGGATGACCCACCTGCACAAAAAACAATAAAAAAATACCCTCATTACTAATATATACATTCACTTTAGTCATCATCTTCATGTCAGTTTTCATTGATTTTTTGTAAGAAGAAAATAATAATTTAGACAACATGAGAAAATATCAGTTTGTAAAACCCACAGTGCAGAGTATTTACACCCACCTTTCTGTGTTTTCTCACTTGGGTTAAATTGCAGGAAAAGTTACTCAAACAAAATGTCACGCACGTCAAACTTTGAAATGAGGGTGGATGCACACATCCCCCTCTCAAAATATATCCATACTATTAGAAGATGAACGCATGGTGGAGAAAACGGTGGAAGAGACGAGATAAAGGATTTTGGGGTAAATTGTGTGCAGGTAAGTAAATTGAAAAACCAAAGGTACAGCAAGATATTCAAGTAAACCATTTTCCACGAATCTGCTGAATCCCTGCCACAAAAGAAATGGGTACAATGGATTTTCTTGACAATTAAAATTCGAAAATCCTCTTTTCTTTCGCGTTATGAGAATGAGGCAAGACAAGGAGATATAGGTAGATAAACAATTGAGCGGTGTGTGCCTATATGTACTTATTTATGTCGTACCCAGCAGCACTGAGGACCGTGTGCAGATGCTCAGATTTTTTTCCCGATTTCAAACCGTCGGTAGCTTAAGTGAATAACGAGGTGACAAAGCGCACTCAAATGATTGCAGCTCAAAAAGTATTAAGAAAACAGAATAGTATTTCCTTAGAAGAGGTAGAGTTTGTTGTGTGTCTAAATCTCTCTGAGTCCTTCCCTTCTTCGTGGTGTCGGATTGTCAACCAAAAACTAACAATGAGTGGCAGACACAGTCATTAATTTCTACGTCCAGAAAAAGAAGATGAAGGTCCAGATTTGGTCAGTTTATTATATCGCTCTTCTTGCAGCTTGGCCTTTTTTCCTGCTAAATCGTTATTGTGGGCTTGTTAATACACATTTAAAGGAAAGCAGGTCCAGCCAGACGAGAAACCCATGTTGTTGGAGGAAAGTTGAAACTTTACCATTTAACATGATACACACACAGCTTTAAAAGCCTCATGTCAATGTTCGGATTCAGTCAGACGCCTTATTGGACACACCACAGGGGGCTATTTCAACCGTGCCATTAGCCATTGCAACGCTCCAACTTTTTATATGCACCAACACTCGAGTACAAAGTAAAACCACCACTTGAGTCGTTAACGTAAAGAAGAACAAGTTACGAAAATGAGTGGCGGAGGAGCAGATGGATGACCAAACCAGAAAACGACTACATAAATATACGCAAGGAAATCCATGAAGGCATGGTCGATTATTCTGAAAAGGGATGAAGGAGCTACTCTAATTGAATTTCAATGATCCAGGGCAAAATCTACAAAGGAAGGAGGCCATCCTTATTATTAAGTCGCGATGGTATAAGTGTGGGACAGCTTATCAGATTTCCATACTGGTCACCACCATTCACAGCGTTAGGCAGGCAAGCAGGATGTTCATCATGAGAATTGAGAGGAAAGTGTAAATATTTTCTTGGCGAGACCGCATGAAAATGTCACACGGAGGAGGCTCCGAAGGAGAAATATGTGGCACATATGAAGCAGAAAGAAACTTTCGGAGAGAGGATTTCTTTCTGACTCTTCGAAATTTGAGAAAGATTGATGAAGTTCAAAAAATTCTGGGACTAAACAGCTACCAAAGTGGATGGGAAGCTCCAGGCAATAAATTTCAACCAGGGTGTCCTGCCATCATTCTCTCGGCGTAAATTGAAATTCCACGCATGTCAGTCATGTCATATCATAAGCAGGTCAGGTTGAAAAATCTTGAGGGTTCCATCATGCGAAGGAAGAATGATGAATTTGATAATGAAAGGTATATGTACAGCATTATTAAATGTGGGCATGTGGGCGAGATTTCGATTAAAAGTTTATCATGATCGTAGAAAAAGGTAATGAAGATCTACTCATACTTTAATTTTGTAAACAATTCTAAAAATTTTCACGTGCCACATCGTCGTCGCGATCCCAAAGAAATAAGTGAGAAGAAATACAAACGCGCAAGATGAGGGGATCATCCCCCCTCGCGCAAGGAGGTTATTTCCCGTCACTTTGTCCACAAAGCAGGAAACGGACGACGTGGAACCGATGATAACGCCAACGCTGTAGAGCACCTGGCACAAGGCGAGATACAAAATTGGCCTCTCTGCCACGCTGAATCGCTGAAAGAAAAGACATTAAAAGGTCAGATTATTCCTCGTGTCATAAATTGGCAAATCAATCCGATAGTAATAAATTGTATAATCGTGTGATGATGAGGCATGCCACACAAGTTGATTTGTTGTGTGTACGGAAACATAAAATTCAGCACGGTCTCTGTTGAAAGAAATTGTTGATTTCATCACAAAAGTAGTGGCAGATGTTGCGCAAAACTTCTTTTTTCTTCCATAAAGACGAAACGAGGATTGATTGCATGAAATATAAAGTAAATCTCTCGATGGTGGTATGCATTTTGTCTTATGGTTTGTGGCAGCAGCAGGAACAAAACTATGTAAAAACCGCAAATAAATGATGGATGGATTCAAGTCATCTGCAAGTATTAGTGCGGCATTTGTTACGAGATGAAAGGAGAAAATTTACAATTCTGCATGCAAAGCAGTTTCTTTCAGCCTCAACCTGCCACATAATGATCATGATGGTCTTGATCATATTGTTCTTCACATCATTACTCACAATACCACCAAGAAAAGCACCACATGAACATCATCATCTTAAATCTTTGAGAGTCGGTGTTGGCAAATTATTCAAAGTTTGGCATTCGTTCGTGGTTCTCCTTGAAGGAAAAAATTGCGAAAAAGCCGAAAGACTTATCTTTTAAAGCCAAAATTTACACTAGAAAATAATGTATTCTTCTCTCCTGTCTAAAGTTGTACGTTGGAAAAAAGCTGTACGTACGTAGAGATTAAAGGATGCGATACGATCCGTGCCTGCAAACGACCAACTGTTGGTAATTGACCGTGTTGAATTTTATGTTGCACTGTCTACGCGAACATCAATATTTTTGCCGTCTTGGTTGATTTGAAATGCAAGATCGCACTCGAAACTAACGCGCATATGGCATCGTGTGGTACGAATCAAGTTTGTGGCAAGACATTAATCGCATATAAAAAGTGCATTAAATCCCGCCGACAAGTCGACGAATGTTGCGATACCGATCAATAATAGATCAATTAGGGGTTATGAGGCATAATGCTTACCGGCGAGCAGAGCGAGAGCGTTAGAGCGATGAGGGATGAAGATAAGGATAAGATTGCCCATAGCAATGCATACCATCCTGAAATATACATAAAACAAATTAGCAAATAAATTTTGACTTGAAAAATCTTATCTAATGCAAATTAGTATCTTACTTGCAAATGACTTTTCACTCGGGTGAAAAAGTGAGATTCCTCCAACTCCACCAGCGTTATTGGTCCCTTCCTCCAAGTCTAACGAGCCTGCCGAGCACTTCAAGTAGCAGGACCCCTTGATCCACATTTTGCGAGATCCAGTACACTCACTTTGCCCCGCACCATTGTTGTTATCATTATTATTGCTGGGATTGTTGGCATTATTGTTGTTGTTATACGGCTTGAAAGGAGTTCCTTGAGATGACGAATATCCTCCACTCGGAAGATTGTAATGATTCCCGGGAGGATTTTGTATTCCAGGACGTACCACAGGCACAGATGGTGGAGATTCCTTATTTTTAGGGTTGTAGTGACTGTCACCACCGGTTTGGTGAGGGAATTTCGGGTTTCCACTGGGATGATAATCAGTGGGGTCACGTTTCGGCGTGACTGAGGAAGATGGTCCGCGATAATGAGATGGTGAAGGGCCCGGGTTGCACAATTTATCGTGGTTGTTTTCCGGATGAAACTTGGAACACTCGAGGGACTCGGGCCATCCGAAACCAAACTCTTTTAAGACGGGTTCGCAATGTAGCTTGACGGATTCACAGAGAGATCGACATGGCCCTGATATTGATGGAGGAAGAGTTATTTAAGCGGATGCCGTATTTTATTTATTAATTCACTCAGCACATATTTTTATGCTTACCGATGGTTGCAGGAATTTTATCTGTGCACATTGGAACGTGAGCAGAGCACAAGAAAAGTTGCAAGTTTGAATGACATCCATATCTAGGAAGAAAGGAAGCACGTGAATAAAATATGTATACATAGTTCACATTCAATTCGTCATTTCATTATTATGCATAAATATTCTTCAAGGGTGCCGACATATTCCGAATCCAGTTATTCTTTCAATATTTCAAAACATTAACAGAATATAAAATGAGATTATACTGTAAAATGAAATTGTAACATAAAACAAGAACATTGTTGCGCTACAAAATGAGGAATGTGAAAGTGAAGTGGTTAATACTACGCACAAAGGAGTCGATCGTGAACTTAAGAATCGGCCAACTTAAGACGGCGTTCGTAATGGCACTCAAAGTTGGTTAAAAAGTTGTGCTACAATATTATTGTATGAGTGTGTAAACCAGAAGAATGTCCATAGATTCTAATCTTTTTAAACGAGAGAGACCAACTACCCGCACCTACTCGTTTCTTATGCATTTCTTTACCAAAAGACAACCCAGCCCAGGGTCGAATACGAGCTCTTTTTATGTATAATGCACAACATTTTCCATTTACAAAGCAGCCCTCTTATTTATTATGAGACATTCATTTCAAATTTCTTTACTTCTGCTGCTTACTCCGCCTGAGAATTTTTCCCACCCCGTAAATACAAAGGCTTGCTCGCTTACATGGAATCATCACTCGTGGATGTAATTGAATGAAAAACTTTAGTGGAGACAAAACACTATCGGAAATTTCAATCTAAATTGGACCAGATAGTAAACAGTTCCGGGGCAATTATGCCTCTTGTAAATGTCACCCCGCATTTGAAACTTATTTGTATGGCGAAAGCCTTATCTGATTACGAGAGACAGTCACCACCGTCACTGCCTTAACTTAACTGATAGCAGTGAGACGTTAATTCTGAAATGGCGAATAAAACAAGACGACAAACAAAATTGACAATTGATTCCGTTTTTTGCATGCAGTACGTGAAACATCTTGTCCGTCCGCCTGAGTTACGATTGAATTATTGTGTTGGATTATTGGGCATTGTTAATTGTTTGGAGTTAAACGCTTCATAAAATTTACATTCAGCAGAGTCACAGTGCGTATGGAATATTATTATGGACACAAACCTCCTCCAACAAAGTTTGTGAAGATACACAAACAAAAGTCTCTGTCCAAAGTGTCAAGACGCGTCAAACATCGGGGGGCTAATCACCATCCGTGCCATACGGTGGGTTAAGAAATAAATAAATCCATCCATCCAGCCGACTGTCTTTTTCTTTACCTTACATTTTTTACTGTCATTCCCAACAATGAAAATGGTCTTGGAATGCATACTTTATAAGCTAAGGCGGGTATTGAATATATCATTGTTCGCAGTCTTTTACTCGGAATCACGAATTTAAACGTGAGAAATGTAAGAAACTACGTTAATTCTTTGAGCCCAGTCTGTCCAAAATTTCAAGGTGAATTAACCACTCAAATTGAGGATTTAAAACTTGTAATGTCCGTCTTTCCGTCCAGGTTTGAGCCGTTCAACGTTGTTAAATATTTAATCTGTACGTATAACAATACCCATTAAATTAGTCCATCAGCCAGGCCAGGAGGCCCCTGCTATGCTGGTCTGGTTTGCGAGCTACTGGACTGCGACTAACAAGGGACGGAGGTGGCTTGTTAATTTGGCGCATATGTAAAAGACAAGAAGCCACTCTGACAGAACTACCAACTTCCAGGGCATTAATCAGTGACATAGTAATTTTCCATGCAAAAAAGTATTCACATGAAAATTTAATCCAGTTTTGATTTTGGGAGAATGTCAAGCTCTCATAAATTAGGAAGAACACGAACAATATGTAACACATCATGCGACACAAAATCTATATCTTTGATATTTATTCAAGCCATAATGGAATGAGAGTTAGATTAATCGTGTAAGCATACATTACAATTTTACCAGAAATCAATTGATTCCTGGCAGAAAACAACCCTGTTCTCTTTTGTCACCACGAATACACTAATAATTACACAATAGCATATACTCTGTGTATGTGTAAAAGAGTTTCAATATTTCGATCTATGGACCCATTAAACAAACTTCGTCAACCGCGACTTGACACCTCATCAATCAATGTTTAACTCAATGTTCTTGTTTGTTCACCAAACAGATTTCCGGTGCTGGTTGGTGCTCTCATTTTCATTTATTTGCTATCTATGTATATCCACTCACAGACTAGTTTTGTATAGTTAGTGCTCAACATGATGCCATTGATGAGTTTCATTTTCGACACTACTGACTTGACTGTCTCATATATCAAGATCTAATTAAACTAGTCATGAAATTAAATATGCATGTTAACTGACTTACTGAATTAATGGGGTGTAGGTTTGAAGTAGAGCTTCTGCATCCGCTTGTGAATCATGACCCAGCGCGTTTGGCATAGCTGTCTGGTTAAAGAAACGTTAAATCATTTAATTAGATATATAGAATTATAATAGGGATAAAAACGAATATTCTGTGCTTTCCACTTACTTGGTTGTACCCGATCCCCATACAAATTCCTGCAAAAAAATTAAGCAAAAATGTTTAGAAATATGTCCAAAGTACTCGAGTCGTATGTTTTCCAGGGTGGAAACATGCAACAACATTATTTTATACATTCGTTCGTACAACACTCCCACTTTAAATAGTTGTTGAAAGTTTTAAACAAGTACTTGCACGGTCATGTCATCATCATCATTCGACGCCTGAATTAGAAAATGTATGGTTTTCCGCAGCAATTTGCTCCTTTCCAGCTCATGATCTTCTTCTTGTAAGTTTTTTTATGTATGAATGTATGTGCTGCTCTTTTGTGTTTTCTCAAGCTGATTTTCACAGTTTTTCTGCCTTGTCACAACACGAGAAAGCAATTTTCTCAAAAGTTTGTGAAATTACCATAAAATAACTCGTCGCCGTGTTTCTGTTCAAGTGCAGTAGCATTTTTCTCACAAAATGAATGTGCTCAGACATTATAACAATGCGGTCTCTTTTAGGTTTGTTCTTCAAAAGAAGAATTTTATTCTCTTATTCTTGTACGTAATTTGGGAGCAAAATTGGCTGTCTTTTGTTAACCATCGGCTAATTTTGGATGCCGGTGTACTTTATAAGTAGTTTTTTGCGGAATAATTGGCAAATATAAAAAGAGATACTTGAACAATCTCAATCACATCTACATACGTAAATATTTATTTAAATCACCAATGTTCCTCTAACTAGTACCGGAAACATGTCGGTTTGTCGCATTCATAAAACTGCATAGATAGTTCTGGTCAGAGTCAAATTCATTGTGCATGAAATAGTTTCAATCTGCACTTGAAGGAAGCACGGACCATCTTCAATTGTCAGATCGTTAATTTTTTATAGATTTTAAAAGTCAAACACCATCTTGCCGCTCCCCAATTACTCACAACCAACAACCCACAAAGGATAAAAAAAGTCTTGTTTTTCGACAAATGCATTAGTGTAATTGAACTATGCAGTTGTTGCTAAAATCCAAAAATTTCAAGGATACCGTTCATGCAGTAGTAAGTCAAAATATCGAATCAACATTGACATTGAACAGCCAAACAAGAAGTCAAAGACCAACATGCGAAGTAGAAAACTTGGCAGATCAAGATTGAATCAGTCGTTAATAAGATGCACCCTGGTAAATAGGAGGAATTTTAAGGCATTCTCCTACGCAAGTCGGTCGGGAAGCGTTTTATATATTTCGAGTTAGAATGGCATTGACTTCATTTTATTGAAATTAGATGAATGCTTTTGATTTTTATTGCGATTCCAAAGCGAGATTCCGTTCCACTAGAGGCTTCTAAATAAAATAAGACAACCACTTCAGCCTATTTAAACCCTGCTGAATTGAATCCTTCATTTATGTTGCTCTCTGCTTGTTGTCTATTAGCACAGAAGAAGTCAAGCCGTCCATCCATCCGCCCGTCCGTCCATTACTTTTAAAATTAATCTATCGCCTTTTCTTCTTTGGCTTGCTAAAAAACCGTCCAAGTTTTGTTTGCCATTCGAAGAGAGCAAGTTCATTAATCTTGAGATTGTTGTCCACCATTGCATTGTTGTGTCTGAGAGAGTAGTAGTAATAGTAAAATGAAATTACGTGAATGCATACGAGGGCTCTTTAGCGAAGATAAGTTGATTAAATATTTGTGTGAGCAGGAACCAGTAGTAGCATTCAGACATTCTATATGTGCTGAGGTGGTACAGTTTAGCCTGGTCTTGCTAATAAAAATATGCAGAATATTATGCATACATATGTACGACCGATTACTCCTGCTAAGTGGAGTGACGTTGAAAATTAATGTTCTGATCTGTGAGAACCATGGATGGATGGAATGGATGAGATAACAGCTCTTATGCACTTTATAGTTGACTCCTGTCCTGTCAGTCAGCCGTAGTGGTAGCCAAAATGGATACCACTTCTTTTTTATTCGGCAGCATTATCAGTTTTCAGGAGCGAATTAACCTGTTGTCACACACCTAAAGTTAGATTTAACATCACAACACAAAACACTAAAAGTACTGTCTGTCATTCATCAACATCAACTTTGAATGCAGAGATAAGCAAAACTAAATAAAACAGAGGCATCGCATACGTACACGTATCATATGTGGACATAAACTGATCAAATGATGATGAACTCTCCAAGCTTTCATTAACTCAAAGTTATGATAAGCACAGCATTTTGAGCGCTGGAGAGTTGATTTCACTAAATCCATCATTTGCTGAACAACACAAGGTCACGGAATCGGACAGTTAAGGACATTCGTTCGTACATATTGTGGTTAAGTAAAATATTTATGGAAAGGATTTTCCAAGTTTTCCAGAGCTACTAGTTTTTTAGGATGAATGCAAAACCATGTAGAACAATGAATGATCATGATTCTGCCGACAAAACAATTCTTCTGGAAAACCGAATTCAAAGGAGAATGTGTAAATGCTTGATTTTCCTTCCATTCTCTTTTTACCAGCCTATTTATTTGACGTAATGTTCACAAACAACAACTCATGTTTTGGCAGCTGCAAGATTTACTTGGTCTTATGACCAGCAGACGCGACCGACAAAACGTCGTGGCCTGCTTTTACAAGTTGGGACTGTTTTTGGCTCATTTCTTATTTTACTTCTTGCTGCGCCTTTCAGAAACCGTGTGCCTGTTGATCTTTATACATGTGTGTGAATGGTCTTATGATCTCGTGCGTGCATGCATACACACACACCTTTAAAAACCTAATAACAAATAAACTTAAAAAAATCCCAAAGAAATGGGATCATCCTCCGCAATCCATTGCCAAAAAGGTTAACCCGGAAAATGAAAAGATATGTAATTCGCCGTAATAACTGGATCATTCGTTCCGTTGCATTTAATCATCGTGTCGTCGGGTCGGTAAAGAAATTGCCGCAATACTATTGAATTTAACTTGCCAAAGATTTAACCCGTGCTTAAACTCATGTCCTTTTTTACCTTAAAGCCCCGTCTGATATGCCGTTAGGTATTCGTGTCTAATGCAGTGAAAATAATTCAATCGTCGCATCATCCCCAACAGTTTTTTTTAAACGAATGTACTCGAGATTTATATAGTTAATGGAAAAGATGTATTTTTAACAGCACGCCAAAAAGCTAACAACCCAAAATGTCAATCGTTCCGATACTAATAATAACCATTATCTGAACGAGGTTCAATTCAGCCCTTTATTCGTTCAGCCGTTTTATTTTGACACATTTAATTGAGAGCAGATGCAACAACTCTCCTTCGTAAGTACGTATGCACATAGGCGTAATAGACAACTCGTGTGTCTCGGATGATTAAAAATATTGTGGGTTCCGGTTCCGCGAGAGTCTCATTTTATTTTTAAAGCTGTAGTGCCTCTGGAGAAGAGGTGTCGGTAATGTCAAATTTGAAGTCTCTCATCTCATCTCGGTCGTACATAAAATGCAGTCGGCCAGTCAGAGGGTGTGTTTCATTCTAGTCGTCTCTGATTTTTATTGGCTACATTGGGCGAATCCTTATGACAGCAATTTCCTGTATTAAGTACAAGTCAGTCCAAATTTTGTCTTGAAATATGTACAACTTGCAGCACCACCAAAAAGCCAAGCCACAACTGAATGGTTCACTGGTTTTCTATATACTGGTTTCTGGACTAGGTGATTTTTTTACCCTAAAAATGCTCATGAAAATCATAGCAGAACTAAAACCAAACCAAAACCATTTTCCTTCTTGTTGTATGTAACTAATGCACGGTGTAAAAAACTTAATACACAACTGTGCACATAAAATAATATGGAATAAGATGAATAATGACGTTATTGGATGAAAATTCCTAGATGCCCTTAATTTCTCAGTTTCATCCAGTCCTTGAATCCATTTTCTCTCACATTACATTAAGAATCCTACATTTTACAAAAAAAAACACTCATTCACTTTTGTCAGTTTTCGCTTTTAAGTGCGGATACAAATATCTACATAGTTCTGGTTCTGATTTTTAGACGAGTTTGAAAAGTTCATCTACGTTGGCGAAATTCTAAGAAAGTACTCGCCTACTAATTTAACTCTACATGTGGCCTCGCACCAGCGGAGATCAAATTGACATGGCAGTTGAATCGGAATATTTGAATTCCACAAATGTTGAATTGTCAAGTGTAACTCTTTTATCGGGGAATCTTAATCAGATGGTTGTTGCCTCTGCGTGTCATATCATAAGTCATTTGAAAAGACTTGTACTCCAAACTGTATGTACACAAATACATAGTTCTCGATTGGAATGGCGGAAGGGAAGTAATCGTTAATGGCTGGCTTGCGTGTGGATTGGATTTAAGATCAGATTGACGCAAGTTGACATTACTCGTGGTGTAAATAAATTTCTGGAATTTTTAAAGTCAGCTCTGTCAACGTGGAATAAAATCAGGAGAGATCACCTTGAAATAGGAAACTCGGAAAAGATTTTATCGAATTTTTTTAAACGAACATGTTCAGAACATTCGTGGATCGTAATGAACAGTTTTAAATCATGTGTTATATAATACGATAGTTATTTTGACTTGGATAATACAGTGGACAAGAAGTATGCCTGCATACTCTTAGGTACATATCCACTGCATGGATTGATTTAGTGAAGACAGTTTTTCTAAACATGTGCGTCTCTTTCTCTTTCGTCGCAAGAACTACTTACGCCATACGTCTTGCGTCAAACTAATTTTCACAGTTCCGGTCTGGAATTATTTCTACTTTGAGAATGTTTCGCATATTTCATACTTTCAGACGTGCCATTAAAATACATACGAACTGCATTTATACATAATGAAGTCCATTACAAACAAAATCTTGACATGAATATATGCAGCATTTGTTGACAACTGTATTAGTTTACCGAGAACATCGTTAACGGAAATAATAGCAGATTATTTATTATTCGACTCCTACTTGGTTAACAAACATTATTATTAAAGGCGTGATGAACACTTTGGAACGCAGTTGTACATGTGTCAGCAAAGCCATATTTTCACCGTCGTGTTGAAATACCTCGGCTGCATTGCATCCTTGTTAAAACTTTATTTTCAGAATGTATGCATCTATTTATCCATATTTCAACAGGTTCTGCAGAAACCAATCTGTCTACTAAATAATTCAGCATGCATATAATTTACCCTCGTTATGATGTTATGACAAGTAGCGGTGGCAATTTATTGCTCAAGTAATTCACTTTAATTTTACGAGGCGGCTCAACTATTGCCGACAAGCTGAAAAAGTAATTAGAACAAGGTGAAGCCCATACATTAATATAGTTTCAACGCTTCCTTAACATTTAATGTGTAAAAATACAACGATATGCAGGACCTCGATATACCTACGTACGAGAGAAACCATCCAATTATAAATTTACTATACTGCCACTTTTACATTGGAGAAATAAAACAATGTATGAACACTCGACATACGAATCAATACCGTTCGATGGGTCATTGTACTGTTCTTTGCGTTTCAAAACTCCAATCAAGGTTTAAAAGCATCCGAAACCAAAACACGCATACATGTGAATGCGCATTATATTCCTCGTAATAATAGCAATTTCAGCCTTTTGTTGTACAGCGGAATTTGGAAACTAAATATTGTACGAGAATATGCAGTAGACCACTCTCTGTACTTTTTATACATACTCCACCGCATCTTAAGGGCATAACAAGCCTGTCATCATTTGCTTGATATCTGAGGCGGATCAAATCTTGGTCCATTGTTAAATTACATTTGCATGCCCAAAACCATAAGCGCCTACACGACCAATAATTCAAATAATTTCTTTGTATCAATCACTCTCCTCCTCCTTCAAAGAAGTAGATGATGATGCGAAGATTAACATCAGAGTCGTATCATCATCATCAAAATGCATGGCATGAAATTGCAAATGTCGGTCTGCTCTCAAAGAAACGCAGCACTGATTAATATTTGCGAAAGGAAAAAGTCTTCTACTTGATTTACCACATGCGAATATGATCTGAAAGCTATGCGCCAATAAATAAATGATAACTTTTGCACATGATGATAACCAATGAATGATGATTTAGGCGGTTGCATTGATATCCGAGTTTAATACGTGAGTCTTATATTATTCCTTTCGGGTCATCCCATCTTGGGCAATGTTCAACTTTACTGCACTCATCATCATCGATCGTCATGTACAAGACGATAAACTTTGTGACTTACCGACTTTAATGGGTTAAAATACAAATCACAACGTATCTACTTACCAATTCTTATGGGTTCACAAACTCCATGTGGATGTAGATGTGAGTCTGAATCGTGATGCAGAGAAGACCCAGGATGACCAAGATCGCCATAATGGTCATCAGGATCATCATCCCGGTAGCGATGATCCATCAAATCAAAATTAGCAGCACTTTGTGAATGTTTATTGCTTCTGTCGCGATCTGGAGTAGATTTAGTCCCATCGGCTAAAAAGCCTAGCACTATAAGCAACACGGCTAAATTTCTCATTTTCACCTTCATTTTAGCCATGTTTCCTCTATTATTTCGGAAGAAAGAGAGACACAAATCACATTGTGATTCGCACTTTCACACAAGATTCAACACATTCAAGTTGACATCATGCTTCGCTAAGTTTACGCCATCCGCCCAATTTCATGCGTTATTGACGCCAGTTCCTAACCACTGCTTGTAAATAAATAAGATGTGTATGTTGCAGGAAGTTAAATTATACACACCGTGCAAAAAAAACACAATTTATCCGGTATCTTTTATCGGCATTTCATACCAAACCAATTGCACATTAAAAAACTTTGCATAACAACACAATGAATTTTTTAAACAATTTCTTAACGTCGTCTTCCACGAACAATTCACTTTTCCTTTTTCCTTCCCCACTCCAAATATTTCTTCGTTTGCCTTTTCCCTAAAAACAATAAATTTTCGAATTGCAGCAGTCTCCTGGTTTAGCTCTCGTCAGTTAAACAATGTTTTAAAACGAATGTAAAAGTTTATTTTGTCTGTAAAATCCAGAACAGCTCCCTTTTTCCCTCTCCTTTTAAACACTCTCTCTCCTCTCCTTATTATGCAACCGTTTTCTGGACCTCGTTTACTCGTGTAATGTAATAACCAAAGTGGGTACAGCGTTGTTAAATAAATGAGTTTCGTAGCGTTGATCCCAATCGCAATATCATGTAATATTCTTATTATTACGTATGTACGAGCTACGAGGACACAGAACCAGTCCAGCAACACGGAATACGAAAGAGTGACTGAAGAGCTAGCAACATTTACAATCTGATTTGGGGTCTGCTTGTTAACACGGTCGACTCAAAGTTTCAAACTTGTATGTATGGTACATGCATACGTCGTTGGATGATTTTCATGGTTCAAAGCATGGCATGCTCAAATGCGTGTGGACTGTGTAACTCAACAAATACAAACTAGTTTCGTATACTATGCTTGTAAAGAGTTAGCTCGATGAAGGAGGGTTCGTCTGCTTAAATCTTATTATCATCCAGTCTTTAACAACTTTAACTAGTTGATAATACATACCTGATGGACCAACTAGGTCCACAAACGTAAAAGTGACTCGGACCACAACCAACATTATCATTACCTTTCCCTATCTATAAGCAAGGCATGTGTACATGTGGAAGGTAGGTAGGTATGTATTCATCCAATATCCAGTTCAGGTAGGTAGGCTGATGGAATTGCAGGTACATAGATTGGACAAGGGTACTCCCTCCTACTTACCTGCTCGTCTCTGAAAGTAACAAGGCGAGGAAATGCATCTTACAGAATTCAAACTTACTCTTCAAAGCGTTGACTTGACTCTTGTGGGCAAGTTGTGTTGATAAAATATAATACTTGCATCCTCACCAAGTGAAGGATGAACTGAACACGAACTGCTAACGAGGTGCTGTTTTCTGGGGATGTAATGTACATACGTGGTCGTTGGTAGAGCTGCTTGGCTGGAGAAATCTATTTTTCTTTTCATGCTATGAAATGTTTAACCCTTGGGTTATGTTTTGTTGCATTGGTTAAGAATTTGTGACAGGAAAAACTAAATCATGGCACGTTTGGTTCAGATTCCTGGCAGGATTTCTGGATGCGTAACATGTAACGGAATATGTATGCAGTGGTCACTTGTTTCGTATGCATGATAATTCATAGTTTCCTTTCCTGTCTACCTGTTGATACCTTTTTGCGGTTATCGTTATGCACATATGTTGGTTAAGGAAAAAAACGCAAAAGTCTCCAGTTTAAATTTAAACTGGTGATAGTAATCAGGATTTAAATACATTTCCCTGCTGACGCTACGTACGTCACTCTTTTCTCAGAGTAACTGTGAACTCGAGGATATAGGAATTAAATACAGGACAGACTAACTAGATCAGAAATTTTTGTTACCTATTTCCTTGGCTTAGCAATAAGTAGATTTGAGATTTCGACATTTAAGGATGGTACCAACTGCATTATTATTAGGGACAGGACAAGACGAAGCAACTGCTGCTATGTACGTGCATATTGTGCTACAGGAGGATGGGAGCCCCTCACAGAGGATTATGAGATTAGACAGGTGACGTCCTTCAAATTGAACTTAAGGACTTAAGACAGTTAGTTGAACGTGGACTTAAACGCGGATTTCGAAGAATGTGACACTAAGAAAGAGCAGACTTGGTATGCATGCACAGAAGGAGAAGAAAGCGAGGACGATATTTTAAGCTAATTCGAAATGACATTTTCACCACTGTACTACAAAGAAATTAGAGAATCGTACTCTCTTAACTACAAACTAAAAGGTTGTTTTTTTCTTCAGTAAGATTGCTCATTTTTGACCATTTATGAACTTCATGTGGCTTGCATCAAGAGTCGATAATGACATGTGTTAGGGGAGTTAATATTAGCTGACAGTAGGGAGAATATTTCTTTAGATTGAAGACATCCGGGGATACAGAGAATTTGAGTCGACACAAATTTTCAGTGTAATAACTTGGAATTTTGTGACACAATTTGACTACAACACCTCCTTTGGAAATGGTGGTAGTAGACCTTCGCATGTATTTTTTAAGGTGCATGATTTTAAAGCCCAGGCATAAAAGTACAGAGCAGACCAGCTTTTAAGTAAGCTGCTTTGGAACAATGCAGGCAATAAGCCTTTGTTACGATCCATTAGCATAAGCATAAAGTAAACAGTGGGCTTAATCATGTGCTAATTGGTGTAAGAATTCTCACGTTTCCAACTCCAGGTCAGGTTACTTTACTGCTACTTTGCATTAGAATTATTAAGCTCAGTCAGTGGTGATGAATATGCAAGAAGCGATTGGATTTAATATTGTAATCCTCTCATTATTCGTTTCTTAAGAGCTACTAATAATCATAAGCAGATGAATTTAAATAGCACAATTCTAACACATTCTTCCTTGAGATAAATGCACATGCATACATATCCACATATACGTAACACAACTGATGTTATGTATGCTGTATGCACATATGTAGTTACTTAATATCTTCTCTTATCACCTATTTGGTACATGAAAATAATAAATATTTAGTAAATCCTGTTGTTTAATAATCTGTTAAACTTGAGACGAGGGGACAGTCGTCATACTTATTCTTAACTCGTATGTATAATATTACTCGTCGCCATACCAAAGTTGACAATGCTGCGACGTGATTAATTCATAATGTGCATTGTAATATTTTTAGAGGAAGGAATGTGCCCCATTATTTTCAGAGTCCAATATTATTTTCTATGTCTGCAAGTCTTATTGTAAATAGATCCCGAAACTTGATGAAGCTCGAGACAATCTGCACTCAATCTCGTCTGACTCCTTCGACCTGTCGAGCCCAGTGTGAGGAGGATGGTGATGATGGTCCTATTTCATTTTTGAAATATTCTTGACCATAAAACAGTAAAGTTAAAATCTAATCATTTCTACGTCTTGGTTATGGGGCACATGCATTTGTCAGACTGGATTGGGCTACGTGGACATACGAATACTAAAGGATTATTGTATTAGGATTAGGACCATTGTTACTTTCTTTAAACTAAAGTGTCTGGTTTGACTTTGGCCCTTCTTCGAGAAGATATGGATGGAAGACTCATGCAGACTCGTCTTTTTTTTGTTGTGCCAGGTTTCCTGGTCCTTGTTTAGTCAACAGCAGGAGGTTTCAAATTTCTTTCAATTCACCCACACAGTCGTCCCTACGTACTTATTGTGGATATGTGCATGTGTCTACGTTACGTTATACTGTATACGTTATACTGTTGCTCATGCAGTCTTCTTAAAAAGTTGAGATATGGATAACGAGGATTTGACCCCCCAGCATCTTCCTGACGCTATATTTCAAAATTTTAAATTTGTCTGGATTCGAGCTTGAAGGTCATTCTGGTTGAGGAGAAATTAATGGGAGGAATATATTTGTGTGTTTAAAGACGTAGTGGGCTGGCAATGCGTGCATGCATGGGAACAGCATCCGGTTGATTGTATATGTATTTAACTGTTTGGACAAGTCAATAAAATTAGTTACACAATGACACTAACTGCTGCTTACATTTGAGGGGATGCATTTATTTACTTCAACAATTGTCTCCTCAGTTTTTCTCGGAATTAAAAATTGTCCCTTTTTCAATTATTTCACTGAAAGATAAGATGTTATCAGAGGACGGAGAATTTATTTCTCTCATTATTAAGAGAAAGAGAAATGACCCATCCTTTCCCTTCGAGTACATAATAAGCCCTACAAAAATAAAATACATACAGCAGCACGACACCTGAAGGAGTTGTTTCTTTTAAGATTTGAAACAAAGTTTGAACAAACTAAACACGGTCGTCCCCCATCTGACAGGAAAACCAAACAATGACTAATGAACGTGGCGCAGTATGAAATAAATGCACAAAAACTACTCTCGCAGTCCCACGCAGACCATAAGAAGAAAGGTGGAAAGATGAAAAGAGAGGAGCCCTTGGACGACTTGACAAGGGAACGAGTCTCGTCCTCCATCCCTACATGTGGCACTTCCAAGACACAGCCTTTTCTGTTTCTCAATTTTAATGTCTTTGCTCCTCTTTTAAAACTTAGGGAAGGTGAGGGTCAAAATGGATCATGCACAAATTGTGTGCGGTTATTTTGCAGTGTATTTTACTGCCAAAAATGTAGTGTCGCATTTTATTTCGTAATTATACGTAAAATATTTTGGATATGAATAATTTTGACTATTTGAATCTAATTTTTGTAAAAACAGAAATGTATTGCCCTCTTTATTTATTAGTTTCTCTACGTTCTCAGCCTGTTCAAAGAAGTCTAAGGCCTCATGAAACCCCAAGACGACTGACGTGATAGATTCCAAGGCGTAGAATACATAAGGGAAAGGATCCTCATGTTACAATACGAAGGAAAGACAGAAAAATGGACCCTTGGTTGGACGTAAATGAGACTCTCAGCAAGGGCTTCTTCCTTGCTGAGATGGCATCCCTCCGTTTCTTCAACCAAGCCAACACAACGCAAAAGATGGATGGAAAATGAAATAAAGTATTTTACGATCAGCTATAAATCAAAGATTGTTTGTTTCAAAAGAGACTTCCAGAATTTCTCAAATTCTCATTCTTCACAAACTTCACAATACGTTTGGGTTCTGGTTTTTACTTGTTGCCTTACTTGCTGTGATTCCAACAGGGGATGAACTACGATAGCTTATTCTTTCTACTCTGCTTACTTTACTTTCTATTGTCTGTTTTATGGTAAAGATCGCTGCGATAAGAATACAGCATATTATGGGGTTCATGAAAAAAGTTTATGTATATATGCCAAATTGTGTAACTGGATAACGGACCAACCAACCAAATTTTCCTAGGTTCTGCTAATTTAAATTATGCTAACCATTCATTTGCCACACGTTTATTGCCGTGGTACAACTACGGCAGACGCTGATCTCACATAATAACGAGCAATCATGGAAGGATCACTGCGAAGGTGTTTCACGTTGTGGTTTTTGTGCTTTGGTGTGATTGTTGTTTCTGAAATTCAATTTGGCACAGGACATGTCCGATCGAGGAGGGTGAACCCAGAAGTAAGTTGCAAAAAATAATTTAATAGCGATATGGTAATTGTGCTAAATATTTGAATTTATGTTTCAGCAGATGTACCAATATCAACCTATTCCAGTCAGAATGAGGAGATACTATCATTACTGGCCAAGTCCAAGATCTGCAGCCTTTCCTAAAATGCAACGCTATATTTCTAGGTCAGAATTATACCACAATTACGATGAAAGACCAAGATTTTTCCATTTGAAATTTGACCACATGTGGAACTTTAGTTTGGATATAGGATAATAAATACTACAATATTTTCAATATAAAAACTGAAAAAATGTGTGTAATTTATTTCCGAATTGCAAAGCACAAAGAGTTTGATTACATCCTAAATGTGTTCAATTAAAGAATTACTTGATGATTTGAAAATCTCCATAAGAGAAACTGGAGATAGCTTTGGCCGTCTTAAAATCTGCCCCATCAATTCGTGATTTTGGACTCCCGACACGCTTCAACCAGTCTTTCCTGATTTGTGAAGAGGATAATAAAATATCATTTGTAATTAAAAAGTTCAAGTTTAAATCACTTGCGTAAATCTGACTCACATCATGTCAATTTGTAACCTTTCACCTTCCATGCGTCCTGAAAATGATTCAAATCACATAAAAATACAAACCTATTTATTTGACATTGAAAATGTTTTTATTTTTAGAGCTAAAATGTAAAATGGAATTTAACCAGCCACAGTTCCGTGTTCCGTATTTTTGCACCATCCTCGAAGTCTGAGTTCCGTAGCTTTTCTTTGAGTGTACTGTTATTAATCAATAAATAATAAAATGAGTCCACAGCAAAAATATTTTCGGAGAAAGCTTTAACTTATGCACCTTCCGGAAATGGACGCCTTGAACCTTCCCTCGAATTTCAAAATCAATAGACACCAAGCCACCAGTAGTAGTTGACGGGAGAGAGCCGCGTTGACTAGTGAGTGACGTTCGGGTCACTGATGGTTTAGATTTTGACGGATTCGAATTCATTTTTGGTCAGAAAGACCAGATTACAATTTAGTCGGCAATTACTTAGCCTGTAATGTGTCCTGTGTCACTTTATCCTTCAAAGTATACTGACGCATAAAGTTAGCATGATCCAGAAAAAATTGTGGTTTGATGTTTGATGCTTGAAGATCCATCTCCACGACTACTTTCTCAGCAACAAAAATCCAAACCAACTCGCCCACGATTGCTTGACTTTAAGTATCTAGGTAACGTTAGTCTCCCTTAACGGTTGCGACAAATGGTCGAGTTACAAATAAAAAATTCATTTTAAAATCGTTGGTTCAAAAAGGGCGTTTGAGTCTCCAACTACTTTGACCCTTAATAACTTTTGAATGGGCAGACATAGAGACTCTTAAAGATAATTCTTAAAGATGAAATCATCGTAATTTTTTGATTGATTTTTTAAGCTAAAAATCTAGAAGGTACTATTTCGAAAATTAAACTTGAAATCTCCAGTGAGCCCGAGTCAGACTCTGTGGTTGTCGGTCAAACCAACCATTTTCCATGAAATTGTAATGTACCAATGCATTTAAACTTGTGGAGTGGCATATTTTTGAAAAATCTGTATGGATCAAGCCCTACGGTCTCACCCGTTCTGAAAATTTCAGCTCAATCGGTTCAGCCATTTTGGCTATCGTGTTCCGGAAGGACATGATAAGAACTGACTTAGGCTAAAAAGAAAACAATTTTGCGGAGCCTTGTAAGATGGCATTATTCTGAGAGCAGGACTCGTAATGAACGATGTGCATATAATTTTGTGATTTATTTTTGGTATATAAACCATTACAAAACACGAACTTAATAAACTCGGAAAATTTTCCTATTGTAATTCATATTGTTACGATTAGTTTTACGCAGAGACTGGTCAATCCCGGATTAAGGATTGGGGATTGAGATTAGGATTGGGGATTAATTAATCCTCAATCTCAATCTTTAATCCCAAGTTCTAGAATTTTAATCCTTAATCCCTAATCCCCAATCCCTCTAGGCCAAGTTTAATCCTAAAGTGGGATTAGAATGGGATTAAAATAGGATTAAATTTGCAATGAATGAAAAATCGAAAAGCTAACTTCTCTTAAGATCGCTCCCTTTTCAAGAATTGATTGCATTTCGTTCATTTTTATCACATATTTAAAAATACTGCACATCATTTTGCAAAACTACTCATAACCTGGTATCCTCAATGCACAATTTTCAACATTGGTGTGAGCAATGTGAGTGCTCTGCTCAAATTCTGGTCAAAGTTTTCCGTTAAAAATAGTACCTAGAGTAAAATTAGCATTTTTCCCGTATATAATTTTTAGTGCAAAAATATTCAATTGCCATTTAAAAATTTTATTCCTAAACGATCTAATTTTGCATGTGAAATGTTCAAAATATTTCTTGTTCCGAAGTTCAGATTCATTTAATTAATTTTAAAAGCTGGCACAATGAAATTTAATGCAAACAATTAATCCAGGACTAAATTAATTCCCAATCCCAGAAAACTACCCAAAATTTAATCCCGAATTAATCCTAATCCCAGATTGAATTCAATCCCTAATCCCAATCCTTAATCCCACAATTTTAAAATTAATCCTTAATCCTCAATCTCAATCCCAAGATTTTAAAATTTAATCCTCAATCTCAATCCTTAATCCCGATATCTTTAATCCGCCAGTCTCTGGTTTTACGACATAACAAGACGCAAGACGGACAGACGGATATAACGGGTACATAAGCCCTGATTCGGGCTAAAACCCTAAATTTAGGTAAAATTTTCACCAATGCATAATATGTATGCACGTGCATAATACACATTGTATATTTGACAAAAACAGGCGTAAAGTGCATTAGTAAAATGGTCGGTTTGACCGATAACAGGGAGCTTGACTCGGGCTCGTAAAGGCTGCACACTGGAGATTTCAAGTTCAATCTTCGAAATAGTACCCTCGAGATTTTTAGCTTAAAAAATCAAGCTAAAAATTACGATGATTTCATCTTTAAGAATTAAGTCTCTATGTCTGCCCGTTCAAAAGTTATTAAAGGTCAAAGTAGTTGGTGTCTGCGCGATGGACTTCAGACACCAACTATTTTAAAAATAATTATTTTATTTGTAACTCGACCATTTGTCGCAACCGTTAAGGGTAACTAGTCAAGCAATCGTGATCTATAAGGTTACGACAAATGCCCGAGTTACAAATGAATTTTCATTTTTAAATTGTCGTGGGTTACAGTTTATTTTTTTAATATTTTGGCTGGAGAATTGGTTTTTCGTCCATGGGAGAAAAACCAATTTTAAAATAATTTTAAAAATGAATATTTTATTTATAACTCGACCATTTGTCGCAACCGTTAAGGGTAACTAGGCACTAAATGTCAAGCAATCGTGCAACTCGCCATTTGGATATGTCACAGCCGATTGCTTGTACTGAGGATAAGTCTGGTGGGTTTTTAAATATAATATTATTATAAATTTATACAGAATTTGGACGATTAATATATTTTATTTTCGGTATTTTAAATCCATGTGATCACAAGAAATACAAAATTAAACGTTTCTTATAATAAATTTATAACTATCTACTAAATACTATCGTGCATCAAGATTTTAACAGAAACGTGACATTATAAGTATAGGTCATATAAACCAACTATGTAATGACTAATTAACGTACTATTATTAGATACCTAGATAGTCCTTGTGCAAGGAATGTGGAGTAAGGTATGTCATGCATGTATTGTTTCGCGGTGGAATACGGAGGGATAAGTATTTTAGGAAATATAAATTCTAATTTTCAAACAGCTGCAAGTGTAGCTTAATAACAATTTCGCCAGATTCAACTTCGTGTAATGGAAATTTACGGGTCCATGGCGTTTTCCGGTTGCGAGTCTCTTCAAAAATGGAGACAATTCCAATCTCTGTGCGTCCCAGGAACTCTGCAAGTTGAGATTATTGGTTATTTTATAAGGCATCATAGAGTAATTTTTTAGATGACAAATTTATTAATTCTTACGATTAGGAGAGAAATAGTCCTTGTCGTAGACAGTTACGCATAAGATATCCTGTGCTAAATCCTTCACTGAGAACTGCATGGAATCATTCCATTTTGGGTTGAGGGATCCACGAATTACTTTAGTCCTCTTGATTTCAGAACCCAGAGAAATCTCACAGTAAGGGTCGCTTTTTCCTGGAGATGATGAAATGCATGGAATAACGAAGTTTGGAATGTTGTATAAAATACTCGGCAAAGCAATATTGCAAAAGCTAAACAGGAAATGCAGACAATATCGTAAAGCTCAGAACAAGGTACAGAGCTCTTTAGAATTTCAGCGGATATTATAGTACCGTTGGGATCGCGATTAGCTAATTTAGACCCACGAACTATAACCACTCTTAATTTGCCCAATATTGGACGTCGCCGAACTAAATGGGAAATAATAGTTAGTAAAGTATGTTAAAAAGCCATGCATTAAATTGAATCATTTTTTAGTAGTATACAATGTTCAATGTTTATAACAGGATGCGATTGATATTAGTTGTGGAAAAATTTCGAGGCAGTATTAGTTACAAAACTACGTGTGAGGAAATCAGTACAATTGTGCTTCGTGCATTAATGGCAGGCTTTTTGCTAACGATAAAATGAAGACCTACTATATGTAGTAGATTCTTTATAGCTTACCACTCTTGTCTCTGTCTGCAAGATTTTCACCTTCCATCACCACAACTAATAACCTCCCAACAGCCTTTACACCTTTTTCTAAAATGCGAATTTTATCAATTATCATGTGTATATCGTAGATTTTTAGAGTCAGAGATACATGATGCCGATTCAATGTGAAATTCAAAAATGTTGCTTCACTTACTAGACTTTTGCCTCTGCAAATATTGCTGTTCAGTAAGAAGGAATCTTTTCTTTGCCTCTCGAATACTTTTCAGCCACAATCGTTTCTCAGATATTCCAGGAGCGGTGACATACATCCACGAGCCCTTGTTATTTTCAATTCCAACGGCAAATTCATTTTCATTTTCACTCACGCTTTCTTCAATCCATATCTCGTTTAGAAACAATGGTTTTCTGTAAATCTTGAATTTCATAGTTTTGTGACGATCAAAAGAGAACGAAGTTGAAAGGAGTTTATTTGGTTGGGCTAATAACAGAAAGTCGTTAAACAGGAATCCGACAATTTGCTTCCCACTTTTAGTCTACAACCGAAAAATATATAAATGCATAAACTTTCAGCGGACAATAACATCAAATGATATATTAAACAGTACTTTATGCAAGATTCCGTGATGTAAAAATTTTCTTGGTCCTAATTGATTGGTGAGCGAGTTAAAAATTAGGCGTTCCTCCAGGCCTTCGCACTGTATATGACTTTGCATCCATTCAAGTCGGTCCGAATTTTCCTTTTCTCTTACTCCTTCATTAACTTGGGCGCATAGCTGCACACATATTTATTACAGTAGCCGAATTTCTAAAATTATTATCACTTTCACTTATAACTCATGCATACCTCTTCTGCTTTTATTAATGCTTCTTCCAGATTTTGTCTGTCCGGATGCTCGTCGGGTGTAGACTCCATAATCTAAATGTGATAACACATTTAATGAACTTCTTATTTATTTTCTGGAAAAATAATTGTTGCTTACCTTTTTAACTAAGAGTGGATACTTGGTTATCCTTTGCATCGGCTTGATTAAAAAAGAACTTAGAGGCAAACTTTTTGTGTTTGGATTGCCTTGCAAAGATTTGCAATATTCTTTAAATTCTGTTGAAGATTCGCATTTATTTTGCAATAGAGCCGCAGATCTCAATTGAGCACTGCAGAATCTAATATAGATTGTAAACGATGGAATCTAAAAGAATATACATTTTTAATATATGTGTAACTTATAAAAAGAGATGCTTGCAGAATTGACAACTTATTTTTATCTTACATGTTGACAAAGAATGTCTCCTATCATTTGAATAACGCCAGAGTAACAAGTTCTCTGCCGAATTATAAATGCTTTCAAAAGCCTACTGCTACAGTCGATCAAGTCGTCCCAATTTATGAATATGGTTTGTAGTTCATCCGGATTTAGAAGCCCAGAATTAAATAACGGAATCATAAAGCACTGTAAACGACAGGAAACAATACAGTCATTTTTTAGAAATAGTAAAAATTTAAAACTAAAAAAATCTTTACATTTTTAACAATTTTCATATCCGCCATATACGTTTCTTCCGTGCTGATCAGTTCTTGAATAGCATCTTGACGTTTCGAATCTTCAAATATAGACGAGCTTGACTTATTACTGTTAGAATCTGCACCACCATTGCTAAACGAAGATTGAGAGAAATTGAACGTCGCGAATCCACTTTCTCCCCAAGTGTCATTTCCATTTTTGTGGCTCGTCTGACTGGGAAGACTGTCGCCAAACGAGATGGGACGACTCGATGGTGGAGCTACAAGAATTGAAACACAAAAATAAAAATATTTTTCCAAAATCAAAATAATCCATATGCAATGTGTCAAGCAAGTGGAAATATTTGCACTGTAGTAATAAATCCCCCCAACGTAACATGCATTTATACAGATAGACCAAGTAAATGTTGGTAGGAAAGTGGCAGATAAAAACATGAATAGCATTATTATTTTTATTGCACAGGATGAAATACTAATAATTCTCATTACATGGTCAATCTTAAGCAAATTCACATGAAAACAAAAACACGCATTGTCTGAAATATTTAGTCATACACAGAGGATGAGGACACATTACTAAATATATTTATTCTTATAGGTTAATAGAGTAGACTAAGGACTACAAAGTGTAGTGAGATGAAGGAGAAAGTCCAACAAGACAAGACACGTAGGTATTATGCATTGGATTTGTTGAGGGCTTTCTCTCATGAGTGAGTAGTACTTTCTCCGAGCAACTTCTTTATAGGTACACACGCTTACATATTAAAATCTTATACTGTTTAATCCTTAAATCCTCCTTCCAAACTAACACATCATTATCTCTCATTCTCATCGTAGTAGTAACAATGCGTACTAGAACTAATGTCAGTTTTCTACTACGAATAAATTGTACATGGTTTTTCAAGAGATTTTTTTACATCAGATTTATGTCATATACTGATACATTTCTGCTACCCGTTAAATTTTCACTAGATCTTCTGCCATTGGCGTTGTCTGAAATAAATGGTGTCGTTTAAAGCTCAGATTTACAAACTAATAAGTCTAACCAGTAAAAAATCTTTCCTCATCGTGGTGTGTGTGTGTGTGCAGGTAACAAAGCGTGAAAATTACTCGTTATGGCCATTTACTCAGTAAATAGGAGGCAGATGGGTGGGTATACGTACATATATTGTGATAGATTACATGTGCCGTGACGACAGACATATCATATTTTGATAAGGTTTTATACACCACACAAAAATGACTAAAATATAATGACCAGGACTAGAAATTTGTTTTGAGCCTGATTTTTGTAATGGTAGGAAAGCCAAACCAGCATTCGTTTGAACTGACTGACGACAGTGACGGCATAATAATCATTATTCTCAATTTGGAAGAGACCACCACACCAACCAAACCTAATAAACCACCATCTACCATATTACGTACCATGATTCTCCTCATTGCTGTACATAGATTGTAGGTATTAAGAAAGAGAAAGTATATCTATAGATTAGGCAACTCCTGCTCACCATGATGTGAAAGTAATGTCTTATTGCTATATTTTTAATAGAAAGGAACACATCATTTTTCGGAGTTTTGCTAAATCTTAGTAGTGCAATATTTCTTACTTATGTACGAATAATAAGAATAATAGTTTCCTGTCTACGTATTGGCTACAAATGATTGTTTGATTACTATTAGTTTTTCATACTGGAGAATGCATTGCAATTGTTCACTCTTCATTCTTTCTCTACACTTTGACTACTTTCACTTATTGATTGATTGATACAAGTACATTTACATAGTAGAAGACACATTTAAAATTTATACAAACTTCTAAATCAGTTTTCCAGCACCACAAAACTCATCAATTGCTACCTGTCTTATGTATGTATATATTTCGTCGTCATCACTAATCATATTGGTATTGCATGTATTGTATTACGTGGGGAGTTATTATTTTATTATTTTCTTACAAAATGATAGGGCCAGTAAATAAAATACTTGTTTCTCTCTTGCTTCTGCAGATCTATTATTCTACTCTCGAAGGGCCAATAATAAAACCTGCTCAAACTTAATTAATTGTATTAGAGCTTTTTTATAATCTAGGCATGATGATAATGATGATCTCGTATTTTGTAAGGGGTTCAACTAATCCTCTAAATCATAGTCTTTGAATGTTATAAAAAATGAAATTATCCAGGTATTAGCAGTCATGAAATTAATTTAAATTTAAATTTCGAGATTGATATCAAAAGTTTGACGTATTTCATTTCATCGTTTCTGAAATTATGGAAATATAACATCAGTTGATATACAAGAGGGTGGCGCTCATGTTATTGTTCATTGTTTTTGGAAACGATTCGGACGAGACAAACAAGCAACGAAGAGAAGGAGGCGACACCACTCCCACATCCACAGTTATATGTTTTAGAGATATTTTGCATTTTGGACAGTAATATGGTTGGTGTTACAAGTCTCTTCTTATTCCCAGCCAATATGACTTATGTTCCTCTCATCCTCCTAAGAATACATAAACAACAAACTGTCAGTTTTAGGGTCACATAAGTAATGCTACTACGTCTTTTTTAAAAAACAAATACTGGCTTGACTTTGGCTGTCTATAGAGCATTGTAACAATTAAGGGATATATAGCTGTAAACTGATGTGCAACCTCTTCATGAACATTAGGCAAATAGGAAATTAATCATTGCAAAACAAAGTAAATTGCTGGCTAGTTAAGATAAGAATATTTGTCAAAAGATATGCTACATGCAACAAACAACATAGAAAAGTGTAAACTGAATTACTACGACACACAGAAAATTGATAGACAAAACAACTTGTACAATGCGCCCAGACCGAAATTTAAAAAATGCAACCCAATTTCTGGGCAAAAACTTACATTGCAAATCTTCCTGGCCCTGTGTGTTTGACATGGGTTGAACATAATTAGTCGGGAATAGTCCTACAGATCCTCCAATCTGCCCTCGCCACCAGTCTGGCTCGTCTTTTGATATTACAATTATTACGTCGTCCTTTATAAAACCTAAGGAAATATCAAATATATATATTTTATAAATATTTAATAACCCGTGTTAATATTTTTTTTATAGAAACATGTATTTTCTCTTACTCAACTCGTCCGAGTTCTGAGCAGTATACGGATACAAAGCAATCACTTGTTCTAAAGTGTTTGAAAAAAATATTAGTTAAATATAAACCCGCATTGTCAAATGATCCATATGATAGACGATTACCTTTTGTCTCTGAGTAAACTTGGCGTCGTGAATCCCCATGTATTGTTTCCGTTATTTCTGTGTCGGCCGAATGGTGGAGCTATTACACAAAATAATACGCATTGTCAGAAATAGTCATAAAAGTTGTCATTATATTTTAACTCATTGATATTTAGTATAAAGATACTGTCAATGTGTCGAACAATAGAAGCAAAAAAATATATTTACCATTGGAGCGTCGGTAATAGGCATGTCGTACTCGTCAAACGGGATTGGTGTTGTTCGTGAAGAAGACTGGCGTGAACCTATTATTAGTTTATAGAATTAAAACCCAAATTGTATTAGTTTCCCGAAAATTATAATTAAAATGTGTAATCAATTACCTCCTCCAGGACCGAGGACTTTTATAAAGGAACCAGGGAACCATCCAATTGTTCTTGTTTTTCCTTTCAGCTGCAATTAAATTTAAAAATTCTCAGGTACTCTTGGAGAATTGTATTTTATTAAATATCTAAATTACAATAGTGTTAAATATGCATGTACCTGTAATTCTCCCTCCCACCAACCAGAAGGAGATTTCTTCCGTACAGTTATCAACTGACCACGAGTTAAATTAAGTTGACCTTCTGACGTTGCCTGATAGTTTGCTAATACAGTTGCAATCTCATATCGTTTAGTCTTTGTTGCTTTCGGCGACTTTTGAGGTGGTTGTTTCACAATTTCACTGATTTCACGTTTAATTTCGGCTTCTAAGAATAACAATTCCAGCCAATTTAAATTAAATAAATTTTTATTACGTTATCATTGTTATATTAATAAACCGAACCTTCGAATGGTTCCAAATCGTGTCGTCTTCCAAGGTCCCTCACATGAGTGTCCATTTTCTCAGAATAGTTTGTGGAAGTAACGGTACTGGAAACAGTGTTGGAGTAACCATCGTGGGCTTCGTGGGATACAACCTCCGCTTCAGGAACACTTGTAGTACTTGCAGTAGTATGATCTGGTGGTTGAACATAATTGGCAGGAAATATTCCTACTCGGTCGGACCCGATTTGACCTGTCCACCATTCACCTTCTTTATGAGTAACAAATATAGTTTCGCCAGTTTCAAAGGCAAGATCTCCAGGCTCATGGGATTCTACAATTAAATAAAAAAGTTAAAAAATATTTGAATTTTCCAGTTACTCATATTTTCTATTTAAAATCATGTTACTATGTACCGTATGGGTAGACGGCAACATAATATTCCCCAATAGTACCGTCTACTTCGACCGATTGTTGAACTGGTAGAGGCACGTGAGAAACTGCAGGGGTCGAAATAGCAGCCCTGAATAAAAAGACATTGTGTAATTCTTATTATGATTCGTAGTTTATAATCTTTAGGTTAATTACTCTTCTGCCGATATGCATTCCACGAATGACTCCGGAAACCAGCCAGAATGTGAATTAAATATACCGGCTAACCAACCTGGATCAGGAACCACACTATCGTTTTTCTGCAAAACAAAAACAACAAAGAATAGTGATTGAAGTGATATTTTAGAAACACTGTGTTAATTGTTGTATTTGGCATACTTGTATAATGTCACCAGCATTAAAGGTCAACTCGTCTTCGTTTCTACCCTCAAAGTCATAAAGAGCTCGGTAGTACGATAAACCATCTCCGTTGGTGGCAAGTGAACCTTGTCGTGAGAGATCTTTCCCTGTGTCGCCCCATGCTGTTGAAACATAAAATTATTATAACACCTAATTGGCAGAAAGAGTCAGCCATATAAAAGTAACAAAACAATTTACCCGAATTATAATCCAACTCTTGAACATGCTTCTTTCTGTTGGTAATGACAGTTTCCCGTTTCGTCTTGAACTCGCTATAAATCGTTTTGCAACTTTCAATTAGTGTTGCGAGCGTATTTTTCAGTTCGTTGCACTCGTTTACTCCAACATCGGTATCAGATTCTTTCTTTTCGAGCTGGAAATGCATATACACTTTTATAAGTCGCATTTTTTTACACTCACGTGCATTTTAAAACTAAGACAAACCTCTTCTCTCATGTTTTGTAGCTTTTCCCGTAATTGTTTTAGATTCATTTGTTTGGCTTCGCCTGAAAATAACATAAGATTATTTATCTTAATAAGAAATCCCGTTTATAATAATGTGAGTTTTTCTCACTCTCAGTCGCCAACTTTTCTAATCGTATCTTCTCTTGGGCCGCTAACAACATCCTATTATTCTGATCCTTGAGTTGGCCTTTCCCTACGGTACGGTAACATTGGTTTTACGCAATTTGATATAATACATTACTTATTCAACTTACTCATTCCCATTTCATTCATAAACGTGTCACGATTAGTTCTCATTCCGTCAATCTCAGTTTTTACAGTCGAAACTCCTTGACGAGTCTCAGTGATTTTCCCCGAAAGTTCTTTCACTTTATCAGTCAATTGAGAAATTTCCAACCCTAAACCATGATTTACACCCTTCATTCTCAGCACCTCTTCTTGTTCTCTCTGCCGTCTAGCTAAAAGTTCTTGACGCTTGTTGTCATCCATTTCTGCTCGTCTTTGTCTCTCCATCTCCCTCCTCGCATGATCTTTTTGTTCTTCATTTTTTCGAAGTTCTTCCATTCTTCTTTCTTCCATTTCCTTCTGCATGGCAAGCTGTCTCTCTCTTTCTTCTGCTTGTCGTCTTTCGATCTCCAGTCTGGAAAAGGCAACCATAATCAGTTAATTCTTGTCGTTAGGTTGAAATTAATTAATTTAATTTAATGAGTTCAACCTTTGTTTTTCTCGACGTTCGTAGTCTTCCCTTTCTTTTCGCTCTCGCTCATGACGTTCTCGGTCTTGTGCGTCTTGTAAAACTTTTCTCCTTCGTTCTAGTTCTGCCTGCCCCTTGTCAAAGTTTTCTTTACGTTTGTCTTCAAATGTGGTTCCACCTAAACAATATCCACGTGGTAAAGTCTATTATTGAAGACATTGTGAGTACTCGAGTACATACTCGAGTATTAATTAAAAATACTTACCGGGAGACATAACTAATTCACATTCAACAATTGGAGAATTCGTTCCAGTATTAGGGCCGCTGCCGACAAGTGATCCTCCGGTTCCTGTACCTCCTTTGAGGGACTGCTTTCTACTACCAGTACGAAATGAGGGTGGAATCAAATCTGGGGTGAGCTTTGTGGGTAATCTTCCAGTCTATTAAAAGGGGAAATTTTAACGTTGACAAAATTACATATGTTTCATCACTAAACACATATAAAGGAATTTAATTTTACCTGTCTGGCGACATCGCAGAGATGTAAAGCTAGTACGAATTCTTCGGTTCCAAGCCTCCCATCGTTGTCCATGTCGGACAGACCCCACACTTGTGCTAAAATTGGCTGAGGAAGACCAGTCCCTAGTAATATATTTCTGGCTTGAACTCCTGTGAGATACCCAGATTTTGAACGGTCATTTTGATTAAAAAGCTGAGTATATTTCAAGCGTGATGGGTGTGGAACAGCCCATTCGAGCAGTGGTGACCTGTATGCAAATAAGATAATATTATAATTGTGCACACATATTGTACTTGTCGAATTGAATTGTTTGTAATAGGAAATTAGCTGATTAGCGTACACAATAGAATCGTGACTAGTTATTGACCCGGATCGACCTTGCCCTAAATAAATGTGTCGTAATTTTAAATAAAGATTTTATTGTATTAGGTAGTTGTATTATAGTTAGGTTACCTGATGGTGGAGTTGAAGAACGAAAAGCTAAAGATGTCGGAGGCACAGAATTACCGGTGGCAGGCATGACCATCTGCTGTGGAATAACACCCGTAGGAGCTACCATTCCACCCATTTGTTGACCAGGCATTCTCATTACAGGTGGACTCATAACACCAGCCACCGGTGGAGTAGCCATCCCGCTTCCCATTTGTGGGGACAAAATAGGTGTTGTCTGTCCAGATGCATTCAAAACTGCTCGAAGTGATGGTGGCAATGACTAAATAAAGAGAGAAAACACTTTGGTATAAAATTATTTTATAGAGCGAAAAATTAAATAGTCGTATTTTCTTACCGGTGGCATTTCTAAGCCTTTCAATTTCATAGTGATTAATTTACATGCTACACTGAACTCATTGATATCTAGCTTCCCATCACAATTGACATCAGCTAACCCCCTGATCAAGTGCATATAAAGAAAAATAAGTTATATAGTCAAATATAACATAATTACTACTATCAAATGTATCTCTTTACCATATTTGTGCCAAGATTGGAGGTGGAAGGCCTGATTGCAATAAAAATCCTCGCGCTTGGTCCCCAGTAATAAAACCTCCTACCGGCCCAAGGGCTTTAAATTGTTCTGAATCAGATAAAATTATGGTCATTGCAAATTAATTATAAACAAATTTTGCACGAATAATTATGCCCATCCTTCTCACCAATATGTCGAGCCCTCTCCACCGGCACCACAATCCAAGGATCCATTATAATTTCTTGATTCTTCAACTGGTCTCCAGTAGAATTATATTTGAAGCAAGGTCCGTAGTAGTATTGGAGCTGGTAATTTCTTGGAGATCCAGGCTGACGAGATTACAGATCCTTCAAGAACATCATAAACTGACCTCACTTTTGACACACCTCGACATTGGCAAGCAGATAACTTTCTCTCCTGTACTTTGTTATGATGGTGACGAATAATGAATGAGCGGCGTGAGTTGGTCTTAAGTATTATTTTCTTCCTTCATTAAAGTATTTGTACCAGATCAGATCGTTATACAGCAATGGTGGATTTCCAAAATGTCTTATCACAAGGTGAAAGTTGATTGGCTTGTTGTCTTGAAATTGAATGTAAAATATAATTGTGTAAAAAGGGACAATCAGCCGGCGCTCTCAATCTAAATATAAATGAGTCATTTATTATTATTATAAAACATACTATAATTTAAAAATTAATAAGAGAAAAGTTTCAATGAAAACTTCAATTTAAAAGAATTTATGAAAATTCAAAATATACCAAATATTGATCGAATCTTTTATTTTTATAATTTTGTTAATGTTCTACTTACCAAGTTTAAACCTATTAAAAATTCAAGGTAGTACAAATTAAGCTAATATATCCATCTCAGATCCGCAAGAAAGTTTGGCTGAAGATACTTTGTGACTTTCTCTGGGCGGATGAGGACTTTATTCGGGGATTTTATCGGAGAGGGGCGTTCTTTCTTCTACCTTTCGGCGAGACGGATTAAAGGAATTGACAGTTCTTTCTATACTACTACCACTGGCATGTGCAGAATGTAGCGCCGGGTTCAAAATTTTTTCACTCTGAATAATTTATAAAATACCCGGAATTTCAAAGAATTTTGAAGAAACTTTTAAAGACGGAGAAATCAGAAATGTGTCAATCGCACTTTTTGAATTCTGCTTCCGCCCTAAATCTCGGCTGCTGCTGATTGTGATTCATTGAGTACAGTTAAAGAGGAAGTTAATTTACGGGGAATGTGAGAACGGAAAACCCGCGAAAGTTGAGTTCAGTATTATTATTATTCGAAAAATTCGCGAAATTTCGTCATTATAAAAATCGAATTAGTTATCAGTAAATAAGTGTCGTTTATCGTTACGGGCTAATTGTTTGTGAATTTATCGTGAACTTGAAGGTAAGTGAAATTATGGCGATACAACTTAAATTCCACGATTTCGACTTAATTCTGTATTTCATACTCAATATTTACAATTTGCAGACTTACCACTTACTGACTTATTAAAGGAATGCATAGATTAAGAGTAATTCCAACATCTTTGAAATTATCGAGGCGTTATACGGATTCTGCCATACTTTCCTCCTCCCTGCTCTCAAAGTCAAATTTGACACATTCAAGATATTTCCATCAACCTCCCGAGAATAGAGGACAGCCTGTAGTAACTTTCATTCCCTTGAAGAAACCTTTTGTGCTTATCAAATCCGATGACACCAATAGACTGAGCTCCAACAGTGGAGAAACCAATAATAATAATGTGATATCGAAAGAGAAGCTACCAGGAACCTCAGGTCAAGATGGCAGCAGGAATGCTGATGACCAGAATCAACACGACCCACAACAGCAACCAGCAAATTCTTTAGATCTCGGTAGCGTTGCAATTGCATTTGCTGCGCTAACGCTAGGATTAATTGGAATTTGCCATGCAGACAATGCCGCAGCGGAAGGGGATGCTGGAGGAGAAGTTGAAGGTATATATACATACAGCAGTTTTATTTTATATGGAATATTTCTTGAATTTCAAGTTTGGTTAGTTGCCAAATTTTTGGACGCCGCAAAGAAGGGAGACAACTTTGTTTTAAAGAGGATGATCGATCAGAAACTTGTCAATATAAATTCTCGTCATACACTGGGATGGACTGCATTACACGTTGCAGGTATATATGCATAATTTCTTTAAATTAATGAGCAATATATTGTCAATTCTTCATATTTATATATGCATTGTCTTCTTGTAGCTATGAATGGTTATGCTTCCACGGTCAAATTGCTAATTGACAATGGTGCTGATATTAATCTCGGGGATGAATTCACCACAGCTTTTCACATAGCAAAGAAAACTCAGATGCATTCGTTGGAAGGTATGTAGGCAAATACAGCAAGGGTTTTTAATATATAATATTATCAACTTCACTTGACTTATTATTACAGTGCAGATTGAAAGAGAAGACGAGTTTAGTGATAGACTTAGTAACAGGGTGAATTTTAAAGGGTGTACTGCCCTTCATTACGCTGTTCTTTCTGATGATTTAACAACTGTAAAAGTCCTTTTGACCAGTGGAGCCAATCCTAGTGCTGAAAGTGATTCCGGTAAAAATATTGCTTACATACTTTCTGAAAATCACAAGCATATCTAACATTAATATCTTTCCATTAAGGTCATTTGCCAAAACAGTACGCCAAGGATCCCGATATTAAGAAATTGCTTGATAAGGCTGTTGCAGAGGTAAAATGATTAGTTGCTTAGTAATATTGAACACTACTGCATTTAACCTTTTAAAAACGGATTCCACCAATAAGGTGGAGGGCGATTTCGATCTCTTGGCGACGGACTACACCAATAAGGTGTAGGCCAAATTTTTCGCCTTAGCGACGGACTACACCAATAAGGTGTAGGCCAACTTTTTCTCGTTGGCGACGGATTCCACCAATAAGGTGTATGGTTACAGAATTCCGTTGAGACCGGGCTACATCAATAAGGTGTAGGAAAAAATAAAAATAAAATGACCGAGAAAATTTTCTCAGTTCCATTCTTTCCTCCTTATTTGTCGTTGGTTTTTCTTCAAGCCTGAACTAATTTTTTTAGAGTTTAGAGTTGTAGTTGTAGTGGGGGGAGGAACTCGGAGGAAGTGCATCAGAGGTCACGCCGCGCCCCCGAAAAATTATCCAACATTGGTGCCGCTAATAAATTGGTCGGCGTTGACCTCTGACCTGTATCATGTTGTAAATATGATACAGTTCATATTTTTTTAAAATTATCACAACGTTCTCTTTAGCTAATATATTCGCAATAGTGTCACCACCGATCGGAACAAGTCACAGAACACTGAAGGACAAAATTATAGCTAATAACTTGTTTAAAATATAAAATGCATCCCAAAATCAGTGTCATCAAATTGATGACATGAATGATGACGATTTATTCGTTTAGTTTATTTTTGTAGTACTATCAAAATCAAATCCGATCTTTTTATCAAAATTAATATCGTGTGTTCATTTGGTTCAGTTGCAATTTCATGTTAAAAATGTATTATGTTCTAATTTTTGTTGTCGAATCAGTTCCAGGTCTCTAATAAATCATAACTGCATCAGTAGAATATTCAAAAGTCGGTTTGCATTAATTCAGTCCCCAACTGATTTTATCACCACCCCACAAGTCGGTCTCAATGGTATTCTGCCCCCCAGTAAATCCGCCCCCAAATGCAATAGAAACCATTTTTAATTCCGTTTTTAAATGGTATCCAGGTCAAAATTAATTAGTTTTTATAAGGTTAATCTCTTCTATCTAGTACGAAATCACAAAAAAATTGAAAGAGGCAGAAGAGAGACGTAGATTTCCATTGGAGAAACGAATTAAAGAAGTTATTGTTGGGCAAGATGGTGCTATCACGACTGTTGCATCAGGTACGTAAATAAACAATTTCTTGTAAAGATTTAGCTTTGGATAATTTCTCATGTAAGTTACCTGTACTTTACTCTAGCAATCCGCCGGAAGGAAAATGGATGGTGCGACGACGAGTAAGTGTATGCTGTTTTCAATTATAGAAGTATAAAGTTAATTAATCTAGCACATTAAAGATTGTGAAAATATAAGGAAGTACATTTCTGATTATTAGACATCCATTGGTATTCCTGTTTCTTGGTTCGAGTGGCATAGGAAAAACTGAATTAGCAAAGCAAGTTGCAAAATACCTCTTCAAGGACAAAAAGGAAGCATTTATTCGAATGGATATGTCAGAATATCAAGAGAAACATAGCGTAAGATATCCTACGCACTTCTGATGTTGGGGCTGTCTTAACACCACATTGTATATTGAAATTCAGGTAGCAAAGTTTATTGGGTCTCCACCTGGTTATATTGGATACGACGAGGGCGGTCAGCTAACTAAAAAATTGGAAAAGTTTCCCAAAGCTGTAGTGTTGTTTGATGAAGTCGAGAAGGCCCACCCCGACGTACTTACTGCTTTACTACAGTTATTTGATGAGGTACTTACAAACTAATAACTACATAGCATTGTAACTATTTCTATTATGCCTATAATAGTTTTAATGAATTACAGGGGCGCATGACCGATGGCCGAGGTAAAACCATCGAGTGCAAAGAAGCCATCTTCATAATGACTTCTAATCTAGCTAGTGAAGAAATAGCAGAACATGCAATCCAACTCCGTGAAGAGGCTCAAGAACTATCCAAAGAACGATACGAAGGTACAATAGATGATCAAGAAGTTCATGAACGCATCTCCATCTCCTCCAAGTTTAAGGAGATGGTCGTCAGGCCGATTCTTAAGCACCAGTTTAAGAGAGATGAATTTATTGGGAGGATAAACGAAATCGTATATTTTCTACCCTTTTCGAAATCTGAACTAACCCAGCTCGTGACAAAGGAATTAGCTTACTGGAATACGAAGGCAAAAGAAAAACACGGCATCGAATTAAAGGTTAGTTAATTATTTGTTTACCTTTGTTCTTTTTTGCAAGGTAGAGGTAATAAGTAGTTCAATTGTGTATGATTACACACTCATAGTGGGACAACAGGGTTTTGGACGCATTAGCTGGGGGGTATAATTTTCATTACGGTATGATCCAAATAATTATAATTATATTTATTATTTAATACATATAGTCAATAGTGAGAAACAAAACTTTCGATTAATGTGATAGGAGCCAGATCGATAAAGCATGAAGTGGAAAGACGGGTTGTCAGTCAATTGGCATCTGCTCACGAAAATCAGCAATTGCTTCCTAATTCCACCATATACATCACGGCTGAAGAAATTGATCAACTGGGAACAGAGGATGAATATATCATTAAACTAAAAATTAAAACGAAAGGTGACAAGCTTGTCGATCTAGAGAATCCCATTCTCTCTCCTCTCACTGGAAAGTGAAAACCTCAACAATCATTATCGTACTATCATAACATGGCGTGCTAAAAACGGATATATGTATAACGAGATACATAGTGTACCTTTACATAGTGTACCTTTCAAAATTTAAAGTGTTTATTTTATATGATTGACACACCTAGTCATTTTTATACAACTTTTTAGACAAAATTTTACGCAATAATGAAATAAAAATCGCACTAAATCTCATAATTAGTCACACTGACTTAAGTTTACACTTATTTCGTTACAGGTACGAATTATTCATGGTCGTCCGTCGTCGTATTGATTTTGTACTAATTGATTTTAAATTGCAGTCTCTCCCGTTGCTCGAATACATAATTAATTGACCATCATATGCATTCATATTTTATTAGTACATACGTATCAAACATATTGTAAATATAGTTGAAAAATAATTAGTTGCTTTTTCTGAGTCGTTGTGCAATTGCTGCGGTTAATCCGGCCCCTTTCCCACTCCCATCTTCAGCCAACATCAAGCAGAACTGGAATTGGATAAAGTTGATTATTTAACTATGTACACGTGCCATATTGACACAGTATTAACAGTTCTGTTTGATTAATCCACCTGTCTGTTTGGAGCAAACTTTGCTATATATTTTTTCAGCAGGGCATCCAGCCGTGGATGATGCTTGTACAGAGATCCATCAATTGCAATAGTGACAAGACCAGGTTTATCCATCCTGTCCAACAAAGATGCCAGCGCTAAATAGATTTTAAAATGAAAATTTTTCCAAAATTTTGAAAGTTCGCAAAGCGAAATGGATAAGTTTATGACTCACTTATGGATACTAGTTTAGCTGCCCGGTCAGAAACAATGTAGCAAATGTGTTTCAAAATCGCGATATCTTCATCGTCATACTCCAAGTCCAAATCTTGACAAATTTTCCTACAGTTTGTCGTTGTCATTTGAATAGAGTCTCTGGAAAAGAGTCAAAATTTGAAACTGCATATTTACATACATAGTTCTGTTCATAAGTAGAAATGAGCATGCTTATTTATTTTAATGTACTCACTGTTCAACAGACGACAATAAGCTGGCATTAAAACACTGATGCGTTAGCAACTTCGTGGACAACTTTCCCCCAAAGATTATCCCCTCTTGAGCCAACTTGACCAATATTACGCGAACAATGTCACCAATGTATTGACCGGCAAAGTACTTCTCGAACGTAAAGGAATTTACTAGCAGAGATTTATTGTCAACTTCTCGATCGTATTCGGTTTTTATAAAGTCGATGACACCATTGTCGCCGAATGCACCGTCTTCTATGTCGATTATCACTTCTTTGATGTCGGACGGTTTTTCTCCCTCCCAGTTCTTGACTCGCTCAACTTTCTCCAAATAGCAGGCATTGCTTCCCGTCCCTAATTCCAAATGCATGGTCACGTTACATGGCTTACTTTTAAGTGCTATGAAACTTTATACAAGAGAAAGTTGTGTGGGCGGTGAAAGCTGATATTTCATACCCAATATCAGCCCAATGCTGCACGTTCCATCCAGATACGCCCCGTTGATGAGAGTGCCCGTAGTATCGTTCAAGATCTGTGTAAAAACGTAGTATTTTTCAATTTTACTCTGCCACCCATCCACCCACAAAGTTTTTCTTACCGCAGCCACTTCCACTTGTAAATCGCCCCTCCTGTGGATCGCGTCATTCAACATTTTCACCACATCCTGGTCCACAACTCCTTCGCAATTAAACGATTTCGTCCACGACACGAGATGTGCACAGCTAAGGCTCTTTTGATACATGGGAAAGGAAAACGTAAAGCCCAGCGGCAGCTTTCGTGACAACATGTTGTTGGATTCTAGGAATTGGTGAATACATGATGCTAGAAAGTCAAACATTGCTTCTCCTTTCCCAAGTCGAATGTCCTCACGGACGTGAAAGTGCCTAATACACAAGAATAGAACGAAATTGATGATGTTGTATATGCGATGGAGGTGGTTATACAAGTATTTATGCTAATTACTTGACTATGGGATCTGCCATTTTTCCATGCTCTAATTTTAGCAGGAGAACGCGGAAGTTGGTGCCACCAAGGTCGAGGGCCAGGTACTCTCCCTCCTCTGCCATCATTTTAATTAAGCGTGGTTACAAGTTTCCGTTATTTCTAACCCTTATTTGCATAATGGAAGTGACATTTTTGTTGTTTACCAGAACCGTCGGGAAGTTGAGGAATGTAGGTGTTGGCCATTTGCAGACAACCTTTCGGATTCACTTGCAACCCAAGGTCCATCTCATCCTCAAAGATTTTGCGAATTTTGAGCATTGTCTCGTCATTTAGTTTTAGTGGATTTGTCAGCTTTTCATACTGGAAGTATGTTCAAAATAGAGAAAGAGGATGTTAATACTTTAGGAAGAAGGATATGGCAATTTGTGATTTTACTTTGAGAAAACAAAATAAATCTGCAAAGCTTCTCATGTTTCGTAACTATTTAGTTTCACTCGACGAGTTCTCTCTCTTGTTCACATTATGTGAGCAAAACCCAAGTCTCTCATCCCATCGTCATTCATGTACCCAATCGATACATTTTAATGAGTCGTTTCTCTATTCTCTGCAATTGACATAGTTGCGACATATTTACGTATTGTGTGTGTTTATGATGCAACGACGACCTGTAGAGCGTAGGTTGTACTACATAATTCATACAAATTGGCAGGCAGCGGTAATCAGCTTAGTTTACCGACTTTCTCTTTATAAATTGCGAGGAGAAAGTTCCTGAATTCTTATCTTATTTGTATAACTACGAATTATGATATATTTTATTTCGACGAAATTCCAATTTTAAAGCCCGTTTTCAATTCAAGTTTATTTAACCTTGAGATCATCTATGCCCTCTGAGCTACGCTTTATTTCCTCTTTTGTATTCATATTTTCCAGTTTCAAGTGGTTCTAGGAAAGTGAATCATTGTATTGTGAATGGGCTTCTTTTATCTTTCCTGGAAGAGAGCAATGTTGGTCTTCTGCTCACGAAATTGAGTAAGAAGCGAGTGAAAGTAAGCTTGCTTTCACCAACTCAATCCCTTTTCACCTAAGCAACACCACGCGTAAAGGTTCAAGGTTTTACTTTTGCAGATATGAAATGAAATGCGGTCTTATTTTTAGATTTTCGATTAACTGTAAAAACTTTGTCCATTGCGAAACACCAAATCTCACCTTTTCCACCTTGACAGGATCCACTTTCTCCAATCCGGGTATATTCTCAATCTCTTTAGATTCTGCGTTTGGAGACATTGTGCAATACTTCTCTATTCACTTGGTCCTAGAGCACAGCGTATCGTATGTATGACTCAATTACGGTCAAATTAGCCACTAAGGAAATATAACGTAGCTGAAATTGATTAGTGTAGTAAACTCGTAACGCTACAATGAAATCACAACTCACACACAAACCACCACCTTATTTCTCTCCAGCCAAAGCAAGAATGGCCTCAGTAACACGACCAGATTTTGTAGTTTTTACAGAACAGACCCAAAACACTCGTACACACACCAGATTATTCTGAAGAGCATGAGATGATCGATGAATTAGATAACCGCTTCTTCCCAACCACTTGATAAGTAATAAAATAATGACAAGGCCAACCATGCAGCAGGGTCGCTTGCCTTTCTTTACAGTGTAAAATGAAACTCTAAAAGAAGCGGAGATGGTGGTGATGGCTTGGTGGAAGATATATGAGACATGATGAGCAGGTTTCACAACTATTCGCCAATTCCCCAAGGTCGCAATAGCAAACTTTCTGAGCAGCGAGGGCGATGATGATCATATACAAACCAATATAGTCACACGCAGAGAGAGAGAGAGATGATAAACCTAACCGGAGCAGGTTCAAGTTCCTAAGTAAACTGGGACATGACCACCAAACCAGCCAAACTATGCACGTAGAAATCTATGTGAGTTAATATGTAATAATAATAACAATATTGTGAACGGAAAACTTATGCGATGATGCAGTTCGTTAAGACTGAGTAATAAGCAGCAACGTAAGAAGGTCAGACGGACGGACGTTTTTTTGCTAAGATTGCGGATCTCCTCAGAAGAAAACCAAGAATGAAAACCGAGAGAACTCTGCTGAGACATTTATTTTATGTAGTACGGGCAAGCGCATGTCCCTTATTTTTACCGAGTGCATATGCCGGTATTCGCATATTTTTCGCAAATCCGCACTCCCGTATTATTATTCCGGTTGCAAATGACCCTCATTCTATTGGTAAATAATATTGGCGTTAAAAAACTCTGCACATTGAGCCTCGGAGAAAGTGCAGCATCAATATTTATTTAGCATGTTCCATTCTACCCACCAAATCAACTTGTGTACACACATGAGCTTTATTGACTGACAAACTTCCACACTTGGTGTTTATTCCATTACCATAATTTTGGGTCAGGAGAGAAGTGGATTTGGTATAAAACAGTGTCATTCCTGATTACAGCACAGCGAATAATGACATAAAACAGGCGACCATCCTTGGCATTCATCCTGTCCCATCAGACTGATTTTTCTCTCGATTTGATGGATTGGATTATTTGATAAAATAAAGTTATCTCAAATCCTAACAGACAAGAGATTTATTGCAATCGAGGTCTGTTAATTCTCATCCGCAAGCAATCAACGCATGATGATAAGAGTGACAAGTAGTAACAGAAAGTAAATCGTCATGCAGGCGTATCTCTTTTCTCTAAATCAATCATGACCCAAAGTGGTGATCAATCAATCCATTTTTCGATGAGGTTATAAATTACCGGAATTTTTATTACTTGTAACTTTTCCATAATATAATATACTTATTTAATTTACTGTACACGGCAAGATAACATTAACATTATTGACATGTTTAATTACAAAAATCAAAACAACGTGTGGTGTGTTATTTAATTCATAAATACATACAAGGGTAATTTACAAAGCTTGGTTATACGGTTCAACAACAATAATGAGTACATAAAATTGTACCAACGGTTAAAAGCATGACTCGTCATTAAAAATGAAATGAAGGTGAGATTCATCTTAATTGATCTTCTTCCATCCACACATTTTGGAGGAGATTCGTCGTTTAATCAATAAAAATACTGCTGGTCAGGTAGGTGAGGTTGGGGTTTTCTGCAGATTTGTATATCGTTACCGTGACCTTCTCTCTCTTCTTGGGGCGTTGGGGGCACGACCCAGCCTAACACAACCCCCTTACTCGAGTATATATTGTCTTGTATTTATGTATGTATCGTAAAACTTGACTGGTTAAGCATGTTGGGTTAACATTTGCAACAAAACCTGGTGATCCATGCTGTAAAATAATGTAAAAAATTCATTGTAATTACATGCATATTTGTAATATATAATTTCATATGTATATAATTTTACTTGTTCAAAGTGGCCAAATCAATTCCCAAGGCTTTCGCCATAGTTGCCATGTCCAGTCCGAATGATTTTAACAAGTCTTTAAAATCCACTTCTTCTCCCGTTAACGGATTTAACAGTTTCGGACAGCTCTTGTTACACTGAGGAAAAGAGCATCGATTTTCAATCAATCTAATATCACCACCGGCTCCACCAACACTGCTGTCGCCAGCGTCGCAGACAGAGTACCATCTCCTTTTTCGGTTCTTTTTCTTATTATTATTATTTCTATTATTATTCCTGAGATGATTATTTGTAAAGTTATTAGTTACATCTAAACTATTACTATTGCTACTTCGGTGGTGGTGGTTGTTACTATTATTATTATTTTTACGAGGTACTCTCCCATTATTATTTGAATTATTGGATGATTTCGTATTACTATTGGTACGAGAATTAATGTGGTTGTTGTTGTTGACACTTCTGCCTCGAAGAGGTTCGTCTGACTGTTGTTGTGAATTAGTTGTGGGTTTGTTATCTTGATGTCGACGTCTCTGACGTAGTCTCGTCTTGGTGGACAATGTGTCCGAATTCGCGACGTGGAAATCATTGGCGACATTTCTCCGTTTATTGTTATTTGCTTGAGACGCTTTCTCTGCAGCGATTCGTTCTTGCTCCATCTTTTTGCGGTGCTTTCTCCTTTCTCGTTTCGTCATTTGGGCTTGACGGTGTCGGTTGTGGCGTCGTCTATTGCGTCGCGAGTCGTTTGAGTTGACATCGAGAAAATCAGATTGTTCAGTGGGTGTGGAGTGTTGTAAACTGATTCTGTTCCCAAGTCGGGGATTTCTTCGGTGCGAGAGACTAGATGATTCTTCCTCGTCGTCGTCATCCCAGCCTGACTGGTAGGAGGCATGACTGCAAAAATAAAAGACGCATAAATGCATGGGTCTTATTAACTCAAGCAAAAATTAGATACAGTTTTAATTAAAAGTTGTAAATACCTCGACTGTATAGAATTTGACTCCCCCACAATTCCTCCAGATTCCCAGCACTTTAGTGCCCTCGGTAAATACACAGAGTTTACCTCGACACGTTTCCAATCTCGATGCGTCAGTACGGTATGAGCCATGCACGCCGGGATGAAAACATTTCTATTGGAGAAAGTAATCGTTTTAAAATTGTCTTTTGATGTCATTGTCATCAATTGTCATCATTTTTGACGAGAAAAATGATTTACTAAACATGATTTACTTCTTACGTCACATTGATTAAAGTTTTTTTAAGTTCGTCTCCAACTTTATAGACGTAGTCCCACTCCTCCTTTTTGAGTACGGGCGTAGGAACGTTATTTACCAGCATTTGCGCTTCGTCAAACATCCATTGGAAAATAAATGAGGAGGCTAAAAATAAAAAATAAAATTCTATAAAACTGGACCCTGTGCTCAAAAAAAAGAGTGTTGTTTACAAAAATTTAACTTGAAACACAAACAATATTGAATGATGCTGAAGGAAAAAGTAAGACAAGCCTTGATTGAATTTCTTTCAAAAGTAAACGTGTCAATAACAGATTGAGACCAGGTTTAATTAACTTTCTCTTATTAGTAATCAGCTCAGCAGCTCTTTGTTCTTAATACCTTTTAACGTGGGGTAGATCCTATATCCGAAGAAACAAGACCATGGCTCATCCGGGTACGAATTTTGGCATCTCTCCGGCAGCCTGGAGTTCCACAGATGCATGCCTTTCTTCAAGGAAATGTGCGGAGGACAAAGAATCACGTCGTGACAATCAACTTTCTCCGAGTACGAGGGTAGCTTATCGATAAACCAGCCAGAATCAGATATCCCTTTGACGCGAGGAGGTCCAGAGTCTACGTAGTCAAACTGCTCGTGCATGAGCTCTTCTACGCGGTCCAAATTAATTAAAACGCCAGTGCCACCTGCGCTGGATATTAAAATGGGAATGACGTGAGTTGACGAAGTTTTTGATTTTGATGATCAAGCTTCTTAGACGGGAAGGAGGAGAAAGTTGAGGAGAAAGTTTTTAGTGTCGCAAATATTTAATAAATGTACCTGCTCCCGGCAAGAATGACGGTCGAGTCGGAACGAATTCCTCCATTTCGAATTAGGGTTTTGATCACTTCTTCAATAATCAGGGCTCCCATGAAGCTGAACTTGCTCCCGTTTTCGTCCGCTTTAGTTGTTCCACTCCAAGTGTCGGATGAACAGTATGGGACAAACCTAAAGAAACAATTAAATTACGTAATTAGTAAAATAGCTCAAGTATTTGTATTAGTGGTTTCAAGAGAAAGATTACACATGGTTGGCCGACCACCAATATGGATTTTCGTTCGGGTCGCCTGAAAGGATTCCTCCAACTAGGGACACAATATTGCAAATTTAGTATTTCTCTAGGACTGATTTTGCTATTATTTGAATTTGCATTGTAAATAATACCATGTTTGTGATGAGGCCACGCAGACGAACTCATCAAGTTTTTGAGACTGAAAAACCAACCAATATTTAAGCGTTATGCAAAATTGCAGAATTTGGGAGTAATTGCGATACCAGGTGTCGCAAAGTACTTTAAGGAACATTTCTTACCGTAACCACCGATTTTGACAGCTTCTCTCATCAAAACAGAACCATCCACCTGTGACATAATGTAGAAATCGTCTTTTTAATGTGCTTCTTGTATAAATTTGCTTTAATGTAGCAGCTTACCTTCGAGAAATATTATCCATGTATTTGAATTCCTTACGTGGGAGTTTCTCACGTAATATCTGAAATTCAAGAAATGCACGATTTAGAGAATATTGTGTACATAAAATGTGTATATGCACATAAAACTCATGTCAAGCAAAAACCTGCACCAGGTTTGGATACTACATCGCTTGAGCAAAGATGATGTTCTATATTTCACACCCTGAACTAATCCAAAGATGATTTAAATCTTCAATAAATTTATATTTATAGTCCGTAATAAATTGATTTTGTTTTCGTTTATCTTATGCGCGCTTTCACCTTCATGAAAAACTTTCTAGCCAATTTAAAAGGCAATGTGGGCACTCTGTTGGCCCCTCTGGAAAAAAATTGACTTCATGTTCCTAATCTGATGTACACTGCATCTGCATGCCAAATTTTGCAATTTTACAGCGATTTATAAAATGGTGTGCTATTTGTGTATCCTCACCGCTCAACCGTATGACCATAGACTGATTTGGATCATCTTCGAATGTAACCTTTATTGCAAAAAAATTGAGCTAAAAAGATGTGACAATACACCAGTTTCACAAGCTCGGGCAAAAAATCGGGTCTATGAATTTGTCAATCTACTTGACAAAGAATTTCCGCTAATCATTTCGGATAAATGTATTTAGTACCCACGTTTGCTCCTTCTCCATAAAAATATTTACTTCAGATTTCAAGAGTAGGAATCCCTTTGTATCAATCGCTTAATAATAAACGCCCAACTACTCCTCATAAATATAACCTGATCATCATCACTCATTTCACCCGATCGTATTTTAGACCTGATTATAACTGTCCCAAAGCGTAACCATAATAATAATTATGAAGAAGCACGAAGGTTTTTGAAATTTGAAACGAGTACATAATTTCAATCCATCCATCCTTTCTCTCTCTCTCACTCTCCCGATCCGCCCTCCCATTATTACAGCCCAAAATACAAAGTAGGTAATAATCACACCAGCAGAACCACCAGCATCCAACAATCCAACATCAAGCAACTACTAAAGGAGTGAACTAATCACATTTCCATTCTACATATAAAGCAGAACAACAATGAGAGTCTGCCTACATAATAGATCCACGAGACCTCGGCTCGGCCAGCAAGTATCCCATTTACTAAAACAGTAATAAGAACAAGAAGAGAGGAGAACCAGCCTCATCATCATCATCATCTCGGTCCGATAGATAGGCAGTTAGTTTTTACATATATTCATGTATGCGAGAGAGGAACAAGTTGTTTAAGTGATGTGCAGTAGTATATGTAAGATTGTGGATGATCGTAGTCTCGTAGACAGCAAAAGCATGGTTCTCGTTAGCCAAAGTAACTGATAGAATCTGTTTTCGTCTTTGTTGGTGCCGCAAATCGTGAAATGCGATCAAATTCCCTCAAGGAAAAGGGACCGCGGTCGGAGAAAAAACACCTTAAACAGACATGAAAGGGTGCCGAAACTATGGATGAATAAACTTGAAATGCAATAATAATGCCATTATGGCATTCAACATTGTGGCAAATAGTTCCAAATTGGACTGCTTTCGCGTTACAATTCATCAACTAACCAGTAACCCATCCATTTATGCATGATGATGAGAATGGTCGCCTAATTCACCATTTGTTGGCCCCCACAATCAGTCAATCAGCAAAGGAGCGAAAGAAGAGCATTTAAAGAAACGACTACTTAAGCAACCGCAGAATATGTGTAACAAGAAGACTTAAATCAGAGCACAATTCTCACACACACAAACTCTTGAATCAAGAAGTAATCCAATTACGAGGCTGGAGAGCTCACAATAATCCCGACTCGATACTCTCGCGAATGCTAAATGTACGAGTTGAGACGCCGGGGACAAGTTGAGACTTTTCTCAAATTCTCCGTTTTTGGGTACAACTTACGCATTCAGATCAATATGAGAAGGTGAGACTCGAGACTAGTCGAGACTACTTACCCTGCCGTCGTCTTGTCATTACATTGGACACTCTTGTTGGCAAAGTGGACGAGTGTCAAAGGTTTATGGCTTTTGTGGAACTGGTTGGTGTGCTGATTGTGTTGGCTGTTCGCATCGAGAAAAGAGGATGATGGGAGTAGGGCCGAGGTGGAATAATTCTCATCATCATCTCCGGTGGATCCACCAAGTCTCTTGCTAATTTCTGTCGGCACGGACTTAAGTAGTAGTTCCTCATTATGACCATTAGCAGGCGAGGCGGAGAGTTGTTGTTGGTGCTTCTTAGTGCTCGAAGAAGAAGAACTGTCTGTCGAACGAGGACGGTCACCTTCGTCTTCTTCTTCTCGACTTGGCTTCCAGACACCATCCTGTCAAATCAACCCGTCATAAATCTTCCCTTTAGAGCATCATCAAGTCAGTCTGATTTCATACTTTGTCTAAAATGTCACTTTTGGCCTTGCCGACTTTTGTTGACTACCTGATTGCTGCCACCTACAACCTGCTTAACCCTCCTTTTACGAGTCGGTCAGTAAGTCGGACTGAGACATATTTGCTTAAAGTGTTATTTGTTTTAACCCAAAAAATTCCATTATCGTAAAAAAAACTGTCCCAATTCCCGGAAACAATAATCTCTCCTTAAAACCTCCTTAACAAGTTGACCAACAAATGAATGACTGATTGTCTTTTTTTTTACCTCCGCGTTGGAATTTCCCGTCGCCACGACTGGTTGTAAATTCACGGTATCGTAAGAAGAATGCGGACGAGGAAGAGGCTTCGTCGTCGTTGATGTCGTCGTCACTGCGAGCTTTTGAGGTGCAGATTTCGACGAGCATGACGACACCGCATTGATGATGAGAAACACACCCAAGAAAAACTGGGTGAAAACCAACTTCATCTTTATAGATATGAATACTCTGCCAAAACTAACACCCACCACGACGGACAGAAATGGGTAACAATTTCTATAATGATGGTCTTATTTTTATGCACAGGTTACACTTGTCTGCATCACATGCATAATTCATAACGTAAATCATGATCCAATCAAGACATGCTCAACGAACAATTTGTGAATGAATGAAAATATGCACAAAACTTGGAAGACTTTCGCGACACAAATCACAAACCTCGCCCGCTTTCACTATTTAACGATCAATACTTTCTCCACGAGAATTAAGTAAATTGCGAATTTTCATACGGACATCGTCGCCCAATATCCGGTTGGATATTATCTTTCAGAAATGTTATTTTTTTTACAAAACGCACCACTTAACGTGTAGGTTTCCAATTTTGTGTGCCTTGTGTAAAGGTGCGTGTCTCACCAAGTAACGTGCTTGGAGAGAGTAGAGAGCTGACTGAACTTTTTCTCCGGTGGCTTCCCACCTATACCTTAATAATCTCTTGTACTTCGAGGTTCCCTTTTATACTTATTGGACTTGATCACTACCAAGTAACCACTCGTCGTAGTCTTCTTATTCCCTCTGTTATTTCACTTCTTCTTTACTGTTTCTTCTCCTCAAGCCATTTATCTTCTTGTTTGTTACTTACTTACCAAGTTACTAACAAGGTGTCTGCCGTATTGCGCTCTTGTGTATCATGCGATGAGCAATATATTGATGGTTGGTCGTCGTCGTTCTGGTCGGTAGTCATTATTTTACTAGCCCGTAGTGGTGTTAATGGTGGTGGTATTATTAACTGTTAACTGCTGCGAGACGAGTGGATGTGTGTGTATAGCCGGCACAAAGACAACTTCAAAGGGTTAACCTGCCCTGGCGCACGACTAATTATTCATTCTTGTTACCATTATAGATCACTCTGCACGTTCGGAGGGATTTAAATGTGTCGATGAGTCCAACTGAGGAGGAGTGGAGGTGATCTGTTGTGAATCTCGCTTTTTTTCCTCTTAACGGGAGATATGATTTCCATAATTCCATGCGCCACGACCCACCCACCACTTTTTTTTCTTTTACGGGTAAATAAATATTCCTGGCATTCAGAACATAATAATAACACGGGAAAAGTGTGCGTGGTGGTATAGATATTGAGGTAGGTGACAGAGAATTTCAGGATTTATTGTGCCAGCCAGTGATGCTTTTGCAAGAGCAAATTCCTCTCACTGAATTCTTCTTGTCTGTATAAATATAAATATTTCTGTTAACAGTTTTATTCATCAAGTCGCATAATGATTACTTGGAATCTATCCTCCTGGCACATACATACACATTTTCGGCACCCATTGATCTCTGAAATAGTCCACACAATAAAATGAAACCTCATCCGCTGAATTCATTCATGTTTCATATCGTTGTAAACATGGCGTGGTCCTCCAAGATAACGAGTTGTGTGACGACATTGGCATTGCTTCATGATAAAAAAAACTTGAATTGAAAGTGCTGTGGAGTTAAATATATGCACGAATTTGGTGTGGAGTGAGTGAGTAAACTCGAAATTATTATTACTTACTTGTTTATTTTCTATGTACGACGAGAAGGAAAGAGGGTGAAATTATTATTGTGCTTAATAAGCAATGCGCGACAGGAAGTAAGCTGGGACAAACCACCGGAGATAATTCTGTCGTAACGATTTCTCAATTTCTTCTGATTTTAGTCGGGTCTGGTCTGCTAGCGAGACCCCGAAAAGTTAAGAAATCTTCTGGCAGAGAGGAGGACTTCACGTAAACCAAAAAATAGTTACTGGCTGGCGTATAACAGATTACAATGAAAATGAAGATTGCTCTCGTTCGTTACGTTGTGTTGTTGTTTCTCGCATTGGACGATGCAACTCAACAATTGTATAAAATGAAATAAGATCTCTCTCTCTACTATCTGGATTTGCTCTGCTCTGCTGGTTTCGTTTGTGGTGGTGGAAAGCTATTACCGATGTCGGCAAACTTCAAAGGGAATTGGCTGTTTACATAATAGCTCATGGGCACAACCGCAAGTGTCCGACTTGTTGAAGTTCAGGATTCATATCAATAAACCCTTCCAGAAGAGAAGAAGAAGAAGAGGGAGGAAAAAACTACCTCCAGCTTCTTTTCATTTTTTAAGGATTTACATCAATTCCAACTCCAGCGTGTTGTGTAGTTCCCTTATATTCTCGTAAATGGATGTATCTCTTCAGAAATCATCATCTGGTCGGGGAAAGAAGTTGGAATTGGAGACGAACGACTACTCGGTTGTGTAGGAGGGGGAGATGATCTACATGTTTTAGCCGTGGTACTACAAACTTGAGGTTTTTAAGGAACTTATTTGGGAACCACACTGATTACAAAAAATGTCAAAGTTGAGACAAAACTTGGTAAGTATGATTTATATGTCAAGGATTGGACCAAGTAATTTTTTCTAAGAATATGCCTGTACAAAGGTCACAAGACTACTTAGAACCAAATCTGCATAATTTATTGCGATTCATTTCTGTTACGCGACCCGTTCAAAGAATAGTCCACCGTCCTTCTAGGTACGAGACCTATACATCAGTCAGCACTATGTAACTGTGTAATTCAGTAATGGGGCAAAATTTGCGAACCAAAATAAGTCATTCATCATCGACAAATAACACCGACCGAACTAACAACGACTGTCTGCTGTATCTGATGGATTATACAACAGGATGCCCTTTTTGCATAACCAGCCAAGGTTTGAATGGCTGGCTGTAGGTAGAATTGTGTTTATTATAGGTAAGTAAATTCACCAGCGGGATGCAGAGGACCACACTTTATCGTGCAACCTACTACTCCACTTCCAAACCAATAAATCTATCCTCTGTCACAAACATTATTCTCTCTGGGAGAAAAGTTTCGTAAGAAGAAGAGCTGCAAGAAATTCCAGAGGGAATCATCGTCATCGGTACTTGACCATGTCGTCAGGTCGTCGGGTTGGAGAAGAGCGAGTAATAAATCTCACAAAACCATCTTGCGAATGAACACACCAAAGGAATTTATTCTCAATTCGTATTCTAAATTCTGTGTAAAATCGGTAGAAAGGCCAGCTCTCAAAGTAGTGATGATTGTGTTGTGTAGTCATCAAAAACTATTAGTTATGTACATTCCACTACCAACCATCATCAGAGCACAAGTCCGCATTATTGATGGGCTCAACTACTAGTTAATGGATGTCGGACGAGAGATATATGTACAAGCCATAAATTAGGCCATTATACTAGTACAACAAATAGACAGTGGTCTGGTCCAGAGACCAATTGCACCTCTCTGTATTAGCTATTCAACTATTTAACCCGGCATGCAGGATCGTCATTGCATATGTCTTTCGACACGGGAGCGGATCGCCAACGCCAAAACAAAGAGATCCGATAAACCCAAAAACCAACAAAAGACTCATTACGACGGAGTATGCATGCAGACCAAAGAGAAAGCTTAAATAATGTTTGGGCTTTTGGTCAGTAGAAGAAGAATAAGGAGCCAGCCACCACCTTTTAACCATCATCATCATCATTCCATCCAGTTCTAATCTGCTCTTAGAACAAACAGCTAATGACAAAAGCGATGAATTTTTCTTAGCTTGCTTACTTAGGTGTCTAATTTGTTTCTTTTCCGTCTCCTTCTTTGGAAGGAAAGGGGTTACCGCGAGAGAGGAAATTATAACTGCAGAATTCACTCGGTCATTACTTTGGAATTTTACTTACTGAGACGATTCATTCAACAATTATATCAAGGTAAAGGAGTGGCACCAACAAACAACTACTGTTCAGGTATTTCAAAGTCGAATATAAATCGCGACTTTTGAGGGGCACGAGCAAAATACTATCCAGATGTACAACAAGTGGTGATCTCATAAATCTGAGAAATAAGGTTTACTTACCACCAAAAAATCGACCCATTTGTTGAAATCATCTCTTAATTCCTTCCGAGCAAGAGTTAACAATGGAATTTGGAAACAATGACGCACAGCCTGGACTGCATTGTGTTGCTGCTGAGAGTTAAAAGCTATTTCCATTTCTATTTCTTGTACAATGATTACGGGAGTCCAGCAGGAGTCGTCGTCATTATCATCATCATCACAGTCTGCCGAAGGAAATGGATAAAACCGACTTGAATTACCTAAAATACAATTTACTCTGACTTTTATTTGTTTTCCTTTAGCTTTGACCGCTCTTTTTTAATGCCGACTCTGTCGGCATTTTAACATCAACATGTTACAGAAAAAGGGTGATTTTTAGCCAGCTTTTTACTACAGTATTTCACCCTGTGTCTTCTTCTTTATTACGAACGGACAATCCTGGCGACAAAGATCTGTGCAATTTTCTACAATAGATGAATACATAATATTCATCCATATGTACATACATAAATATTTGTATGCTAAAAGATCAACTTGTTGTGTGACGAGTCCAACGAATGAATTAGCACAAGGATGTAATTTGAGACATTTGGCGAATCTTCTCTGAAAAACAAGTTGACAGGGCAAACACGTAGCAGAGATAACTCATTATCCCATCTCAAACCATGATTGAAATTACCCGAGGCCTATCTGGATGGATGTGATTATAATGTACGTGATGTACTTTTCCCTACCAAAATTCCCTCAGGGTTTACATACTAGGTTAGGTTGAACATCATGCAATTCACCAATTTGAGATGAGACGATGGGTCTAGTTAGCAGAAGCAGCAGCAGCTGAAAAAATTATAGTGCACCCAATGATGATTTTACTTTACATGATCATTGTTGGGTTCTTTGTTTGTTGATTTTATTTTATTATGACCTAATGTGTGTTATCATCAGTCCGTCGGTATATTACACACGGTTGGGAACATCTCCTCAATGTGTCGGCACGCTTTGGTGAGGATCCGCTAATTGTCAATAGCTGGACTAACTGGGTAGAGGGTAATTGTTTGTAGAGAAAAAAAGAAACTAACTGCGACGACAATTGGTGATGATGCTTTATTAACAGACGGATAACGACACGACACGACATGAAGGTCTGTTTATGCAGCCTAACTTTCCTATTTATTGGCAATATCACAGCAGCAGCAGATGCAAAATCTGGACGGCAAATGTGCTGATGCTGGCGAATTAACGTGATTATGTAATGATTCGTTTCTGAAGAAACCAAACCACACCGTTCGTTCCCAGCCAGCTTGGCTTAACTTTTCTCTCCTATAAAGGTACGCTACTACCTAACGTACGTGGGGCTGGTTGGTATCCACCCTTGGGATCAAAAGTTAATGTCGTTAGTTTCACGGTGAGAAGGGCTTGTAGATGCTGATCCATCCGTTGCTGGTTGGCATTATATTGCTGCACTGCTGCTGCTGCGGAAGATGCTGTCAGCTATTGTCAGTAGCTCTTTTTCATTAATTAAGGTGAGTAAAGCTTAGCTGTCGGCATCCTTTGAAGTCTTTGAAACAGGTGTTCCTCGGTCAAATGACTGGGTTAGAACTACGTGCATCCACCCAACTGAGTCAGAAGAAGAAGAAGAAGGTCCCCCTGCCTGCTACCACTCTACCTTCTTAAGTTTATTCCCAAATCTTGGTAGCATTATAGCATAAAATACGACAACCTCCGTATTCTCACCAATCAAGCAGTACGTAGGAACTGACAAGCAAAGAAAGCAATGCGATTTACAATGAGGCAAAATTTAACAATGCAACTGAGCTCATGTTAATACCTCAGCTGCTGCTAATATCTAGAAGCATAAGCTTATGCTGAGCCTTTTAAACCGTTTAGTTTTATTGTGTTTTAATCCAAAAAGCGTTTAATGCTACTCCTCCACCGCCGCCGCGATGTGAGATAATA